ACACACACACACACACACACACACACACACACACACACATACACACACACACACAAAGCATCAAAAATATTTCATGAGTTATTCCACAAAATGAAATCGTAGGCAAGTGCAAATGGAGAAAAGTAGGAGTCATCTACATCACGACAAATGTACTGCTTTTTCATAGTACTGTTTAGAAAGATGTTCAAAGCATTCATATACATGCTATAAATCAGAAATATACATGTGATATTACAATCTCCCCTAGTAATTTGTGTGCTTGTATTAATTCCTATAGGTATGGCAAACATCCCTAGTCCTGGAATGCATACTTTTATCCTTAGTGGTCATAAACCTTATAAAGGCCATGTTTATTAATTCAACAATTTTTTCAATATCAGACACTGTTCTAGGGGTGAAGAGGCCCTGAACAAGAACCATCTAGGTCTGTAGGGAAATGATATGTTACACAAATAATTACTTCCCCACATCCAGTGATTTCAAGGATAGCTAAGTGCTGAGAAAGTGCATGGCCCCTAAGAATGAAACAGGGGTGTGAACTTGACTATACCTGGAATTGACTAAACCTCCCAAACAAATGGACACGTCTGTGAGGGATTATTTGAAGTGGGAAGATCTACTTCTAATCTGGGTCTCTGAGGTGGAAAGACACATCTTTAATCCAGATTAATCACTTTTGGGGTGAGAAGATCCACCTCTAAGATAAGCCATGTCTTCTACTGGAAGCCTAGATAAAGGACGTGGAAAAAGGAAGCCTCTCTCTTTGCCTGCTTGTTCTCAATCTCGTTAGCAAGTCCATTCCTTCACTGGCACTAAAGCCTACTTCTTTGGGATTCCAGCATATACTAAAGACCAGCTGAGACATCCAGCCTCATGGATCAAACAACTACTGGACTCTTGGACCTTCTGTTGGTAGACAGCCATTGTTGGACTAGCTGGACCACACTAAGCCATTCTAATAACCCCCATATATATTTATATGTATGTGTGTATTCATTCTATAAGTTCTGTTCCTCTAGAGAGCCCTGACTAATACAGGGGGCAATGCGGAAAGACCTTCCTGAGGTGTTTACATTTGATTTGGGACTTAAAATATGGGCAGATTTTGGATAAGCAGAAAGAGTGTTAGAAGATGAGTGAAGAATGAATATGGAGGCTTTGTGCTTGGTTATAAAAAAGGAGAAGGCCAGAGTTGGGGACTGAGAGGGACAGTGGGTGATGCCAGCAGTGGTGGGGAAAGTGGGGTCAAATCATGCAGAGTCTTTAGGCCAAGCTGAGAATTAAAAAAAAAGAATTCTTTGAGAATCACTTTAACACCCCTCTTCCCCTCTCCCAGAGCTACCTCTACCTCTACACCTGCTCCTAGCTTCCTCCCTCTCTCTCTCCCTCTCCCCTCTTCCCACCTCTCCTCCCTTCTCCCCTCGTCCCTCTCCCCCCTCTCCTCCCCTCTCTCTTCTCCTCCCCTCTCCCCTCTCCTCCCCTCTTCCCTTTCCTCCCTTCTCCCCTCGTCCTTCTCTCCCCCTCTCCTTCCCTCTCCTCCCCTCTCCCCTCTCCTCCCTTCTCCCCTGGTCCTTCTCTCCTCCTCTCCTTCCCTCTCCTCCCCTCTCCCCTCTCCCCTCTCCCCTTTCCCTCTCTCTCTCCATAACCCATGGAATCCAATTTGTGTTGCCAGTATGGTTTTTCATAGGAGAGAGCCATTTAAAGCATTTACACATGGTATGAATCAGAACTATAGATACAATGTTGAAATATCTCCTGGCCATCCATTGGAGCATGAACAACAGTCCAGAGAACACACCCTTAAAGAAAATAGACTCTCCCTCTTCTAGAAGCCATCCGCTGTCAACAAGCCGAGGATTGTAAACTTTAGCCTACAAGTGAGGATGCACTTCCAGAATGCTATAAACGTAAGTGTCTTATGAGTCTGCTCTTAGTCGTTTTTTGAGACAGGATCTCGTTATGTAGACCAGGAAGGCCTCAAACTCACAGAGGTCCACCTGTCTCTGCCTCCCACATGCTGGGATTAAAGGCGTGTGTAATTATGCACAGCTAGTTCAGAGATTTAGCGTGCTTGCTCTTGCAGAGGACCTGGGTTTGAGTCCCAGTATCCATGTGGTGGCTCACAATCATATCTAACTTGTAATTCTAGTTCCAAGGAATCTGATGCCTTCTGCTCTTCATAGGCATGAGGCATGAGGCATGAATGTGGTGCACATACACACATGTAGACAAAACACCTTTGTCTACATAAAATAAATCTAAAAAAGTTTAAAAATTTTAAGAGAAAAACCAATTAAATACGAGTATTTATGACTTTATTCTGAGATTCCAAGGGATTTAAATGAGTGCCCTGTGGTGATATTTTATTTGTGCTGAAATGTGATATTTTATTTGTATGTTAATAAATAAAATTTGCCTGGAGATCAGAGGTCATAGCCATAAACAGAAGTCAGGCGGTGGTAGCACACACCCTTAATCCGATCACATGGCAGGCAGAGTCTCTGTGTGTTCAAGGACAGAGCCAAGCATGGTGACACATGCCTTTAACCCCAGTACCAACCATAGAGACCTGGAGGTCTGTAGAGACAGGCAGTGATGAGGAAGTGATGTGGCTAGGCTCAGAGTCAATGAGAAGACAGAACAGGAAGGCAATAAAGGCTCAGGTTAGACAGGAAGAGGCTCTCTTGGGAAGCTACGGCGAGGTGGTGAGCTAAGGTTAGTTGGCGGCTATTGCTCTAATCTCTATGGTTTATACCTCTGTATTTGGCTCTGTTTTTCTTATTTAATAAGACTGTTTAGAAATTTGTCTACAGTGTCTGAGCAGGCAAGGCAATCAACCACCAAGCTATACCCCAAGACTTTGACAAAATTTAAACAGACTTTTTTTTTTCAGAGAAGATAAATGAATGACCAACAGGTACATGAAAAGATGCTCAACACCATTAGTCTTTGGGGAAATGCAAATCAAACCACAAGGAGATGTCACTTGGCACATACTAGGATGCTATAGTAATAAAAGATAAATAATATCACTGTCAGAAAGGACACAGAGGAATCAGAAGCCTCACACTGTGCTGGTGGGAATGTAAACACTGTGTGCACTTTGGAAAACAATTTGGCAGTTTCTCAAAATGTTAAACTCAGGGTTCTGATATGAGTTTACATTTCCTGTCCTTGGCATTTTCATTTAAAACACATCATGATATACAGTCTAACACACAAATGCTCCTAGAAGCATTATTCACAATAACCAAGAAGTGGAACAAATATCCACCAGCTGGCAAACAGGATGACAAAATGTGCCATAGCCACACAAGGGGATGCATGGCAAGAACAAGAAATGGAGGGCTGACATACCATAGCCATGGCGACAGTCAGTGTTTGGCAAATTGAAAGAAGTCAGACTGCATGTTTTATTCTCCACATGTGAAATGTCCGGAATAAGCAAAATCTTATAGACACATAAAGTATGATTGTCTCATGCTAGGAGGGAAGGAGAAGTGAGGAGTGATTGCCCACAGCTTCAGGCTTTCATTTTTGGTGTAATAAAAAAGTTCTGAAACAGATCATAGCAATTATAGCTCTATAAAATATATTAAAAACCATTGCTCCCCCCCCCCCCCACCACCGCCTTGGTTCTAAGGAGGCAACTCTTAAAAAAGAAAGCATTTAACTGGGGGCTTGCTTACAGTCTCAGAGGGTTAGACCATTATCATCATGGCAGGGAGCATGGCAGCACACAGGCAGGCATCGAGATGGAGAAAGAGCTGAGAGCTACATCCTGGTCCACAGGAAGCAGGAAGAGAGAAACACGGCCTGGGATAGGCAGTATAAACCTCAAAGCCTACTCCCAGTGACACACCTCCTCCAACAAGGTCACACCTCCTAATCCTTCCCTAAATAGTCCATCATCTAGGGAGTAGACATTCAAATATATGACCCTTTGAGGGCCATTTTCATTCAAACCACCACAACAGCAATAGAAAGGAAATTAGAACACAGCCCCAGCTAAAATCTATCCCTACTTACCGTGATGCACAGCTGTAATTACAGCACTCAGGAGGTTGAGGCAGGAGGATGCCAGTTTCAGGCCAGCCAGGAATACAGAATGAGACTTTGCTTTTAAAAATGACTGAAAAAATTAAAACAGTGAATCTTGACTCTTTGAAAAAATGTTTTTAACTTGAATTTTTTTCTTTGACAATCTCACACATGTATAAAGTATGAAGTGCATTCTGATTAATGTAATCCCTCACTCCTATTAACCAACCTCCTTATGCACTTTCAAACTTTTTTTTTCTTTTCTTTTCTCAAGACCCACTGAGTTTAGGCAGGATCATCTATGTGGCAATGAGTTTTCAACTACCTATGGAGCCTGGTGGGTATTCAGTGGGTACTCAATTGAAGAAAATGAGTATTTCTCTCGTAGAATACCTTAGAAGCCAATACTTCAGCATGCAGAGGTAGAGCACAGATTTCTTCCCAATTCCAATCAAAATGCCCAGTGTTGTGTAGGTTCGTTGCAAGCGGTTACTACTGCTGTGGGGTCAGACTGCACTGGCTGGGCCATACCAAGAAAATAAATATATATATTTTGGAGAAGGGATCTCTCTTTGTAGCCCTGGCTGGCCTCAAGCAAACAGAGATCTACCTGCCTCTGTCTCCTGAGTTAAAGGGGCGCGTCACCAATTGTACACTTTTTAAACCGATGAACTTTATTACACATAAATTTCATCTCAATAGAGTCGAAATCCAACTTGATTGGGGTATTAATTTTCCTAAGTACGCGGGTAAGTTTTCTTAGAGCCAGCAGCCCCAGAGTTTTACAGAGAAAAGCACTTCTGCCTGGGGCAGCGAGGCCACGCCCCTTCCCTCGTTTCCTAGCAACCAGTTTCCTACTGTACGCTCCAGCAAGCCTCACTCCGTCACTTCCGTTCCCAACAGGAAGTGAGGTCAACCCGGCGGCTTTCCCGGGAGTTCAGCGTTCGCCTCAGGTGAAGTAGTCTTCCTGGACTGGTACTGGCACCGTTCCCGTCCAGGGCTGGTGCAAAGGCCCGGGGATCCGGGGACTCGAACACGCGCGGGCCCAGGGCGGCAGGGGAGGAGCCGGCGGTGACGCTGCTGGGTGTCCGGAGTCCCGAGTGTGTTCGCTGTCCCAGTTGCTCACCCCCAGCTCTAGATCTTGGACATTTCCGCGCTCCTCCCCCAGCTACCTAAGTCCTGCGTTTGAAGGAAGGCCCCTCACAGAAAACATTCTCCTCGCCGACTACCTCACGCCCAAGCCCCTCAGAGCTCTACCAAGACCTCCCTGGGATCTGTCAGCGACTTTTGAGTTGCCAGAGGCCTGGGGTAAATGTTTCCCTGAGTGCTAAGTCTGGGGTAGGGAGACAGTTCCTGCAAAATACGGGATTAGGTAACTTGGGGCGGTTTGCATTTTGGCTTACTTTTCTTGAATGTCTCTGGCGGGGTTTCTTCATCAGATCAGAGGAGTTTGCCTTGGTTTAGGTGGTGGGAGGTCACACCGCGATGAGGCTGGAGGGGCTCAGGTGATGCTAATTTCGTAGGTTGTAGTCTGACCCTCTCAGGGATTAAATGGCCCGTTTGTATCAGGTGTTTGTATTTAGGCGTTTAATGTATTTCTTACCTACAAGTAAGCTATAGTTTTCTTAGACGAAGACTGAGTCATACAGTACTTTTGGGACTTTCATAGCACCAGACACCGTACTGAACACAGTAAAGGTGCAGTCATACTTTAAAATCTGAGTATCAGTGAATCCGTTTTAACATCGTTAGCTTGACGTTGAAGGGATCACACTGGGCATGGTGGGATACCAGCACTTGGGAGGTGGAGGCAGGAGGTCACTCTCGGCTCTGTAGGGGGTTTCATACCTAGCCCCGGCTATGTAAGACCTTATCACAGAACAAAAAATAAAAACTTTGAAGGCATCTGTTTAAACATAGTTCAAGGCGGGCGGTGGTTGGCACACGCCTTTAATCCCAGCACTTGGGAGGCAGAGGCCACCGGACCTCGTGAGTTTGAGAACAACCTGGTCTGCCAGGGCTACACAGTGAAACCCTGGCTCAGAAAAACCAAACCAAACCAACAAAAACCCAGAACAAAACATAGTTCAGCTCCTGGAAAAGATGGCACGAAATAGCACCACCTTTTTAGATAAAAATAGTAAAATCTATTTATATAGTTTACTGAATTTGAGACTGCTCTGGGATGCTCTTCCATATACCCTCAGTAGAAAACAGTGCACCTGTCTTTTAGGAAAAGGCCAAATAATGGCAAACTCATTGCTTCTTTGTTTTTTCCCTTTTTAATATTCATTGTCTCCCCCTTTTCCTACCCTTTCAAATAGGCATTGCATCTTAACTTGCTGACTCAGAGGTGCTGGTCATTATGGGAAATCAACTTGCTGGCATTGCTCCTTCCCAGATTCTCTCTGTCGAGAGTTATTTCTCAGATATCCATGACTTTGAATATGATAAGAGCCTGGGAAGTACTCGGTTTTTTAAAGTTGCTCGAGCAAAGCACCGGGAAGGCCTGGTGGTTGTGAAGGTCTTTGCAATTCAAGACCCCACGTTGCCTTTGACTAGTTATAAACAAGAGCTGGAGGAACTGAAAATCAGGCTTCATTCTGCACAGAACTGCCTACCTTTCCAGAAAGCAGCAGAGAAAGCATCCGAGAAAGCAGCCATGCTGTTTAGGCAGTATGTGAGAGACAACCTCTACGATCGAATCAGTACCCGTCCGTTTTTAAACAACATCGAGAAGCGCTGGATCGCCTTCCAGATCCTGACAGCTGTGGACCAAGCGCACAAATCTGGAGTCCGACATGGGGACATCAAGACCGAGAACGTGATGGTCACCAGTTGGAACTGGGTGCTTCTAACTGATTTTGCCAGTTTTAAGCCAACTTATCTTCCGGAGGACAATCCAGCAGATTTCAACTATTTCTTTGACACGTCACGCAGGAGGACTTGCTATATAGCTCCTGAACGTTTCGTGGATGGTGGTATGTTTGCCACCGAGCTGGAGTATATGAGAGATCCCTCCACTCCACTGGTAGACCTAAATAGCAATCAGAGAACTCGGGGAGAGTTGAAGAGAGCCATGGACATCTTCTCAGCAGGTATTTGAGTTAGCTCGTTTGCATATTTTAACTGTCCAGCGTAGAAACGTAGCTTTTTGTAAGTTGCCAGATTTTCAAACATTCCTGAGTATGCCTTCGTGTACTGTTTTCATATAGATACACGATTTCCTCATTGGCCCTGCTTAAGTGACCAGAAAATGCAAAGTGCTTTTCATTCATGTAAACATTCAAAACATGCTTTCCCATGCTGGTGACATGAAAGGATGCTCCATGACTGTTTTAAGATGGAGAAAAAGTACATCTCACCCTGGGTTTGCTATGGTGGTAATGCGCATAAGATACCTTTACAGAAACTCGCAGTTAAATGAGTGGGTGTGACAGGGAGGGAGGCAGTGTCAGAGAAGTCTCAGTTAGAGTGGTGGGATTCAAGCTGAGGCCTCCGGAGTGACTGGGAGTTAGTTTGGGTAGTTTGTTTCAAGCAGTGTGTGATGCTCCTACCAGGCATCTGTGTGATATTGGTGTTTGTAGCTGTGCATTTACTCAAAGGACTAGTTGAGTCCCTCAGAGGTGTTTGGGGTTTTTTTTTTGTCTGTGTATATTCATGTGTGTGCAGGTGTGTGTGTATATGTATATATGTATGTACGCAAGCACACACACACACACACACACACACACACACACAGAGTGGACAGTGCCTGAGGAAGCACACCCAGGGTTGTCTCTGACCTCCACACTGTGGTAAGTTCCCTGCCAACTCTTAATTATTTTTTGAGGCAGGATCTCTCTCTGGGCAGGGAGCTTACCATGTAGGCTTCACTGGTCAGTGGACCCCAGAGATCTTTTCTGTGTCTGTGTCTTCAGCTCTGGAATTAGAGGCATGTACCACCCTACCCAGGTTTTTTTATGTGGGTTCTAGGATTTTAATTCAGGGCCTGATACTTGCAAAGCAAGTGATTTTCTGACTGAGCCATTCCCTAGGCCTGTATGAGTGTTTTTTTATTTTTCTTCGAGACAGAATTTCTGTGTGTTGCCCCTGGCTCTCCTGGAACTCGCTCTGTAGACCAGACTGGCCTGGAACTCAGAGATCCACCTGCCTCAGCCTTCCGAGCGCTGGGATTAAAGACTGCGCCACCACCGCCCGGCTAGTTTTGTTTTTTTAAAGTTTTGTAACTCTTTGACACTTATCAGACCACATCTTAATTGATTGCAGATTTTGAACCAGGTGACAGGGTCACAGATTACCATGGTGTAGAGCTTGTTTGGTGACTCCTCATTATGGTTTCTGGACTAATGTTCATAACTGTGATAGGGAACATTGCTTATTTATTCCTTTGACCCGACAGCTTTGCTGCTGTCGGTGCGCACATCTGGAGTTCCCGGGTCCTTCACGACACAGCTCTGGGTTTCTCCGAGTGCCTGGGGGCACGCTTCTCGAAGCCCACTCCTCAGATGCACTTAGGAGTTGACAGTAGACTCTGGGTGATGGCAGAGTGGCCCTCCCTTGTTTGCTGGAGCCATCCTGCCAGGCCTGAGTTAGGAAGGGTCTCTGTAAAGTTTTGTTTGTTTGTATCCCAGAGAACTTTGTAATTTCCTTTTGATTTTCCTCCCAACACTGGGAACGGACACAGGCTCCCACATCACGTAGTCAAGCACAGCATCTCTGAGCTACATCTGCAGCACTTTTCACACAGGAGCTGGCTAAGTTGTTCAGCTGGTCTTTAACTTTCTTCCCCCATTGGACCCTCCATGTAGCTGGGTTACAGGTGTGGCCTTCCATGTAGCTGGGTTACAGGTGTGGCCTTCCATGTAGCTGGGATTACAGATGTGGCCTTCCATGTAGCTGGGTTATAGGTGTGGCCTTCCATGTAGCTGGGATTACAGATGTGGCCTTCCATGTAGCTGGGATTACAGATGTGGCCTTCCATGTAGCTGGGTTACAGATGTGGCCCTTCATGTAGCTGGGATTACAGGTGTGGCCTTCCATGTAGCTGGGATTACAGGTGTGGCCTTCTATGTAGCTGGATTACAGATGTGGCCTTCCATTTAGCTGTAATTGCAGGAATGCACCACCACTCACCTCTCCTAAATTCCCTTGATCCATTAATTATTTAGGAGTTGTCTTGTCTACTCTTCTATTGCTGAGATAAAACACCCCGCCCAAGTCAATTAAAAAAAGACAGTGTTAAATTGGCTTTTGGTTTCATGGGGTTAGAGTATGTACACATGTCTCTGTGTGTTGGTTTCTCTTCTTGTGAAGCTTCCTGGATTCAGTCAAAGAGATTTAATTCTGATTACTTCCCAGAGGCCTCAGCTCTGACACCATTGCCAGAGTAAGGTTTCTCCATAATCCCTCACAGTGGGGCTTTGATTTCAACACAGGAAGCCTTGGAGTACACTGGCACTTTGTCTAAACCATAGCGGTGAGGGTCATTTTGGGGGTTAGCTGAGGTGGTCTAGAGAGTGTATATTCTGTAGGCTCCTGAGAATTTGCATTCTGCTGTCATGGGTAGGATGGCGTATTGATGTTTGTTAGAGCTACTTGGTTTACAGTGTTGTTCAGATCTCCTATTTCCTGCTTACATATGATAAATTAAATATTCTTAAATTACATTTATTTATTTTTATGGAAACACAGTGCAAGAGAACCTGCAAGGGAGTGTAGTGTGCAAATACTCACATACCTTGGTTTGTGTTTGGAGGTCAGACAGCTTGTGGGAATGGGTTCCCTCTTTTCACCATGTGGGACTTAGAGATTGAACTCAGGTCAGCAGACTTGGTGGCAAGTGCCTTTATACACTGAGCCATCTTACTGGCCTTGGCACTTGATATGTATTTTTTTTTCTTAAAAATAGCTGTTGCTGGAAATCCTTTATTCCAAAATAGACATATTATATAGGAATAATATGTATAAATAGGAATTAACAAATTTACTGAATGTTTATTATGTATCAGAATTATGTTAGTTGACGGGTTTTTCAGTGGACAAAAATTAGGAAAAACATCCTGTGGAGTTTGCATTCTAATGGGCACAGAGATAATAAACAGGCAACTTAAAATGGTCTACCAGTGGGTACTGTGGGGAAAAATGCTAGTGAAGTACTAGAAATGCTAGTATTTTCACTCACTAGAACAATAATAGTGAAAGAAAAAAAGAGTATGGAATATGGAGGAGCTGTAGTGGCTCTTACAGTCTCTTTTTGTTTTATTTATTTTTTTCTGAGACAGGGTCTCTCTGTAGCCCTGACTGACTTAGAACTCACTTTGTAGATCAGGCTGGCCTTGAACTCACAGAGATCCATCTGCTTCTGCCTTCCAAGTGCTGGGACCCAGTGGCCCCTGACATCTTAAACAGATAATTAGGAAAGGACTTACTGCTGGCTGACAGTGATCTGAAGGAGGTGGAGGTCTGCGATCCACTAGCACTTAGGGCCCAGCAGGTACAAGGCTGTAAGGTAGTTTGTTAAGGGTCTATAAGACTTGGTAAATGCATGTCATAGAATGACTCAATAAAACTGCTGTGTACATAAAAAGAAAATTGCTTTGTGCTTTTGAGAATGTTAGGTACTTAAAAAAATTATTGATTGAAGAGTGTTAGTGCAAAATGGTTGAATTATTTCCCCTTCTAGTTTACTCCCGCATTTTTAAACACTTGGTATATGTTTGCAATATTTAGCACTACAGATGAAATTTGTTCAGGGGTTATGTTCTGTCTTCCTTTCTAGGAGGGGAGCTTGGTGAAGGCAGGGTTTTTCTGCCTTGTGTTAGTCGTGCCTCTGCTAGGCAGCACCTGCTGCTTGTTTAGTGATGGACAGACCCCTAGACACTGCTTAGCACTTCTGAGCTTAATGCTGTACTCTTGTACTAAAGGGTTTCTTGTGGCTTTTAAACTCCCTATTTGCGTATATGTTTTTTTAAGGAGAAAAAGTGAACGATTGTCATTATGCTTATATCCTGATGCTCAAACCATTAGACGTGGCCTGTATAGTGCATTATACTTTTAAATTCAGTTGTCTTTGCATTTTGAGTGTTCTGATTTTTCTGAATTCTGATCTGTATTAAATGATCTCTTCATCTCATTCTAATGGAATTCTGTCTGATTTTCCAGGTTGTGTGATAGCGGAGCTTTTCACGGAAGGTGTACCATTGTTTGACCTCTCTCAACTATTGGCATATAGAAATGGACATTTTTTCCCTGAGCAAGTGCTAAATAAAATTGAAGATCACAGTATCAGAGAATTGGTAACTATGTTACAAATATTTGCCATACAGTTTTAATGGGAATATGTCCTAGGTGGCCTGCAACTCTCTGTGTTAGCTTACTCAGGGCAGGCCTCCTGCCGTAGCCTCCAGAGTGCTGGGATGACAGCCATGAGCCACACACTTAGTCCCTCCTCCACAACAAATTTGGAGCAAAACCTAGTACTGATAAACATGCCTTTGACACCTTATTAGAAAGAAATGTACTGTTTTAACCCCTTAGGCAAAAAGCACATTTGACATTTCAAAAAAGAAAAGAAAAAAAGACAGAAATGTGAATCCATTATCTGTTGTTCCATGATAATCTTGCCTGCTTTGGGCAGATTTGGAGGTGGGTGGGGCCTTCTGAGATAGAGCTTGCTGGTGAGGAATGAAGAAGACAGATGTCCATAGTGCTGAGTGGGCATCAGCCTGAGCAGAGCACAGTAGCGGGCCTCTTCCCGTGGAGGCAGATGTGGGCCGCCCTGGAAGGGGAGCTACAGTCACTTGGTTATGGTAGTACAGGCCAAGGAATTGTGTGCAAGGGCATCTGGTCAGATGTCTGGATCACTGTTTGAGGCGTCTTTTAAAGTAACTGCCACTGTGATAGTGACTCTGGTTGTATAAAGGCTACGGTGACGTCAGAATACCCTGCAGAATTCTAAGTGGGGAAGCATGCAGTCTGGTGGCATCCGCCTGCAATCCCAGCTACTTCGGAGGCCATGGAAAGGGAACTGCCTGAGGGTACAGACTGTGTTTAAGGCCAGTTTAGTGAATTCAGCAGATCCCTACCTGAAAATCAGTAAAGCTCAGGAGGTGCTGGGCTGTAGCTCGGGGGTCAGCACTGGCCTGGAATGTGTTTGCTGGAGGAGGGTGAAGAGGGGTGGTGGTAAGGCAGCCTGGACTTGAGGAAGACTGTCTCAAGAGCAGTAAAAAGGGAAATACTGGAAACAAGATGCTCCAGAGGACGCCAGCGTAGCTCTGGTAAGAAGCACACCTCCTGCTCCCCCTTGTAGCCGCCACTTGCCAGGTCATTTCACTGAGGAGCTTCGTGTCTTTGGAAAGTCAGTTTGTTTATTAATCTTCAAGGCGTTAATGCAAATGTAAAAGTAATTCTTAGATCATTTTCCCACATGGTACACTTGATCCCCCTAAGTTCAGTACTAGTTTCTAGGTTAGAATCCAAAAAGAAAGCCAAAATTGCAGATAACATTTTTATGATATTTTATGTATTTGACTAGTAGAAACATCGAACTGTTTTTTTTTATATATTAAATCAATCTATGTTCTTATATCAGGTATATTATTATTTCTAGTGTTCACATTTTCTCACATTTTTAAGTATTTTATTTCTATTTCAGAGTGTGTGTGTGTGCCTGCACATATGAGTGCAGAGTTCAGAGTTATTAAATCCCCTGGATCTGAAGTTATAAATGGTTGTGAGCCGCTTGATGTGGGTGCTGGGAGTTGAGCAAGTGCTCTTAGGTGCTGAGCCATCTCCCCACCCTAGTGTTGTATATCTTTGAAGTGCTGGGACTAACACAGGACCTCACACAGTGATGCCAGTGCTCTCTCCTTGAGCTACATACCAGCCCTTTGATTCTCCTCTGGACCAAACTACACTTAAGCCACGTGCTAATCTTTGGGATTTGTGGTAGTACAGTTTAAAGCAGAACTCTTAATTAGGGCTCTGAAATGACTCAGGTGTCCTATAATTTCTTGCAGATTCATGTTGTTTTGTGTGTACAACTGCGCCTGTTTGTTTTTCTCTGAAGGTTTGTTGCTTTTCTAATCACAAATATCAAACAGGGTGTGACCTCTTATATACCAGACTGTCTGTGCACCTTAGTATGTAACGTCCTGTTGCCTTCTGGGATGATGAGAGACACAGTTTGTGGTTCTAAAGAGAAAGGATAGCTGGAAATGGTGGTACATGCCTTTGATCCCAGGACTCAGGAGAGGCAGAGATAGTGGATCTCTGTGTGGGCCTGACCAACCTGGTCTCCATAGTGAGTTCCAGGCCAGCCAGAGCTGCATGTTCATATACTGTTTAGGAAAAAAAAAAATGGTTGAACAAAGAGAATAATTCAAATTACTTTAGGAATTCTTTAAATCACACGTAATTGCTCTTCTTGTGTGTGTGTGTGTGTGTGTGTGTAGGATCTTCTGTAGTCCAAGCTGGCCTTGTACTTGTTACCATAGTTCAGGAGGCTGGTCTTGAACTCATCTTATAGCCCAAGCCTCCGGAGTGCTGGGCTGACAGGTGTGTGCCACTCCATCTGGCTTTCATTTCGTGCTCTAAAATGCACCCTTTTCTCTTTGTCTTTCACATAGGTAACTCAGATGATCCATCGTGAGCCAGAAAAGCGTTTGGAGGCTGAGGATTACTTGAAGCAGCAGCGTGGCAATGCTTTCCCTGAGATATTTTACACTTTCCTTCAGCCTTACATGGCTCAGTTTGCCAAGGAAACTTTCCTCTCTGCAGATGAGCGGATTTTGGTTATACGGAAGGATTTGGGCAATATTATTCACAATCTTTGTGGACACGATTTGCCAGAAAAAGCAGAAGGGGAACCCAAGGAAAGTGGGCTGGTTGTCCTGGTGTCTGTCATAACATCCTGCCTGCAGACGCTGAAGTCCTGTGACTCCAAACTGGCTGCCTTGGAGCTCATTCTCCATTTGGCCCCGAAGCTGAGCGTAGAGATCCTTCTGGACCGCATTACTCCGTACTTGTTGCATTTCAGCAATGACTCTGTTCCCAGAGTGAGGGCAGAAGCCCTGAGGACGCTCACCAAAGTTCTTGCCCTTGTCAAAGAGGTTCCTCGTAATGATGTCAATATCTATCCAGAGTACATTCTCCCAGGCATAGCTCACCTGGCCCAAGATGATGCTACTATCGTCAGACTGGCCTATGCTGGTAAGAGTTCATTGTCCTAATTACAGCCTTGCACATGTTTTTCAAGTACTGACTGTCATACCTCTTGATTTTTTGATCTCTTTGGGAATTCCTTGTGTGAATTTTGCTCTTAAATTATGAATATGTATATCCATGTACATACTAATATTTATAGCTAATCTGTTCCTTGGGTATAATTTTGCATTTAAAATGATTAGAATTATCAAATGAAGAAGTGTACCGTGTGGACTCTCACAGTTTGACCTGGAATAGTACATTTAGCTGGAGGAAGGCTCATGTTTGCAAGTACCTGCTTCTGATTTAGAGTTGCAGCCTTTTCAAAGTTTCCCTGATCACACACTCTTATTTCAGGGCAGAACATTCTGTTGCTGTTGAGAAAGAACGTGATGTTGAAGGAAGGTTCTGAGTTAAGTCCCCATTCCCCTTACTTTAGCGCTCAGAATGCGTGACATCTTGATGAGATGGGTATGCCATGCACACCTACTTGCTCTGCTTAGAGTGCTCCCTCACAAAGCCTAACAGTAAAGATTCACGTTTTTAGCTCTTCGAACTAATTCTGAATGCTTACTTCACCATGGGAAATATCACTGAGACATTTACATAATCCATAATTTATATCTATGATCTAATGGAAAATGGACCTTCTGTTTTGAAATCTTTGTGCATAATGTGTAGCACACATGTGGCGATGATATTGCCATGATTTTGAAAGCTGTGTGCTTATTAGTTTGTTTATTTTTTGCCTGTCATTGTTAATAGAATACATGAAAACTGGTCTTTGGGCACTCATTTTCTATCTAGGCCCAACCCCAGAGGTTTGGCGGTTGTTGGGTGGTTTCAATGCATGCATTATTGTTCCTGATCTTTCCTGTTTGTGTTCTTGTTTGTATATTGTGGAGGCATAATGTGAGCCCTACAAGTTCAGGAGCTCTTTAAGACACATCTGAACATCGGATTTTATTATTTTGTGACAGCCTGTTTCTAATTCATTTGGGAATCAGGTAAATCAACTAACATACAAGAAACAAAGGTTTGTTGTTGTTGTTGTTTTGTTTTTTAAAAAAAACCCAATGTATATCATTCTTATCTTCATTTTATGACCCTATTTTTGGCTTAGCGTGTCTTACCTGTTTTCGGTTGTCATATAGGTAAAGTTCTGACGTGCAGGTACCATGTTAACATATTAACATCCAGTTTCTCCCAGGCCTAGCATGAAAGCAGTAGCTGCTGTGTATTCAAAACCCTGCTTGATGTCAAGACATTGATTGCTCAAGGTTACTGCAAGAGTTGGTTATGAGATTTTGCGTTAACTCTTGCAGCAGCTTTATGTAAGGTGTATTACCTTCTTTTTAAAGGTTAAGAAGACTGAGTGACAGGGCTGTGATCCACCTGTTTCTGGTCTAATGTCTAGTTCCTGGAGCTTTAGGGCTAGAACTTGGCCTTCAGACAGTAGTGCTTTTCTTTGGTTTCTCTGAGAGTCCGTCATAACTCAGAGTCAGAGACAGCACCTTTCAGTGAGAAAGAAATCCACCTGAGTAGAAGCAGGAACGTTTTTTGAACTTGGTGGTTAAATATAGTTAAATTATACACAGCAGTAAGTATAGACGTTTAAACTCCACCTTGTTTTTCTTTGCAGTATTCTTTTTCATCTCAAAAGATGCTGGCATAGACTTATATTTTATATAAAGTGAACTTAAAAGTGTGACTTACATGGAGAATTAAACTACCCAAACTTGAAAAAGCCCAGGAAAGAGTCTTTCATAATAAAGGTGCATGCCCAGCCTCCCATGTCTGTGAGTTATGTATCTATGGACTCAGCATGCTGAAGATTGAAAGTGTTTGAGAGAAGTCTTTATTAAAAATGTATGGGCTTTTTTGGTTATTCCCTAAATAATACAGTACAGCTATTTACATAGCATTGCATTAGGTGCTGTAAGGAGTTGGAAACGGAGTGTAGAGACGATTTGAAGTAAGTGGGAAGATGTGTTTAAAGTATGTAAGTGTGATGGCACTTTCTGCGAGGGACATGAGTTTCTGCAGAAGAGGCCTAGAGCTTCCCACTGTTCTACTGAGAACAGTGCACAGGTACTCAGGAAGTAGATATGTTTATTTAGAGTTTGGCTTATTGTCAGGTTTGACTTAGAAATCTCCCATCCATTTCTTGTTTGTTTGGTGTTGGGGATCAAACCCAAGGCCTTTGTGCTACCTGATACACAAGTATTCTGCTGAGCTACACCTTCGCCTTAGTTTCTCCTGTTAGGGTATTGTGGGATAGCATCATGCTTATGTAGTGTTTCTCTGTTTCTTTCTCTCTCTGTCTCTCTCTGTCTCTCTCTGTCTCTCTCTCTCTCTCTCTCTGTCTCTGTCTCTCTCTCTCTCTGTTTGGGGGTATGCATCTATGTACATATAAGGGTAGGTGTGGACGTTGGATGTCTTTTTATCTCTACCTTAATTTTTCTTTTTCTTTTTTCTTTTTTTTTTAAGAGCTGAGGATCGAACCCAGGGCCTCGTGCTTGCTAGGCAAATGCTCTACCACTGAGCTAAATCCCCAACCCCTCTACCTTAATTTTTGAGACAGTGTCTCACAGTTAACCTGGAACTCACCAATTTGGCTCAGCCAGCTGGCCAGCAAGCCCTAGAGCCTCCTGTCTCTTGTCTGCCCAGCACTGGGATTAGAGGCCTGTGCTGCCACATCCACCTTTTCACGTGGATGATGGGATCTGAGCACAGGTCATCATGCTTACATGGTAAGCACCATGGACTGAGCCATATTCCAAGCCCAAGTTTTTGTTTTATTTTGAGCAATGTTGAACCTGGCCATGGTGGGGACCTAAGATGGAGAGAAGTGCTGTACTGAATAGACTATTGTAGGGTGGCTTTGACTTCGTAGACATTACAAAGTAAGGACATGTGTAAGGCTGCGGATTTGATGTCCAGCACTTACTTTCAGTTTCAGGTGGTCATTGTATGGTGAGTGTTATTCATTGCTAAGAAAGGAGAGTGTAGTCTTTCCTACTTAGAGTCTTAGGTGAGGCACAGAGCAGAGGGCGAGGGAGGATGCAGAATAGGGATAACTAGAAACAGGAGAATAGTGAGGAACAGATGTAAGTGACAGTAGGTGTGATAGTAGACGTGAGAACGGGGTACACTGAGTGGTGAAGAGTATCAGTCAGTCTCAGATTGTCAGAGTAAAGACGGTCAGGACAGAAGTGTGGCCAGCAGGCTCACCCTTGTCCCCTGAGAACGTCAGAATATCACTTGGACAGCTGTCTGACGATGGCTGAGTAAGTTTAGTGATGACTTTTTAAGGTAGTCGTGACTCCTCACTTACCTGAACAAACTGAGGCTGTTGAAACAATAAGCTGGTAAGTGGCAGGCTTGAGGGATGAGTCCTGGTCTGTCTGATCCCAGGCCCCACATGATGTTCCTTTGGTGCTGATGTTTCTATTTTAGTCTAATAACTAACTTATCAGGACACCTTCAAAGACTAGCTCTGTGGTAGGATTGACTTTTTTCTTTTTATCTCTCATTAGAACCGAAGGCTCTATTTTAGACAGTTTCTGCATATACAGAATTTTTTGTTTTTTGTTTAGAGGTTATCATAGATTATGAGATCAATTACAGAGACTGATTAAGGGCTAACTTGCAAAATCCTGCTTTTCTTCCAGATTTTTTGAGTAATATTTAGCTGTATAAGGACTTGGGGATTCTGGGCCTAACGTGACCTGTAGTCATCAACTCTCTGGAGACAGAAGCAGGAGGAGCTCCAGTTTAAGGTCATCTGGGCTGCATAGGACCCTGTGTCAAAAAAGTTAAAGGACTTTGGGAGGAAAAGTTGTGAGCAGCTTGAAGATGGAGGTCGTGACTGTAACTGCTCTGCTGGTATCTTACAGAAAACATCGCCCTATTGGCTGAAACAGCTCTGCGCTTCCTGGAGCTAGTGCAGCTAAAAACTCTCAACATGGAGAACGACCCGGATAGTGAAGAGGTAGACGAAGCCACGCATCCAAATGGAGACTACGACACAGGTTGTGTTATTTCTCCTCTCAGAATTCCCATCGTTTGCACCAAGTCGTTAATGGTAACTTGCAAAAGCTGGTGCTCATTAGTCTCTTGTGACATGGAGGAGCAGCGAGTATTGGGAGGACGGACCCCTGGCACACTGTCCTTTCTGTCCTCACACGCTGTTAACTGGACACGATCCACTTGTGCTTGGAGATGCCACACTTGCTTCAGCCAGAGTCGTGTGAGCAATAAAGCCAGCTGAATTATGTGATTCTCATTAAAAAATGGAAGCATCATCACTAAAGAACCTAAACCCTTTCTTCTTGCGTGAATAGTGTTGAGTATCCTTAGTTATGAGCTGTTTTCATTAGTAATTGATATCTCTGGTTTGTATATCAAAGTTCCCTCTTTACTATAAAGAAACACATGATGATAAACTCACTGAGTCTAGTGGTTTAGGTTTCTTTGTATCTAAAAAAACTTTTAACAGGTTTTTAGCCGAAGACTTAGAAGTAGAATTAAATCTGCTTTGTGCTGGTTTAAATTGAGAATGATTAGAGAAATCTAGTTTATACATTCGTATGCTGTGGTGTGTCATAAAGAAAATGGGAGCATTTTCAGACAATGAATTTAGCTATCACAGCTTTGGAGGAGCTGACGTTTCCTTTGCTGTGAGCGTGTAGTTTTCCCCACCAGACATCAGCTTTTCCTGGGAAGCACTGGGCAGGGTCGGACTGCTTTTCTCCCTTCCGTTCAGCTGAGGTGGCTAAGCATGTGCTCTGCAGCTAGGGAACAGTAGGAAATGGCAAGGACTGTGACCAGTGCTCTCAGATGGGGACTTTAGCAAGGGACAGACAGACACCTAGGTAGACAGATGAGGATGAGTAGGAGGTATGGTCAGAGAGGAAGGCTGCTCAAACCATATAAAGGACTTATGATAGACATAAAATACATATGTACATATGTATATGCATATATACAAAATACATATATACATAAAATACATATATGAAATCAACTTACTTTAAAATGTTTTCTGAAAGTTACATGCTGGACCAGTCTGGTACTTTCATGACCTTGCATGAGGTAATCTTTGGGGGAGGTAATGAACTCTCCTTCCTGGTGCTTCCTCCTCCATTTCTTCTTGAGCTCATAAACCAAGAGACATTTTGTGGGGTCGTATCTGTCCTCACAGCATCCCACCTGCTGACCTTTGAACAGTAGGAAAGCTTAGCAAATACAGGATTTGTGTGGACGCTTCTGCCATCGTTCCATTACTCCACTGAGAAAGAAAGAAGACAGGTCTGGGTGTGGGTGGGCCCTTCCTGTAATTTCATCACTCTGGAGGCCACATTGGAGAATTGAGACCCTGTCTCAACTAAAATGACAAAATACAAAATGTTTGGTCTACATGTGTGGGAGAAAATTGATCCTTGTTTCTGTTTTTTTAGAGCTCCAAGCCTTACATGAAATGGTTCAGCAGAAAGTTGTCACTTTGTTAAGCGACCCTGAAAATATCGTGAAACAAACTTTAATGGAAAATGGAATCACACGTTTGTGTGTCTTCTTCGGACGTCAGAAAGCTAATGATGTTTTGCTGTCCCACATGATCACCTTCCTAAATGATAAGAATGATTGGCACCTGCGTGGAGCTTTCTTTGACAGTATAGTTGGTATGTTTGTGTTTGTTTTTAAATTCATCTGTAAAATTATAAATTCCCTCTCAGATCCTTCCATTGGTTTGAAAGATAGGTAATGATATTATCAAGTTTTGTTTAGTGAAGAGTTCTGAGTACTTCTGTCCATCTTCATGTTCCTTTGTAATATAACTGATCAAGGAGCAGTTTAATTAATCTGCATTGTAGTGACGTGAAGAAATAGCATGTAATCGTTAAGAACAGTGACATGAGAAAGGGCATGAAGTATTGTGGAAGTGACTGAGAGAGTTCAGGTCTGCCTGAAGTGTGACCCGGTTGGTGTATAGGACAGAAACTGAAACCAGTCTGTTTAAGGTAGAGGCTGCAGTTACATGATGCCTATCATCTGCTGGGCTAGGATAGCAGCTGATTGTTTGGTTTAAAGTTTCCATATTTGTCAAATTTTCTACAACAGACATTAATTTTCTTTTTAGAAGTTTTTTTTAGTTAAATGTATTTTGCTGGGGGAGGGGTGCATGTACCATGGTGTGCATGTGGAGATCAAGGGGTAACTTTTGAGAGTTGGTCTTCTCTTTCCACTAGGTGGGACTTAGGGATTGAACTCAGGTCTTCAGGCCTGATATTAGGTACTGTAGATAATAGTACTTCCTAATTTGTTTTATATTTTAAAAATCTAAGTATTTCCTAACATTTCTAATTGATCTTTGAAACTATACTCTAATAGATTCCTATTATTTTTATTCCGTTAGATAATTTTATCAAAATTCATTTGAACTTTTAATGAAATATTTTGAATATTTAGTTGTTTTATTTTTATTTTTTTTATTTTGAGAAGGTCTTACTATGTATCCCAGGCTGGCCTGGAATTCTAAGCGCTTTGCTTCAGCCTCCCAAGTGCTGAGATCACCCATTAGTTTTAATTTTGAGTCATATTATGCAGGGAATCTTACATATTTATGTGAGGAATTAGCATGGTTAGGTATTTGAGTATGATCACGTGCTGCCTCATGGGCTTTGTTCTGAGACAGGATGCTAGCCATTGTCACTGTTACTCAGGTGAGTGAGCTTTATACCTGTCATATAGTGTAGCTTATTGTCTACTACATTGTTAGTACATGACTGATTTCTTATTAGTCTCTGTAGCTAGAAGTATACATTTTTTAAAAATAATTTATTTATTTTTATTTTATGTGTGTTGATTGGTATTTTGCCTGCATGTATGTTTATGTGGAGTTACAGACAGTTGTGAACTGCCATGTGGGTGCTGGGAATTGAACCCAGGTCCTCTGGAGGAACAGCCAATGCTCTTAACCAGTGAGCCATCTCTCCAGCCCCAGAAGTATACATTTTTTAAAAAATATTTTTATTTTATGTGTATTGATGTTTTGCCTGCATGAATGAATGTTTGTATGAGGGTATCAGATCCCCTGGAACTGGAACCACAGACAGTTGAGTTACCATGTGGGGGTGGGAATTGAACCCGGGTCCTCTGGAAGAGCAGTCAATGCTCTTAACCACTGAGCCATCTCCCCAGTCACAGAAGTATAAAATTTTCATAGAAAGTTTGAGTTCCACTTGAGTACACAGAGAGACTTTTACACAGAGAGAGCTTGCTGTTGCCATGATGGAGACCATGACCAAAAGCAACTTGAGGAGAGGGTTTATTTCATCTTACAGCCGACCGTCCATCGCTGAGGGAGTCAGGGTGGGAACTCAAGGCAGGAAACTAGAGGTGGGAACTGAAGCGGAGGCCAGGGAGGAATGCCGCTCACTGAACCTCCTGCCCAGGGCTGGCACTGCCCACAGTGGTCCAGGCATCTCCACGGCAATCATTAATCCAGAGAGTGACCCACACATTGTATAGGCTAAGCTGAAGGAGGCAGTTTGTAGCTGGAGAATTTTTCTCCAGCTCCCACCACCAAGTCCCGCCAGTCCCAGAGCCCACTTATAAAATAAACACACAGACTCTTACATTATTTAAACTGCTTGGCCATTAGCTCAGGCCTATCATTGTCTAGCTCTCACTCTTATATTCAGCCCATTTCTATTAATCTTTACTTTGCCACGTGGCTCGTGGCTTACCGGTACTTTACATCTTCCTTGTCTTGGCGGTGGCTCCAGCCGGTCTCCCTTTCCTTCCTCCTTCCTCAATTCTCCTCTCTCCCTTGTCCCACCTATCTTCCTGCCTGGTCACTGGCCAATCAGTGCTTTATTTATATAAAGCAATATCCACAGCACTTCCCCTTTTTTTCTTTTTCAAAAAGGAAGGTTTTAACTTCAACATAGTAATGTTACATATACCAAAATAATTATCAAGTAAGAATTATAGTTATAATATAAAAGAAGATATCTATCTTATATTTGTGAGTTTAAGGTTTTATATCTAACTTATCTTTTATCATAACTAAGGAAAATTGTAAGTATCTAGTCTTTAGCCACATCAAAGACCTCAGAAGGATATAATACTACCTGAGAAATGGGAGAAGGATGCAAGCAACTTTCAGGAGTCTTGTAGGGTAGACAGAGACAGCTGACAGCCTGGACAGTCATTCAAAGTTCTCTTGTAAAGTTGGGGCATCAGTCTTCAGCCCGCAGGCCTAGAGTCTCTCATTCACTTTTTTTTGTGTCCTGTAGAATGTCTTGCAGTTTTCTCTGTAAATCAGGAACCTGAAGGACCATTTTGTCAAGCAAAGTTCAGTGGTTACCTTTCTATGGGTCCTGTATGTCAAGTTGATCAAGAAGTCCAGGCAAGAACAGTTTCTTGTCCAAATGGCTATTTTTGTCAAGGTGAAGATAAACTCCATATGGAATGTCTTTGATGCCCATACTCTTCTCTGAAGTAAATTGGTGCTGTCAGGAGCAGACATGTCTCATTGTCCAGAAAGTCTAAATTTTTAAAACATTTTAAATGCCATATTCTGTAGGTCTTTGAAGTGTTTGAAGACTACCTATTTGAAATATATCTATGTATACCTAGAAGACTTAACTAACATGACTCAAATATGATTATCATAGATGACTAATTATTAATCTATTTTTAATTATCCATTACAATTTTAAATGAGCTACATAAACATAATACCTCAAACAAGAATAGAAATATATATACAGTATAACAAAATTAAGTTTAAATTTGTATCAATAAACTAAAATCTATAGCAATGTAAAACATTTTAAACAAGTTGTTACTCTTTAAAAGTAGGTTCCTTAATCTACCCTTTCATCCTATCATATCTAAACTATCCCCCCTTTTTTTTTAGAAAGAGATTGTATTTATAATCAACCTGCTTTAAATAAAAATATTGGTTTTTTTCTGTCCCACATCAGAGGGCTCTTCTGATTTGGGACACAAGAATCTTTTAACCTTTTTTTTTTTTTTTTTTTTTTTAAGCAATATGTCTGGGTTTAGAGGGGGAGTGAGCCAATTCCATCTCTAAAGCCAGCTTGGTATATTTGGGAATTTGGGCGTAGCTTCTCTTACTACTTCCTGCTGGAGGGGGGCGCTGTATATTAGGGGGACACAAAGAAAATTTTAGGATTATGGAGTAGTCCATGAGGGTGTATCGTCTGAGCCAGTTGCCTGAAACCATTTTGGATGTTGGATCATCTGGGCCATGGTGTCATTGGAGACCTTTCAGGGCGTCTTGGCTGGTCAAACCTGATGTATCTTAATCTGGAACAAATCCATAGCCTCTTGCTTTCTGTGGAAACAAAAACAGAGACTCTTTTCCAAAGCAGCATATCCTTATATCCAAATTTTGAAGTCAATGTACCTTTAAAATTTACATTTTGGCATAACTCAACAGCTTTTACAATCAAATGTTTTTCTTCAGTTACGAATATCAAAAGACAACATAATCCAGATTATCTGTGTGATAGCCATCTTTACATGGCTTATTACCTTTAATGTTTGTTTAAAGACTTTATTTTTAAAAACTATCTATTTGTTTATATAACTGTATATATTTCTTTTTTTTCTCTTTTAAGCCTACGTACATTTTACACACATTATAAACTATTTCATCTGAATCAGTCTTATTGTGAACCTATTGCTTTGAACTGCAGCATTCTAAGACTGAAATAGCGCTGTGGCTGTTGGCTCCGCCCACTTTAGCTTCCCAACATGGTGGTGGTCCGTTTTTCGCCAGCTCTGGGAGCCGTAACTCTCAGAAATAGTGGGTCTACGCTCTTATCAAAGTAGCGTGTAGCCCAGAAACCTCTTTTTTTTTTTTTTAATATATACTAGTAAAGACTACATCTACCACACAGCGTAATGTGCTGCTGGCAGATGCCTTATTTCCGCCATACTGCTGGTCAGGAACCCGCCAGTAGTTCAAACCCGCGTTTTGCGGCGTCTAGCTGCCTGTATGAGACATGAAGCAGGAACCTGGTTTTGGCTCTGTTTAGAATTGGTTATTAAATATTTTCAGGTTTAAGGTGGAAACTCGAGCCGTTGGGCGCCATTTGTAGCTGGAGAATTTTTCTCCAGCTCCCACCACCAAGTCCCGCCAGTCCCAGAGCCCACTTATAGAACAAACACACAGACTCTTACATTATTTAAATTGCTTGGCCATTAGCTCAGGCCTATCATTGTCTAGCTCTCACTCTTATATTCAGCCCATTTCTATTAATCTTTACTTTGCCACGTGGCTCGTGGCTTACCGGTACTTTACATCTTCCTTGTCTTGGCGGTGGCTCCAGCCGGTCTCCCTTTCCTTCCTCCTTCCTCAATTCTCCTCTCTCCCTTGTCCCGCCTATACTTCCTGCCTGGTCACTGGCCAATCAGTGCTTTATTTATATAAAGCAATATCCACAGCAGCAGTTCATCACTGAGGTCCTAGTTCCCAGAAGATCCTACCCTTTGTCAAGTTGAACTAAGGGGCACAGTCCTGCTGCATATATGCATGCATGCATACATACATACATACATGCATACATACATACATGCATGCATACATGCATACATACATACATGCATACATACATACATTTCAGCTTATTTCAATGACTGAGTTAAAGAATATGAACATAGCTTTCATAGGAAGCACTCTAGTTCCCACCCAGTCAATAAAGTATTCTTTCTATAAACAAAGAATATGAACATATTTCTAATTTATTGACATATTTTATGTTAATTTTGCTCCATCAACTTTAGGTGCTACACACCCAACACACTCCCAGCCAGGAGTAGGCTTTACTTTTTGCTTGTTAAAAGGGTAAAGTAACAGATTTGCATGTATGTTTTTTGCTTGCTAGTCAAGCTGTAAAACCTTTTTCTGATGTTTCTGTGTTTGTATTTTACATTATCTTTTATTATTTTGGTTCTTTTTCTTGCACAAAGTTAAATTTATGCTTGTGGGTTTTTTGGAGTTTATAGAGTATTAACTCATTTTTAATGCAAGACCTTTTCTCTTTTAATTTAATTTTTTAAGTATATTTTAAAAATAATTGATATGTTTTGGTTTTTGAAGCAAGGTCTCACTGTGTAGTTCAGATTGGCCTCAACTCACTATCCTGCAGCCCAACACAGAATCATCCTGGGGTGATGATCATGTGTGTCACCGCACAGGGCTCAGGATGACGATGATCATGTGTGTCATCACACAGGGCTCCTTAGCTGACTTGCAGTCACACTTGATTTCTATGGTGATATTTTATTTGTATTAAAATGTTATTTGTATGTTAATAAATAAAGTTGCCCAGGGGTCAGAGCTATTAGCAAGCCATAGGAAAGCAGGGCAGTGGTGGTGTACGCTTGTAATTCCAGCACTTGGTAGGCAGAGCTGGGTAAGTAGCTGTGTGTTCAGGGATACAGCCATTATTGGATACACATGCCTTTAATCTCAATACCAATCATAGAAAACCTGGAGGCCTATACAGACAGGCTGTGATGAGGCGGTCATGTGGTTGGGTTTACAACCAATGAGAAGGCAGGACAGGAACTCTATATAAAGACTTTAACACAGGGGTAGCTCTGGTTCAGAGAGGTAGGACCACCGCAGGAGGAAGGGTAAGGTTTTAGCTCTTAGCTCTGACCTCTTGGCTTTCTTCTTTGCATTGGTTCTGTGTTTCTTATTTAATAAGAAGGTTGGTTACATCTACAGATTTCCCTTGTTTTTACAGTGCTGCTCACTTCTTCGTGTTCCTCAGCTTTTGGACGTTTACTTTCATATGTTGTTATTGCCCTGCTTTTTATTTGTAGTGTAACGAGATTAATGGCCTTCCCCTCCACACATGTGCACCCTCCCCTTGCTTTGTTAATTCTTCATACTTTCACTGCCGTAGTGAACATTTACTTTCTGTTCTATAATTAAAATAAGGTGTTTTCAAATAGACTTACTCTAAAGGATCAGGAGAGCACTTACATTATCACGAATGTGTTTTAATGACTGAGAGTTAGCTCGTCACTCCAGAGGGCTCTGGTGTGATCACGCCCTGCACTAGAGGTTACTGCAGCAGAGGTGTCTTCCGTCTGTCAGTGACTAGATTCATCATGCATTTTAACTGACTCCATGTTTAGAAGCGACCTGTTCCTTGCTCTGCAGTTTGGGATTTGCTTGCTGTCTTCCCTGCCTTCAGTAGTCTGCTTTCTTGCCAGTGTTGTTTGTTGCTTGGAAGGTACCTCATTTGTTCCTCATGTTATTCTTGGAATTGTGTGTGTGTGCACACACGCACGTGAGTGTTCGTGGAGGCTACAGATCAGTGTCAGGTGTCTCCTGTGGTCACTTTCCACCTCACTGCTTTGAGACGAGGTCTCTCTGAAGCTGGGGACCGTCCAGCCCTCTAGGAGTCCAGCCAGTGAGCTCTATGGATTCCCCTGCCTCCCCTTCCAGTGCCAGGGTGATAGCCTGGAGATTCAAACCTGGGTCCCCATGCTTCCACAGCAGGCACTTGACCAACCGAGCCACCTCTCTAGCCCTAGATGTCGCTGAAATAATTTATGTCTAACTGGACTGGAGGATTTTGTCCCTGGCTTTCCTCCTTGAATCCCTGGGGCTACCTCTGTGGTTTTGTGGATTCTCCACCTCCTGTTTATTTTGTTAGAGTTTTGTTTTCAGGAAACTTCTGAGGAAGGGCTGTCTAGGAGGTAAACCTCTATAGTCCTTGCATGTCTTAAACTGACTCATTTTTGCTTTCTTATTATTGACAGCTTGGGGAGACCTGTGTTTTCTCTTTTGTGAGTTCTGGTGTCCCCAAATTTCTGGATGATTGACTCTGGGGATTTTTCGTTTATTGTACTGGGAAGGAAGTGTGGTTCTTCCCTGGTTCTGATGAGTGGCCCGCTGTGTCCTTTGTCGCACGTGGTTTAGTGGCGATGCGCATTTTCAGGGGTGGAGTAACAGTAACCCTGCCTTCTCTTTCAGGGGTGGAGTAACAGTAACACTGCCTTCTCTTTCAGGTGTTGCCGCCTACGTTGGCTGGCAGAGCTCCTCCATCCTCAAACCCCTGCTCCAGCAAGGCCTCAGTGATGCTGAGGAGTTTGTCATTGGGAAAGCTCTCAATGCCCTGACCTGCATGTGCCAGTTAGGGCTGCTGCAGAAACCTCATGTCTATGAATTCGCCAGTGATATTGGTAAGCTTCTGTTTTTGAATGGGAAATTTGGGTGTGGGAATAACTTCATATAATTTCATTCTGATAGAGTAAGAATACATACAAAAGAAAACACAATATTTGTCCTTTTGGGTCTGTGTTACCTCACTCATGATTCTTTTTTTTTCTGGCTCCATCCATTTACCTGAAAACTTATATTTCCTTTCTTTACAGCTGACTGATATTCCACTGTGTACATGTACATGTTCATTATCTGTGATTCAGCTGACAGACTAGGCTGTTGTTACAACTAGAGCAGTAGTGACTATGGATGAACAGGTGTCTCTGGTAGGATGTAGAGTCCTTTGTGTAGATGCCCAAGAGCAGGATGGCTGGATCTTGAGGTAGATTGATCCTTACCTCCCGAGGAACTGCCGAACTGATGTCCGTAGCGGCTGTACCAGTTTGCACCCCACAGCAGTGAGTGAGTGTTCCTCTCTCCCCACATCCCGCCAGCATGTGCCATCATTTGTTTTATTGATCTTGGCCATTTTGACTGAGTTAAGATAAAATCTCAGTAGTTTTGATTTCCATTTCCCTTGTGGCTAAAGATGCTGAACATTTCTTTAGTGTTTCTCGGCCATTTCTCTTGTTTCATCTTTTGAGAACTCTCTGTTTAGTTCTGTTCCCCAATTTTAATTTGGATTCTTTGTTTGCTTGGTGTCTGGTGTTTCAGGTTTTTATGTAGTCTAGCTACTAACCCTCTATCAGATGAGTAACTGGTAAAGATACTTTTCTACCCTATGCCTGCAGTATATATGTGTCCTTAAAGATAAACAGGCTTTTGGTATTGTCTGTCTTTACATTTGTTTTCTTCGTTGTTTATTCAGCTTCTTTGTCTTTTGATTGTAAGTTTAATCCATCTTTATTTACAGTCAGTACTTAATAAGGACACATTAATGTTTTGTTACTGATTCTGATGGTTTTTAGAATCCCTCTATCATTCTTACGCTCTTGCATCTTCCTTCGTGATTTGATGATTTTTTTAAAGTGCTATGCTTTGAATCTTTAAAGTTGCATAAATTTCATTTTCCTACGTAAAACCTTACACTTTAATTTCTCCTCCTGTATTTTATGTTCTTGAGACAATGATTTATGTACGTTATATGTTGTGTATCTTTAAGCAAATTATTAGCACTAAAGTTCCAGGCTGGCCTTGAACTGCTGCAGTTCCCCCAGTGTGGGCATGCCAGGCACGAGCCACCACACTGGTTTAGTGTTGTAACTCTGAGATGAGCATGGCGGTGGTGATCTTGATGGTGATTCTCATGGTTTCCTTGGAGGTGGTCTTAAGAACTGTGATTCCTTCTTAGATAATCCTCAGTTCTCTGCTTTCCTCATGCTTGGCACCAGAGAACTGGAGCATATTAGAGAGGAAAGATTGATGCTGTATTTTCTGAGTTCTTTCAGCTCAGACATAAGGATTTGATGTACTTTGTCAGCTAATTACTGCTATAATAATGCAGTGTGTCTGTTAACCACAGAGTCTCAGTAAACACTGAGGTGTGTTTCTTGTCAGGCACCTAGGGTTGTGTGGGTGGCTCTGCTTCAGGCTGTGCATCTCCTTTGTCTTTTGAACATGATCTTTCTGTCTCATTGTGGGGCCATGGTTGTCACGGCTGAGGCTGCCCCAGCTGTTCTCACGGGGTACAAAGCTCAGGAGAGCAAGCCTGGCTGTGCAGCACATGCCCCTTTGCTAGCATCCGTTGACTGAGGGGCTGCTAGAGGCATGCTTATGTACGACAGCTGCACAGGAAGCACATACGTGGGGAAGCTTGGAATCAGTAATTGATCTTGCCCAGCACCCAACCCCCATCATGCCATCGTGGCTCTGTGCTTTCAAAAGGTTCTCAGTGCTTTGCCAATTCCTACTGTTCTGGATTGTTGAGGTGTTGGGATTGAACTCTGGGGCCTTGTGCATGTTAGATAAGCACCCTACACTGAACTCCATCCTCAGCCCATTTTCCTTCTTTACATCAAAGGGAAGAGCACCAGTCCTTCCTTGTCACATGGGTCAGGGCTGTGTGTGGATGGTGAAATAATCAAAACCTTCATGGGTAATGAGAAGACCGTGTGAGAACTTTGAAGAGATTTTTATTTTACTTTGTGTGAGGGGGTGTCTTTGTGTGCGCTCGAGGGCATGCATGTGTGCATATGTGCACTTGCACATGCCATTGCATGCTTGTGTGGTCAGAGGGCACCTCTGTGGAGTTGGTTCTCTCTTTCACTTTTCATGGGCCCCTGGGCTCTAACTCAGGTGGTCAGACATGGCGGCAGGAGCCTTTGCCCGCTGAGCTGTCTTGGCAGCCCTGAAGAGAGGGACATTGAACGTGTCTTTGTCTTTCATTTTCACGTACATGGTGACAGAGTTACGTCATTGCTCCCCTGGACTTCTGAGTATATCTTTGCATACTTAGAGCTCATGCAACTATTGTGTTTTAGAAGTTTGAATTTTATTCTAAGTCATGTTATTGTGACTTCGATTAGTTGAAATAAATGATTTAGGCTTAGTGCATAAAACTATTAAAAAGAAGGAAGACATTCTGTTTCCTTGGTTAATCTTAGTGTGAACACTGAAGAATGGACATGATGTGTTCTACTTTTCATGATGACATGATTATCATTATTGTAATGAAAATTATGAGTTATATGCTAGATTTGACCAAACCCTGCACTAAAAAGAATGTCAGATGGATCGGATTGTTTTCTCAATGCTATGGCCTGGAGAAGAAACGTTACTCACTGCACCTCCCCTCCTCCCGCCCCCATGTCTCTGCTTCTCGTATGGTAGCTGCTGTCCTGAACACATAGGGTAAAGTGGATCACTTCCTGTCTGTGTGGTGTTGGGATTTTTTATGTGTCTGTCCAATAGATTTTAATTTAGTGCTACAAATGAGTATGTGCTAATACACTTTCAACTCTGAAAAACAAATTTTACAAAGGAGATTGGTTTTATGGTATGGCTGGTAAGTATGATAGGGGAGTGTTATAACTTTGTATTATTGAGGTTTTTTTTTTTTTTTTTTTTTTTTTTTTTGGTTTTTCGAGACAGGGTTTCTCTGTGTAGCTTTGCGCCTTTCCTGGAACTCACTTGGTAGCCCAGGCTGGCCTCGAACTCACAGAGATCCGCCGGCCTCTGCCTCCCGAGTGCTGGGATTAAAGGCGTGCGCCACCACTGCCCGGCGGTATTATTGAGTTTTTATTTCAGGCTAATATGTGCAAGAACTTTCTAGTTACACTGAAGCTTGATGTCTTTATCAAATGGTTATAATGTAAGGGTTTGTATGACCTTAAAATGTAAAGTTTTGTGAATCTGGTTTGATCTGGTATCTTCTCTTCTTCCCCTTGTAGCCCCCTTCCTGTGTCATCCTAATCTGTGGATACGCTATGGTGCAGTGGGATTTATCACAGTGGTAGCTCATCAAATAAGTACTGCTGATGTCTACTGCAAGCTGATGCCTTATCTTGACCCATATATTACTCAACCAGTAATACAGGTACACAGGTTCCAGCTTGTGACCAGTCCTTTCCAATTATGTCTCAAGAGTCCTTTATATCAAAAGAGTCCTTAACATCAAATGTATTTAAGTTGGTCTGTAATATTTTCATATTCCTTTTGAGCTAACAATGTTAATAAACTGACCTCCCTTGTAGGAGAGACACTATCAGGAGGCTGTTACGTCATACACAGTATGGCACACAGAAGTTCAGACTCCATTTTCTTTGTGATATCTTGTAATGCATCTACTTTTATTTTTATTTTTTAAAGTTGTACTACTTTTTTATTTTATGTGTGTGGGTGTATTACACGAATGTATGTTGTATACCACCTGTGTGTGTGGTGTCCAGGGAGGTCAGAAGAAGGTTCTATGGGACCTTCTTCTGACCTCCCTGAGTTCTGGGAATGGAACCCTGGTCTTCTGGAAGACCATCCAGGGCTCTTAACCCTAAGCCATCTCTCTGGCCCTTGCTAGTTACTCTTACTTAGTTTATTATTTGTATTATCATTGATTTATATTTTTCAAAGCCAGGATCAAGAATTGAGAGGTTAATTATTCATGTTTCATAAGTCTAACCTTTCTTTGTTGTAAAATGTAAACTTTTTTAAAGTTTTAGTTTTGAGTTTATGTGTGTGTCCCAGTGTGGGTTTGTACACGTGAATACAGTGCTCTCAGGGGCCAGAAAAAGGCCTTGGATCCCCTGGGGCTAGAGTTAGATATGGTTGTGAGCCTCCCAGCATGAATGTTAGGAACCCAGTTCAGGTCCTGGAAGAGCAGTAAGCATTTATGATTGTTGAGCATCTCTCCAGCCCTTGTTTCTTCATTTGAGATTAGACAAAGGGACCCTTTAAGTTCCAGCTGCAATAGTTAATTATATCCAAAGAACGGTCTTTAGGTCTGGGTGTGGTGGTGCACACTTACAGTGCCAGTTCCCATGAGGCTGAGGCAGGAGGATTGTAAGTTCTTGGCCAGCCAGGGCTACATAAAGAATTTAAGGTTAGTGTGATTTACATAGTAAGGTCCTGTCTCATAAAACCAGGGACTGGGATATAGCTCAGTGGTAGAGCATTTGCCTACATGTTCAAAGACTTGGCTTCTATATCCCAACATTGACAGGAAAAACAAGAGTCCTTTTGGTCACTGCTGGTAGTGTCCATCCTTTTTATTATATATGCATTGACCAGAAAAGTGTTACAGGCCACTAAGAGAAAGAAGTCTTGAACTCTGGAGAGAATATTTTGCAGAAGGGTTTGGATCTCTCGGGGAAATGTGGTAACTGAAGGGAGGCCCCATGCAGTGGTTACTTGGATCTCTGGCCAGCGTCTGTGTCTTAGGCCTGTGAACCACGGGGCGGGGCGGGGTGGGGTGGGGGTGGACTTGTAGGTCTGGGAAGTATTCTGACCTCTGCAGATCCAGGAATGGCTTGCTCTGACTTTCTGAAACCTTTGCCTTTGGGTGTTTACTAGTCTTCTGTGGAGTAGACACAGATATGTACTCTAGTGGTAATACTGAAAGACAGGAAAACACTTAGGTCTTTAAAGCTGGCCAGTGTCTTATTTATCTCCTAATAAACAAAACAAAACATTATTTTCTTAGAAAACAAATACTTTTGTTAACTCTCCACAGGTTGTGCTTACTGGGTTTGGAAGTAATTGTTCTATGTACTGTAGTTTGAACTAACCGTCCTTTACTTTTCTCATATAGATTGAAAGGAAGCTTGTCCTGCTCAGTGTTCTAAAAGAGCCCGTGAGTCGCTCTATATTTGATTATGCTCTGAGGTCTAAGGACATCACTAGCTTGTTCAGACATCTTCACATGCGTCAGAAGAAGCGACATGGCTCTCTTCTCGACTGCCCTCCACCTGAGGACCCCGCCATAGCGCAGCTTCTGAAGAAACTGCTTTCACAGGTGTGTGCCTTCCTCGGGCCTTACATGTAAACAGGTTTCATGACAGTGGTGAAGCATCGATTAGGTTCTATCATGACAAATGAAAATAAATCTGCCTGTTAGCATCTTGTGTATTCTCTCTGGTAGCTCTGGAAAGAGAGCAGGCTTGACCTAAAATGCCGAGTTAGACTGAATAAGGAGTCACGGGAGACTATCAACTTCCTTTTGTGATTGCTGCGAGAACAGAAAGAGCCTTGAGTTTAAGTACTATTTTTAGTTCAGTCTGTACTTTACTATAATGAAGAAATATTTCAGAACACAGACACGATAGTCTCTCATCCCAGTCCACACTCACATCTTCTTACTGTGTGCAAACAGTTGCATTACCTTGGGTCTTCAGTTGAATAAGCCAGCAGTTTACTGTTGTGTTTATGTCTGAATTTGGATCAATTAACAAATCCTGTAAAAACTAAAAAATTTTCTAATAAAAACGCTTTTACTTCATTTGGCATTGGTAGGGCCTTTTTGATACACTGAGTTAGATTCATCTTTCTGTTTTATGTGGAATATGTGGGATCTAGAGTCAAAATCGGAATGAAGACTGTAATTGCTGGTACTCCATGAACAGAGAATAAAGACTAGGGACGACCACCATACGCTCTGCAGAGGGTTTTCATAGAGAGCTTGCTTACCAGCCATGTCTCACCTGAAAAAAAAAAAACACTCAGTTTGAGAGGTTGTTTTTAAGACAGGGACTCACTGTGTAACCCTGGCTGGCTTGACCTCACAACGTCGACCACGCTGGTCTCAAACTCAGAGAGAGATCTCCGTACCTCTGCTGAGATTAAAGGCACTTGCCACAACACAAAGGGCTCATCAGAGTTTGATGAGCTTTGTAGTATAAATGTTGTCATGTATTTTACTTGACCTTGAATATTCATTGATGAAGTTGTTGCTAGGAATTGAACTGGGAAGCACCCTCCACTTCTCTTAGTCTTCCTGGTCCTATTGTTTTCCCAGGTGCCTCTGCGACCGCCACTCCCTCAGTGCTAGCTCCCATTGTTGCATCCGTGATAAAATCACTAGCCTGTCTGACCTTGGTGCCTCTGAAAGGCAGTGCTTGGCGTATTTGTCATTTTCATCACATGTGTTTGAGTGGAGAAAGAGGAACACACTAGCCTGTCTTAAGTTGTTGCTGTTGATAGCATTAGGAGGCTCAAAGGGTGAGGAGATTGACACTCTGTTGCAGGGGCACTTGCTGCCAGCAGACGTGAGATGAGGCCAGAATGTAGGCGCCCAGTACAAAGGACAGAAACCACTAGCTTCCATTTTGTAAAGACACGTGATGAGTCCGCTGCTGTCTGTCCTTTCTGTGTTCTGTGACCGCCCTTAAAGACAGTGCCAGCGACTTGTGTTGTTATCTCTGTGCTATAGTTAGAGACGTGGTGCAGCTGTGGGCGCTTGCAGGGCACAGGGTGGTTTTCAAGCTGATACTTTACCTTGCGTCCATCATTGCTACTCGCCCCTGCTCGGATTCGTCCATCACTGCTGCTCGCCCCTGCTCGGATTCTAGAGAAGGAAGCCTGAGATGCAGGCTTGTTTGAGTTTGATAGATGCATGAAGAAGCCTGTGTGTAGCAGCTCTCTTCTCCACGTTTACTCCTTTCCCCTGGTTTTAGCCCGTCTTCTGTTTAGGTTCCCAGCATCACTAGCAGAGGCTTGGATCCTGGGGAGACTCTGGAGGTAGAATTTGAGTTCCTAATGCCCGGGCTAAAGAGAAAGAGAGCTGTAGCCTCTCCCAGTGGGAGCTCTGAACTCCTTTATCTTGGGGTTCAGCCCTTCTTTGCGCAGTTCGGTACTTGAGGTGTGTTGCCGGTGGGGTGGCTCCTCTAGGAGAGCCTGGTGCCGTTGTTGTGGGCATGTGTTCTGCGGCTGAGAACATGTTCTGCAGGCTTCAACATGCCTTTGGAACAGCAGTCATGTGGGGCTTGGAATCTCTCCAGCAGGATGTATCAGCAGGAGGTGACACATTTGGGAATGCTTTAGTTAGATCTCATCTAGAAGAGCTCTGTTTTGTATCCATTTAATAAGGGGCTATAAAGGACACAGGATGATTCATTCCACTCCTTACTTAAAAAAAATATATTTTAAACTTTTGACTGGATTTTTACGTTAGTAATTTTTGACTGTGTGGATACAAGTGTGAAATTGAAGCAGCCTGAGAAGATGCATAATAAAATCGAGTTTTTCTGTAGTCCCTCAGTTGGCTTCCGTCTAACCTTTCTCTGTTCGTTGTGGATTTCAGGTTGTTGGTGCTGAATTCCTTTACATAACATTGGGCCTGGTCTATGGACACTTGGAATCAGTTCCATCCTTTCTAGCCTGGCTTTCAGGCTTTGTAAGGACAGGTCCAGAGCATACTTTATACAGCCCCTTAGCCTCACCTACATGATGCTCTGTGGACCCACGCACACAATGGTCTGTGTTTCTGAAAGTTCTTTCACCTTTGGCAGATAGAAACACGTACTGTTGTGGGAATTATTGGTCTGTTGCTTTGCTGTTGTGCTTCTCCTGGCCTGGGTGGTCTCTGTATGCACGTGTAGTTTAATTTTCAGCCAGAGTTGAGGACACCCCCCTGCCTCAGCCCTCTGACATACTGACTGTGTGTAGCTGTTTTCTCCACTCATCTCCCCTTCTGCATTAACTTTTGTAGTATATTCTTGATGTGGGAACTGTTGTATGCTGGGTTCCTTTTCCATGCCCATGGCCTGGAAACTCTCCAGAAAGGATTCTGGACAGCTGTAAGAGCAGGACTCACCTCCGTCTTGGGGATTGTAACCCTGGGCTGCCTGTTTTCTCATCCTGAAGTGTCATTTCATGTTTTTCCATCCACTTCTAAGCATGGTTGAAGTGGGGAGGTGAATCTTGTCCCTGTTACTCCATCAGCCTGGCAGCAGATGCCTGCCGCATGTTAGTTGCGGGATGAGGAAGTACTGTCCCCCATCAGGCCGTCCCCAGAAGCCTGGCTGTGTTAGTGCTGGATGAGCAGTGCTACTCTGTCAGCCTGGCAGCAGACGCCTGCTAAGTGCTGATGGGTACTGCTTTGTAGCTTAGCCTTGGTTCTGTCTGAACAAAGTCCTCTTTTCTTTTTCAGGATTGTTTTGGTTATGCCTGGTCCTTTACATTTCCATACACAGTTCTTTATGCATTTTCTGAAATCACACTTCATAAAATGAAATCAGCCTGTTGGTGTGTTCCTTGATACTGCATTGAGCCTGTAGGAAAGATCTGAAGTCCAGCAGTGCTAAGTCTGCTGGTCCTTAGGGCCTGGTGTGTGTTCCCATTGTATGGTCATCTGTACTGTCCTCAGTGATATCTTCTGGGTTTTGCTGCAGAGCTTTGATCCTTTTTATTGTGAATACTTTGAGTGTTTGTTTAGTTTTTCTTCTTGAGTCAGGATCTTTGTAGCCCAGGCTGGATTGAATTTCCAGTCTTTGGGCCTCAGCCTCCCGGGTGCTGGGATTACAAGGGTGAACCCCCATGCTTTGGGTGTTTGATTTTTAAATGTTATCTATTTAATTACATTTTTTATTTATGTGTGTGTGTTTCTCTCTGTGAGTGTGTATCGTGTGCAAGTGCCTGTGAAGGCCAAAAGAGGGCACTGGGTTCCCTGGAGCTGAAGTTAGAGCCAGTTGTGAGCCAGCAGACGTGGGTATTGGGAACTGAACTTGGGTCCTCTGGAAGAGCAGCAAATGCTCTTCACCACCAAGCCACCTCTCCCGTCTTGTATTTACTTTTAAAAATTACAATTCTATTTGGAATATTAACATTTTCTTCTCATAGCTGATGTAGAAAATTTTCGTATGGACATTATAAAGGTTCATAAAGGGCTAGAGAGAAGGCTGAGCACTTAAAACTGTTGTTCTTGCAGAAGACTCTAATTCAGTTCCATCTCCCACATGGTAGCTCAGCATCTGTAACTCCAGTTTCAAGAGATGCCCTCTTCTAACTTCCACAGACACCAGGCGTGCATATGTGGAGCACATGCATATACACATGCAGGCAAAACACTCATAAAATAAATCTAAAAAAATAACTTCTTAAAAAACTTGATAAAACATCTTAGTTCTAATAATTTGCTTGGGTGTCTCTTTTGATTTTTGTAATTCCCAGTTGAATAATGTATGAAATAGTTGTTGAATATTCATTTCTATCTCATTCTGAACATCTGTTTCCCTTGCCTTATTGAAGTTATAGAACCTATAATACAGCATTATCAATGGGATTTGAGATGTAAAGATAATATGATGGAGAAAATGACCCTAGCAGAGTTTTCTAGAAGAGCCGGTAGTGATCTTTTCTTCTTTGTTTTCCTGCTTCACTTTGTCCTTTTTCAGTTTAAATTGGGAGTTGAACCTTCATTTATTAGTCATCCTGAGACCTGTTGTTTCTACTTTTGAAATTAACCCAAAATACATGGTTTAATTTGGTTTCAGGGAATGACCGAAGAAGAGGAAGATAAACTTCTGGCACTAAAGGACTTCATGATGAAATCCAACAGAGCGAAAGCTAATGCAGTGGACCAGAGCCATCTCCATGACAGCAGCCAGAAAGGTGTAATCGACTTGGCAGCCTTAGGCATCACTGGGAGACAGGTCGATCTTGTGAAAACCAAACAAGAACCAGATGAGAAACGAGGTTAGTACCTTGGTGTGCTCATCATGTTGTTATTAGTTATAAGGCTGGTATTAGTTAATAAAGAGTAAATACAGCCCTCCTCCCCCCATTTCCCAGATAGAGAACTGAGTGCAGTGACTCAGTTACTTAATAAGTAGACACAGGAGAGGAAAGGTCGGGGAGTGCAGTCCCAACTGAGAGCACAAGGCACCTGTCCAGGTCACAGCTCTGTCAAATGGAGGCCTGTCTCCAGAGCTCTTCACCTGGGAGGCCATGCTGCCTCCTGAGGAAGGGATGATTCGCGCTCTGTTTTCTCACCCTTTAACTGCTAACTCGAGGCCAACCAGATGCAAGTGTCTAGAGTAGGTAATGCCTGATGAATTTAAAATAAACAATGAAACAAAGAAGAGTAGAGCCCAAAGAATCCTTCATCATTTGGCAACTTGATATTTGGAACTATTGTCTCCTGTGACGGTGACATCGATTGTGTAAGGCTCATGTGATCATGTGCGCACCCTTTCTGCAGGTATAGTTCACTTAAATATATGCCTTTGAAATTCCCCCTGTTCCTATATCATATTTTAGGGCAGCAAATGAATTATATTGAAATAAGCTTGGGATAAAGTGTTTGCAACTTAATTACTAATGGCTTACATGCATTATATATAAAGGCACCCATACAGATTAATAAGAAAAAATCCACCACTCCAAAGGAAAAAGGGTGAAGGATTTAAGCAAATAATTGGTAGAATAGAATACTTATAAATGAAATATAAATAAATAAATGCAAATTAATATATCCATTTTCTACCTGGATCAATGTAGATGGACAATTCCTAGTGTTGGCAAAATTGTAGGTGAATAAATATTTTTGTGTGCTGAGATTCTAAGTTGAACATCCCCACATCTCCATACGTGCATACAGGGACATAGAGCTGAATAAAATGGAGCCCCAAAGGACACACAGGAAGTAAGAGCCATTGTGTAACAGTCAAATCACATTGGTTTTACCTTCAGACTAACTATCCCAAATATATTTTCATAGCTAGAAAACATGTAAAACAAGACTCCAATGTAAATGAAGAATGGAAAAGCATGTTTGGGTCACTGGAACCACCGAATATACCACAGGCCCTGCCTAAAACCAGTGACCACGAGGTGGTTCAGACTGGGAAGCCACCTCGCTCTGAGTCCTCTGCTGCTGTTTGTGTCCCCTTGTCAACTTCTCCACAGGTACTGTCGCGTAGGTTGTAGTCTCCTCAGGCCTGCGTCTTGTTCTGCTGTTGTGTCTGTAGAAAGGCTGTGTACTGTAGAGCAAGCAAGACGGCTTCTGAGAGCGGTTTAATTTTATAGCAAGGGAAACCCAGTTCCTCAAGCACTGAGAAGTCCATTCATTTGAGACACTTGCCAATAAAGCAAACTGAAATTGGGTTAAAGACTGAACCGAGATCATAATTAGGCTACAGAGAACATTTTACGTCTTTTTATTCTTCCTTCAATGTAACAAAAACCAAAAATATTTTGGGGGTAGGTTTCCGGATTGTCTGTGCATGTTAAATATTATAATGGCTTTGATGTATTTGAAGTGAGTTTGTAACTTAAGACAACTACCCCAACCAGTCATGTTTTAATTAGAAGAAACTGACTCAGACCTGCTGAAATTCCACTTGTTCTTTTCACCTGGGTTACTAGTGTTTTTTTAAGGAAGCTGGTATAATGTATAGATGCAAAATGGGAACATTTTAATCTTAAATATACCATGCCGTGACACAGGGATCTCTACTGTGCTTTTCAGGTTTCAGAAGTAACACACATCCCCAGTAAGAAGCCGGTGATTCAGGTTTTAAGTAGCACAGTCCTGCCGTCCACTTACCAGATCCGGATCACGACTTGCAAGACTGAACTTCAGCAGCTCATACAGCAGAAGCGTGAGCAGTGCAATGCCGAGCGCATAGCCAAGCAGATGATGGAGAACGCTGAGTGGGAGAGCAAGCCACCGCCTCCCGGTGAGGACTCGTGTTCCTGCTCCCTCGCCTCGACCCCAAGCCTGGGCTCTAGTGTGGGAACTGAGTCAGATTAAGCATCCCTAATCAAAAATCAAAAACCCTTAGCTCAAAAGTTAAGGACTTTTAGCATTTCTGATTTGGTTAGGGAGGCGAAACCTCCAACATCTGAAACACTTCTGCTCATGAAAGCCTTGGAAAGGGCTCCTGAGCCTGCACCAGGCAACATGTACTTTAATAGCCAGAAGGAGAAACAGCCCAGAGCGGGAAGCAATGGGTAGGAAACCTGAAGTCAGTATGTGTGGACTTGGGATTGTTAGCTTTGATCGACTTGCAGTACTGCGTTCAGGCCGGCACTTAATGTAGCCTGTGTGTACTTCCCTTTTCCCGGCTGTGCGGGCTGTGGTGTGTTGTCTTGGTGTCACGCCTCCCCCCACTTTCACGTTTCCTCATAATGAACATGAGGTTTCTAGGGGTGAACCCCTGCTTTTAATTACTGTGGAGTTTACCCTCTGATAGTGTTATTACTAAAGAAAAGCTAGGCCATTCAGAAAATACAGAGACTGTTGAAAAGAACAGAGTAACTCACAGTGCCAGCATTTAGCTAATCACCAACAGTAAGAATTTGGCAAAATGGTCTGAAGAGATGGCTCAGCAGTTAAGAACCCTGTCTGCTCTTGTAGTGTAGAGGATCCGAGTTTGATTCCCAGCACCTGCATGATGGCTTACAACCATCCATAACCTCAGTTCCAGGGGATCTGACTCACTGTTCTGGCCTCCTTGATCACCAGGCATGTATGTGGTGCACAGACATGAAGCTAAAATACCCATGCACATAAAAAACAAAAACAAAATCCCACAAAACTTTTAAAGAATTTGATAAAACAGTTCCTGTTTTCTGAGAGGGTTAATAGAACTGGAGAGCATGTTGGGCTCAGGATGTGGTCCCTTGTATTAGCAGCCCACTTTGTGTAGTGTGGCAGCTGCTCTTTGGTTCTGTTGTTGTAGATTTTTAAAAAATTAATGAATTTCAGTATGTCCGCTGTGACAGTAGAAACTTACTTAACACAGAAGAAATGCATAGCGTGCTTACCTTTAGACTGTGAAGGGCTCGCAGGAATTCCTGTGAGCCTTGATGTGGTCTCAGGAAGCACTGGTGGAGGGCGCTTGAAGAAGATTTAGAGAATACTGAAGTGCTAAGCAGTCTAGTCAGATGCTGTTATCAAAATAAATATCCTGGAATCTTCAAGCTGTTTCTATGATGTAAGCGAATGTCACCTACCTACCAGATCTGCTTAAAAACATAAAAAATATGACTACTCATAATCTTGTGTTACGATCCTTTTCACAGGTGGCATTTCATACATAAATGGAGTTACACATTTTATTCAGTAACCATAGAAATGTGCAGTGATTGTCGAATTCTTACTTTTTTTCTTCTTTCCACACTTGAGTGGTTGTATAGAATAGCCTAACCTGTAGATCTTGTAGACTTCATGGTCCCTCAGACTAAGTATATCTTTCTTAGCTTTTGTGTTCCCATGGGGGCAACTTAGCAATCCAAGGGGAAACTTCGTTTTTAATGTTGAGTAAATCACATTTGTCAGGAATCTTGGTTTTATTTTTGCCTTTTGGTAAGAAAACAGTCATTAAAAATGACATTGCTACCACTCAGGCACAGGGATGACATCCACTGTAGGTCTGATTTTTAGCAAAACTTTTTGTTTTATTTTAAAATTAAGTAATATTAACTATATACAATGTTTTATTTATACAAGCTATGTATTATTTATTTATTTATGTATTTATTTATTTATGTATTTATTTATTTATTGGTTTTTCGAGACAGGGTTTCTCTGTGTAGTTTTGGAACCTGTCCTGGAACTCACTTTGTAGACCTGGCTGGCCTCGAACTCACAAGAGATCTGCCTGCCTCTCTCTCCTGAGTGCTGCGATTGAAGGCGTGCACCACCCCAGTTATGTGCAGGGACCTATGCTGAGCACTGAGGTCATTGATGAGACATGATTGTTGGTCTCATAATTTGTAACTTTGGGGAAATTAATTATACACAAAAGAATATGCATAATAAAATACAGAAAAGTAAGATGCCATCTTAAAAGTACTAGGAAGTCCATGTAGATTCTGAGGATGTAATTTCTATTTCTAGTGTGTTTATACCATAGACAAGTGATTGCAGAGAATGAAGAAATAAACAATCTAGACATTTTGCCTTTTTTGTTCATTTTGTTTGGGCACAGGTCTAAGTAACCTGGCTCTTCTGGAACTTGCTATGAGACCAGGCTGGCCTTGAACTCAAAGAGACCCACTTTTTCAACCTCCCAAGTGCTGGGACTAAATGCATGTGCCACTGTGCCCAGCTGACACCTGGGTGGTCATGTAGTCTGGGCAGTGTTGGACCCACACATGTTATTTATGTGTATACCTACCCCTTGGGTTAAGTGGTATATCCCCATGTTACATTTGAGAAGCTGAAAGCTTAGTGAAGTCCAGCTATAGCCTGGCTCACTGTAGTGTCCCAAGCTGGGGTTTTGCAAGTTTCTTGCTCAGAAAGTGGCCTGCAAGCTGTTTGTCTAGGCTAGGATGATCGTACCCCATTCTATTAAATCAGCAGGCAGTATTTTTCCGAGGGGTAATGGGCTGCTCTATCTCTCAAACACTGAAAAGGGCCCCAGGTGTGGAGTCTCTAAAGCTGTTTGAGCAGCTGCCTTGGTATGTTAGTAACATGCCACAGTCCAGTAGACCCCTCTGGATGGGCTAGCTGGGGGACCTTTTCACCAATTAGTTCTTCCAATTGCTCCAAAGTTAGTTGTCGATAATTGTAGCTAGAGGGTGATAGGTGACCGTGTGTCTCAACCACAGTCTAAGATACACTTTTGCTTTGTCTCAGGGTGGCGTCCTAAAGGTCTACTAGTTGCACATCTTCACGAGCACAAATCTGCTGTAAATCGAATTAGGGTCTCTGATGAGCACCTACTTTTTGCAACATGTTCAAATGACGGCACAGTGAAAATCTGGAACAGTCAGAAGATGGAGGGGAAGACTACCACGACAAGGTGACACATCACGTGATGTGAAGGGGTTAGCCTCATCAGCTAAATCAGCAGTGCTTATGAGTACTTTCTCTGCATCAGAGCTGCTTAGGAGCAAGGGATTCATGGGGCCTTGTGGACCAAGTCCTGTGCCACTGGCCATCCGGTGGGAAGTGAGACAGCCAGAAGTGTAACTAAAGTATTGAAAAGCTGTGGGAGATGATGACGAAATGGAGAGTGTTGCTGGAATTCTCTAGTAAACTGTCCAGAGACTACCTCACAGAGAAAATGAATCCGAAGAAAGAATTCGAAAAAGGGAGAAAGAGCTACAGGTTATGTTGAATGTTCTGGACAGAGGAAACAGGGACTTCACAGGCCCCAGGTGGGGTGGGGACCTGGTCAATCATTCCTGGCAGGAAGTTTTGTGTAACCTGAGCAAAACAGGAGAGATGGAGAGGAGGAGGAGGGACCAGTTCTGTAGGATTTTAGGGCTCTCATGGGAACTTTGAGTGAGAGGGGGTCTTGGAAGGTTGTGAACAGGGGGGTCATGATCCCAGATGTCAGAGGAATGACTCTGACTGCCCTGAGTGCAGGATGAAAAAGGTAAGGCAAGAGCAGTTGGAGGAATGTTCGTACACTCTGGTGGTGCAAGGAGATGGGGTCTAGACAGTGGGAGTGACCAGACTGTGCATCTGTTGATGGCTGAACACCTGATTTACTGAAGAGCTGAAAAGTGTCTGAACAGAAGTAACAGGACAGTGGGGTGGACAGCTGCATCAGACAAACAGGACCCACTCTGCTCTGGAGCCTGGTCTTTATGACCAGTGTCTTTGAGACTTTAAATGCCCAGGATATGAATTTGATAAATGTGATATTATAAGGACTTTAGATTTGGCAGCAGGATACATCTGTCTCCCCCACCCCAGCTTGAAGTTTTCTAACCCTCCTCTGCCTCTGCTCAGTCCGTGTCACTCTCATTTAATTCTTCCATTTTCCTGTTTGCTCTTCGCCTAATTGGTTTTGCCAGAAGAGCTACTATAAATGAGAAGGAATCTCATCTACATTGAAAAGATGTGGGGAACGCTCTGCTGCTTTTCTTGTGATTAGTTCATTGAGCATAATTAACTAAAATGCTATCAAATCAAATACCCTTGACAACTAAAGAAACTTAGAAGTCCACTTCTTGTTTACAAGCCTGGTAAGGTGGGGGGTTAGCTGTGTATTTGTTTAAAGGGCTCTGTGATTTTACATTATACCTATTATTTCTGTGTTTATTCTCTCTTGGCATTGCATTGAATAGAATATAAATGAATCATAGATGTATGTAGCAGTTTTATTTTTGTTTTGTGTGGCTTTTTTAAAAATTAATTATTTATTTTACAATCCAACCTCAGCCCCCCCCCCCATCCACCCTTCCTCATAATTGCTCAGAAAAGGGCAAGCCTCCCATGGCTTCAGCAAAGCATGGCATACCAAGCTGCCATACAACTAAGCACCTCCCCCTGTATTCAGGCTGGGCAAGGCCATCCAGCATGAGGAACAGGTTCCCAAGAGCCAGTCATAGCACCGGGGACAGCCCCTGCTCTCATTGCTGGGAGTCCCACATGTCGACCACGCTACACAACTGTCACATGTGTGGTCTAGGTTAGTCCCATGCAGGCTCCCTGGTTGTTGTTTCAGACTCTGGTTCCCATGAGCCAGGCTAGGGATTTCTGTGGGTTTTCCTGCAATGTTCCTAACTCCCTCCCCCTCCACACACACCATTTCCTACATCCCTTCTCCCTCTCCTCAGCAGGACTCCCTGAGTGCAAACCAGTGTTTAGCCTGAGTCTCTGAATCTGTCTCCATCACTGGATAAAGGCTCTACAGTGACAACAAGGTAGTCACCAATCTGATCACAGGGGATGGCCAGTTCAGACTATGCATCCACTACTGCGAGGAGTCTTAGCTGGGGCCATCCTTGTAGACTTGTGGGAGTTTCCCTTGCATCAGGCTTCTACCCAACTCCGTAAAGCCCCCCTTTCCAGTCATCTCTCTCAGCACTGTCCCCCTCTGCCCACCCCCAAAATCCGATCCCTCAAGTTCCCATGCCCACCCTCCCCCAGTCCACCCAGGAGATCTCCTCTATTTCCCCTTCCCAGTGAGATCCATGCATCACCCCCCTTGGGCCTTCATTGTTACCTAGCCTTTCTAGGTCTGAGGATTGTAGCATAGTTATCCTTTACTTTACAGTTAATATCCACTTATGAGTGAGTACATACTATGTTTGTCTTTCTGGGTCTGGGTTACCTCACTCAGGATGATTTTTTCTAGTTCTGTCCATTTGTCTGCAAATTTCATGATGTCATTATTTTTAACAGCTGAGTAAATGTAGCACATTTTCTTTATCCATTGTTCAGTTGAGGGGCATCTAGGTTGTTTCCAGGTTTTGGCTATTGCAAATAAAGCTGCTATGAACATAGTTGAGCAAGTATCCTTGTGGTATGATTGAGTATCCTTTGAGTATATGCCCAAGAGTGATATCGCTGGGTCTTGAGGTAGATTGATTGCCAATTTCCTGAGAAACTGCCATATAGATTTCCAACGTGGCTGTACAAGTTTGCACTCCCACCAGCAATGAAGGAGTGTTCCCCTTGCTCCACATCCTCTCCAGCATGAGCTGTCACTTGTGTTTTTGATCTTAACTATTTTGACAGGTGTAAGATGGAATCTCAGAGTCATTTTGATTTGCATTTCCCTGATGGCTAAGGATGATGAACATTTCTTTGTTTCTCTGCCATTTGAGATTCTTCTGTTGAGAATTCTCTGTTTAAGTCAGCACTCCATTTTTTAATTGGGTTGTTTGGTTTTTTGATGTCTAATTTCTGATTTCTTTATATATTTTGGAGATCAGCCTTCTGTAGGATGTGGGGTTGGTGAAGATCTTTTACTATTCTGTAAGCTGCCATTTTGTCCTATTGACAGTTACTTCTGCCTTACAGAAGTTTCTTTGTTTCATGAGGCCCCATTTATTAATTGTGGATCTTAGTGCCCATGCTATTGTTCTATTCAGAAGTTGTCTCCTGTGCCAGTGCATTTGAGATTATTTCCCACTTTCTCTTCTATCAGGCTCAGTGTATCTGGATTTGTGTTGAGGTCTTTGATCCACTTGGACTTGAGTTTTGTGCAGGATGATAGATATGGATCTATTTACATTCTTCTACATGCCAACATCCAGTTACACCAGCACCATTTGTTGAAGATGCTTTCTTTTCTCCATTGTATAGATTTTTTTAAACCAACATTTTATTTACACCTCCAAGCAAGTTATTTTTATTCTCAGCAATACTCACCCTTGGTTTATAACATAGTGTATTAATTACACTTCATGACAATAATTGACCAGAAAGAGAGAGGAATATATTATTAAAACAGAGTTTTGTGTGTTTAAATTAAGTTGCTGTTTATTTAATTTTTAAAAGATGTCAATTGTATTTCTCAGTAACTTCTTAAAAGCTTGGAAACTTTTAGTAAAACTCAAAACCAAGAAATTTAAAATGCTATTCAAACATATTTAATAAAAAAAGGCATCAGTGGAGAAAACCCAGTTAAGACGAGGAATAGATAGAACAATGTCAGACATACATCATCCCTATTAGTAACCACGGCGACTAATCAGGAGGGAAAGAGGCGGAAAGAAGGACACAGTTGGGACCACTTTTATGCTCTACAGAAAAAGACATCTTCAATTCAAAGGCATGAATGGGTTGAAAGGATCAGAAAGATAAACCACACGCCTCGGGGTGGTGAGAAAGATAAACCCTCAGAGAAACAACTCCTGAGCCACACACATTTGACTGTGTAAAAGCTCAGTCCATCAGGAAGGCATGCCAGTTACAAACGCAGGCACCTAACCAAGTATGTGAAGCAGAAAGTGACGGTTGACCCACAATAGCAGGAGACTTTAATGTCCCGTTTTCAGTGTGGCTCGACCCGGGTGATGGAAAGCGGCGCAGCAATAGAGGCCTTGGACAATGCTGCCCAGTGGTCACATCTGACAGAGAGCAAAAGAACTCTACAACACTGGAATAGAACGTGTTTTCTGAGGTGTACATGGGGTATTTCCAGACTAAACCATGTATTAGTTCATAAAAGAAGCGTCAATGAATGTCAAAGCATGGAGCGTATAAAGTATATTCTCCAGATATAGTGGATGAAGTTGGGTGGTGGCAATAGAGAGGATGTGAGGAGTTCGCATGTGTATGGAGATGAAGCAACGTATGGCTGAGAGCTTTGAGATGGATGGAAATGAAGACACACAAGATCCCAAAAGATGGGAGCGTGGCTAAGGAGTGTTGAGGAGATGTATACCTGTAAATAGTAATCTGTACTTTTTAAAAAAAGATCTCAAGTCAGCAATTTAGCTGAAACAGATTAGCCAGAGGAGAGCAGATTTAGCCCAGAGGAAGTGGGAGGAAGGAGACTAAAAAGGAAAAGATGAAATAGAGAACAGAAAAGCATAATAGAAGTAAAAGCAGAAAGTCGGTTCTTGATAAAGATCAGCGAAATTGGAAAATTTTTAGGGGAGTAACCAATGAAAATAGACTCATTACCCAAATCAGAATAATATCAGGGCTATTATGGTCAGAAGTAAAAATGACTACTATAAACAGTTATATGCCAAAAATTAGGATGAAATGGGCAAATTCATAGAAAGAAGCAGCTGCTTGAAGTGATTGAAGAAGAAATAGAACACATAAACAGCATAAAATTACGAGAGTCAGTTAGTAAAAGTCTTCTCACAAAGAAAGGCCCAGGCTGAGGGCTTTGTGGTGCACTCTATTCAACATTTAAAGAATTATAATCCATCTTTCAGAAGGGCTCCCAAGAAATAAGGGGACACTCTGAACTCAGCCCGTGAGCAGGTATTCCCTTAACACTGTAGCCAGGATACATGACCTGGGACTTACAGACTTGTGCCATAGTCAGCTTGGATGTGAAAATCCTCATCAGCACACTCTAAACTGGCTGGAGTCTGAAAGGATTATATTCTATGAACAAGAACAGCTTGCCCCAGGAGAGCAAGGCTAGTTCAGCATATGGAAATGAGCATACAAAATGTGAAGAGAAGAAAGGGTAGAAACCACCCCGTGATGTCTACAGACCCTGGGAATGCATTTGACCGAGTCCACCCTTTGGTAGTTAAAACCAACTCTGTAAATTAGTAATGGAGAAATAATCAAAGCCATTGCCACAAACCACAGCGGACACTGTACTCACCGTGAAGAGCGCAGGCATTCTCGATGAGAAATAAGAAGAATGAGTACTTTTGGCAATTCCACTGAGCATTACACTGGAGGGTCTAGCCAGGGTATTTAGGTAAGGAATACGTACATGTGCTCACACGCACGCGTACACACACACACACACTTGTATGTAATATTATACAATGGGAAAAAAGAAGTAAAACTATTTCTGATAGCAGTCAGCATGATCTAGTATAAGGAAAAAAAACATTAAATGAAAAGACAGAACGTAAGATCTTTATGCAAAGATCAATTTCATTTTCCTACACTAGCAGTAAATAGACTCCTTTCAGTGTAGTCTATAGTACAGTAAAGCTGTTACTAAGAAAAAGTGAACCAGAGAAGAATGATAGATAAAAATAACAAATGATCTACTTTTGTTTAAAAGTAAGTGTAAATAACACAAATTCTGTGGGGAGCGACAGGTTAGGTGGTGCTGATGGCAGCGTCCTGTCGATCAGATCCTCAGAAAGCATGGCAGCAAGCAAGGAAGGCTGGGGCAGCTTGAGAGGGCAGCGTGTGTGCGGCCGGATGCTGTACTGCAAGTCTGCATGTGTGGATGGTCAGTGGACTCCTCCTCTGGTCCTGCGAGGTAAGGCACTCTGTGGATGAGGAAACCGAGGTACAGATCATGACAGAGGTCGTGCAGGTAGCTGGGAACAGAATTTTGTTTCTGAAGTTAGAGCTTTCCCAACTGTGACAGTTTGCATGTTCAGAGCTATAGAAGAGCTGAATGATATGGGATTTAAAGTGTTGCACAAGGTGGAGAATTGGTTTGGAACTTGTGGGGCAAGGGCAGTCTCTATAATAGGACAGAAGTGCTTGAAGATGGACATTTGAAGAAAAGGAGGTCTGTGCATTGACTCTTAGAGAACATAAGGATAAAATGGACCTCAGAGTAATAACTTTGTTAATAACCATGTGAATTAATGTTAGCAATAATGGCTGTGGCTGTTTCAGAAATGGTCTTATATTTCTTTCATTCAGGTCTATTCTTACATACAGCCGAATTGGAGGGCGAGTCAAGACGCTAACATTTTGCCAAGGTTCCCACTACTTGGCCATTGCGTCTGATAATGGTGCTGTCCAACTTCTTGGAATTGAGGCTTCTAAGTTACCCAAGTCTCCTAAAATCCACCCTCTACAAAGCAGGTACTGTCCGATGTCTTTTTAACCTTGCATGTAAGTGTACTGTGTGGTAACTTCCACCTCCCCACACTGCAGAGTGGTGTGGACCAATTGGTGCTCCTCTATTGTACAATCCTTGTAAGCCCCGAAGGACAGGAAACTGCTTCTGACCCAGAACACTCATGTGCTTAGCTTTAGAGGGCAGAGCCTTGTCTTCTTATTTCTGCACTTTGTTAGAAGTGCACAGACAGACAGGGGCAGCCTGGACTCTATCATCTTAGTCTGGAATCTTCCTAAATGACACAGGTATTAGCCAGATTGTCTAACTATCAGAGCACAGCAAGTGTTCATCATTTAAGAAAACTCATGTTCTTTTGCTTGGCACTAAAATGTCTAAATTTGATAATATTTTTCAGACAAAAATTTGCTTATTGTTCTAAAATAAAATGTTGATTGGTTTTGTTTACGAATCTCATATCTTTGTAAATTAATAAAGATTAAACTTTATGTAAAATAAGTTAAAGACAGGCATTTTTTCACTGACCATTGTTATGCACTAAGGATTCCAGATATAAATAGATACATTGTATTCTTTCTCTCTCTTTTGTTAAAAAAAATTATGGCGTATGTTGGGTGCATGGGTTCCACAGGGAATTTGTAGGGTTAGAGGACAACTTTGAGGAGTCAGTTCTTCCTTCCACTATGGGTTCTGGAAATCAAACTCAGGTTGTCAGGCTTGGGTGGCAAGTGCTTTTACCCACTAAGTCATTGTGCCAGTTCCCCATTGTGTTCTCTGAGAATCTGTAGTCTGCTGGGAGGTAAAGACAAGTTCCCAGACAGTGTGAGCGCAGTGTGGTAATGTCCCACCTGGAAGGCACGCATCAAGTTGCAATGGACAAAGACTGGAGAAATGACTCCATTGATAAAGTCCCTTGCAGGCACGAGGGGACTAAGTTCCGATCTCTAGAACCCAAATACAAAGTGGTGCATGCCTGTAACCCTAGTGCTGTGAGATGGAGAGGACAGGAGGATCCCTGGAAGCTTGCAAGCCAGCTAACCTGCCTGTGTACCAAAGTTCCAGGCCAGTGAGAGATCCTGTCTCAAACAAAATGTGGCGGGTGCCTGAGGACTAGCAGTCAACATTGTCTTCTGACCCATAAATGCACACTATGTACTCACGTGCTCACACACGTATGCGCAAACAAGTGCATGCGTACATGCACCCAGACACTGAAAGGTGCAACTTCAGGCAAGTGAGTCTGTTAAAGCAGGGTGGTTGAGAAAGGCATGCTGGGAAGAGGTCGTGCACCCCCCAGAAAAAGCAAAATAAGACTTTAATTTAGTAAAATGCTGCCTTGAGATCCTTGTGTAGCTTAAGGTAAAAAGGAGTATCTGTTGGGGCACTTAGGATATCTTTGTTGGTGTGTCTTGCTTTGCTTTTTTTTTTTTTTTTTTTTTTTGGTTTTTCGAGACAGGGTTTCTCTGTGTTGCTTTGCTTTTGCATTTATAAAAAAGTGTGTATTTTCAGGATAATCACTAAATATATTTGAGTGGCTTTAGCCCAGGATATATTGATGGCTTCTAATAGCAAGTAGCTGCCCGTTTTCCTTAAAATTGTTTCTGCAGAGGATGACTCTTTATACTTACTGAGTTCATTTAAATTATTGGCAGAGTGTACTGTGTGATGGTTGTGCCCTAGGACACACAGACGGACAATAAAAGGGGACACACACTCCTCATGGTTCTCTCAGCTGACAACACTTTGCACTGTATACACTACTCTTTAAGCAAATGTTTGCTGCCTAGGTCGGGAGACCTTGCTGGATTGTTTAGATTTTACTGTGCCTGACTCTAGTGTGCTCCAAAGTAGCCTGGCCCTAAGTTACTCATCCGTTTGTAGCATTCAGCCCTATTAACTGTGATCATACTTCTTAAGCTTTAGAATCTGGCCTGGAGGGATGGCTCATCAGTAAATTACAGAGGATCCACGTTCAGTTCCCAGCACGTATGTCAAGCCACTCATAACTGCCTGTACCTCCAGTTCCAGGAGATCTGATGCCCTCATCTGGCTTCTGAGGGCACTGTGCACGTGTGTGCGCACACTCACACAACAATTAAAAAAGAATACTATGGAACAAACCATTTAATAACTATATTTTGATATTTTAAAAATCACCCTTCTATTTGGAAGTATAGTCAGAAGTAGAGTATCTATAAATGTTTATCTGAGAAGAGGTCAGCATAGTGTAGTCTACAGTATGGTCAGAAAGTAAGAATGATTTTTGCAGTTTTAAGAATAAAGGATATGCAGCCGAAGTATATATGACTCAAGACTAAAATAACTTACCAACTGACTTTTTTAATCCTGTCCTTTTCCCTTCCCGTTCTTTCCTCCTCCTCTTCCGTGTCTGTGATGCTGGGACCAACCGCAAGTCCTCATGTATACTAGGCAAGTGCTCAACTGCTGAGCTGCACCTCAGCCCTGTGACATTCTTTTTAGTTTTAGAAGCACCTCAGCTTGAAACAAACAAACAAAAAACCCAAAAACCAATTTGGCATTGCCATACAGTAGAATAGAATTTTGCAATGTGAAGAAGTGAACTATTAGCTCATGGCATCAGCATTGATGAATGTGAAATAAGTTTTCTAATGAAAAATGTCAGCTTCAAAAGGCTATCTGTCCCATGTTTCCAATTATACGACATTCTGGGAGGAACAAAATTGGTCTTTGCCATGAGTTGAGAGGACGGATGGAGTTAGATACAAATGGATACTTTAGAGGGTGCCAGACGGTTGGTTCTGTGAGGTAATGCAGGGGAAGATGCATAGCCATCTATGTATTTGTAATAATCCTTGTATTTTACACAAAGAGCTGATTTTATTAGTGTTAAAACAAGGTTGGTTTCTTAGTTTCAGTAAATATTCTGTTTATAGAAGATGGCAGTGTGAGGAGAAACTGAGTAAAAATGTTCAGAAACTTTTTACACTCTTCTGAGTCTGAAATTATCTTTAAAAATAGTCAGTTATAATTGTCTCATTGAGGTCACATAATTTTTATTTTATTTTTATTTTTATCTTTTTAGACAGGGTCTTAGCTCTCGCTGTCCTGGAACTTGATTATGTAGATAGGTCAACCCCAGACTCACAGAAATCATACTTTCTCTGCCTCTTCTTCTGCCTCTCAAGCGCTGGGATTAAAGGGTGTGCCACTCCAACTGGCCAGTTTTTCTTTTTTGGCTATGGATAGGCTGGTAGTTTATCTCAAGTGGAAACCAGTGCTCCATTTTCAGTGTCTGGAAAAGCTTGTGTATTTACTTCTGTGTTTCTGTAGGATTCTGGATCAGAAGGAAGATGGATGTGTGGTGGACATGCATCACTTCAACTCTGGGGCACAGTCTGTTCTTGCCTATGCCACGGTGAATGGGTCTCTGGTTGGCTGGGACCTCAGGTCTTCAAGCAATGCATGGACATTAAAGCATGACTTAAAGTCAGGTCTCATCACTTCCTTTGCTGTGGACATCCACCAGTGCTGGCTCTGCATAGGTAAGCCGACCGCTGTGTTGGGATGCCACCAACACCTGCAGGTAGCATCCTGGGAAAGCCAGCTTTCCTGTTGTCTTTACTGGTGATTTTTCCATCCCCTTTGTTTTCATAACTACTGTGTCATAGAATATCTTACAGTTTATCTTTTATTAGGCTTATATGAGGCTGGAAGTGTAGCTCAGTGAGAGTACTTGCCTAATATGCCTAAGGCCCTGGCCATACTCTCTAGCATCACACGCAAAGTAGGATAAAGGGTGTAGTTGAGCAGGGTGTGGTAGTACACCCTTGCAGTCACGGTGGTTGGGTAGTGCACCCTTGTAGTTACAGTGGTTGGCCAGTGGCACCTCAGCTACATAGTGAGTTCAAGGCCAACTTGGGTTACATGAAAGTATATTTAAAAAAAAAAAACCACAAGCAAAACATTGTCTGAAAGGATGAAATTAGTATAATAAAACAGAGAACGATTTCTTGTTCTCAGTGAGCATTTGTCTTAGACTCACAGCAATTAAGAGTTGTTGGAGTTCTCTGGGCTGTTGGAGAAGCTCCAACTTAAGGAAAACAGCATTTGAGTTTGAGCCAACACTTTTAAATCCCTGTGACCTCAGGCAAGCTACTTAACTCTGAGTCGGAGCATCTTCATTTTCTAATGGGACTAATTCCTTCAAAGGCTGCTTTGAAGATTTAGTGAGCAGAAGCATCTATCACAGGGCTAGTGGGAAAGCAGAACAATGGATTTCTGTGTTCCCATCTTCCACTCCCTTTGCCCTAAAGACTGAAGATGCATACTATCTTTCATCTATCTTTTGTTTGTTTTTGAAGTGTTTCTAAGTTCTGAAAATTACATACTCTAGTGTGACCCTTACCACAAACAGAATACAAATGATTCTTCTGAAAATAGCCTTTAACCAGTTTTTAAAATTATTAAAACAATATATATTGTTTACTCTTTGATAGTTTCATACATGTATACATTGTATTTTGAACATACTCACTTCTCACTTCTCCCTGTGCACTCCCACACCCCTTCCCAAATTCATGCTCCTTTAAAAAAAAAAAAAGAACTGCCAAGTCTCGTTGTCCTGCCCATGTGCCTGGGTAGAGGGCATCCACTGGAGCTTGGGTACCCTGAGGCAACATGGTTAAAGTGCCATCAGCTGTCCCTGTCTTCTCAGGTAGGGGTAGGCATTATGAGCCCCCCCCCCCCCCCCTTTCCAGGACGGACTGTTGACTGGCTTCTCTGTGTAGACTTCCACAGCTATGTGCGTTCATGACACTGTGCTACCCTGGTCCTCCATGACTGCTTACAGTCTTGCCGGCTGTGGCTTCTGTGGGGAGCACTGTAACTGTGTAGGGCAGCTCCAACTAAGCACTTGTATGAGTGTGTGTTTTGGGAGCCTGTAACGTTCAGGTTCCACATGGCTTGCTGAAGATTCTCAGTGTGTTGTCCCCACCCCACCTTTCCTTTGCTTTACCCACCTATTCCTCTTTCCCTGTCACATCACCTGTCTTCTGCTGTCTTCCCTCTCTCAAGATGTCCCTCCCCACCTCATGGCCCCTTTCTAGTTTCCTGGATTTAAAGGTGCTCCAAGTGTAATGCAGTTCTAAGATCTGATGCTAGGATCTGTAAGAGTGAAAACATGAGCTGTTTGTCTTTTTGGATCTCTGTTACTTAAGTATGATGTTTCTATTCCATCCCTTTACCTTCAGATTTCCTAATTTCAGTTTTCTTTACAGCTGAGTACAATGTCATTGTGTATAAGGTACCACATTGAGTTCATGGACATCAGAGCTGTTTCCATTTCCTAGCTGTTGGGAATAGAGCAGTAATGAACATGGATTAGCAGGTGTCTCTATAGGATATCATGGAGTCCTTTGGGTGTTTGCCCAAGATCAGTATAGCTGAATCACATGGTAGCTGTATCTCTAGCCTTTTGAGGAGCCCCCACACAGACTTGCAGAGTGGCTGTACCAGTTTGTGCCCCCAGCAGCTCTGAGTGAGGCCCCTTCTCCCACACCCTCCCCGGTTGTCATCGTTGTCATTGTCTTTAACCGGTGTAGACCCACTCAGCCAGTGTCTGTCCCCACTGCTTCATGCCCTTTCCAGAATGGCACAGAAACGGAATCCTACAGTGTGCATGCTATTTTTTTCACTAAACAAAGTTTGAGTAAGGCTTTCCATTGTTTTCATGTATGAGGAGTTTTAAATTATTTTTCATTTTATTTATAGATAATTTGTGTATTGACCACCCATGCTCCAGTTGGATGATTGAATTGTTTCTAGTTTGGGGCTTTTCTGAGTTAAATTTGCTATAAACATTTAGAAGTAGGTTTTTGTAGGAACTTTAATTCCTTTTTTCCAAGGTGTATACCCATGAGTGGGATTGCTGATTAAAAACAAATTCTAGTTTTAATTGCAATAATACTGTATCTAGGGGATACAATGTGGTATTTTGATACATGTTTATATTGATGAATGATTAAATCAGGTAATTAGGAAATCTGTCACCTCACATAGTTTGTGGTAAAAATATTTAAAACCTTCAGAAATTAGAATACAGAATGCATTGTCATTAATTGTAGTGACAGTTCTGTATGTCACTAAAGTCCCTTATACTGCTTGGCCTTAGAACTGCTTCTCACCATCTTCTTCCCCCTTTCCTGTTTTCAAAAGTCACATTTTCCCTGTGGTGTTGTGTGTTTTCTTTTATATTTGAGACAGGGTCCTAATTTATCCAGGCTGATCTACAATATCTAAGAATGACCTTGAACTTTCGATCTTTCTGCCTCTCTCTCCCAAGTACTGGGTAACACAGTGTCTTGTGGTATTGTATTCCCCCAAATATTGTGCATTCTAATAAACTTATCTGGGGTCAGAGACAGAGCAGCCACAATATTAAACATAAAGGATAGGCAGTGGTAGCACATGCCTTTAATCCTAGCATTCCAGAGGCAGAAATCCATGTGTTCAAGGATACAGACAGGCATGGTGACTCTTCACGCCTTTAATCCCAGAAAGCAAGCCTTTAATCCCAGGGAGTGGTGGTAGAAAGTAGAAAGGTCTATAAGGTGTGAGGACCAGAAACTAGGAGCATTTGGCTGGTTAAGCTTTCAGGCTTCTAGCAGCACAGTTCAGCTGAGAGCCATTGGGATATGAGGACACAGAGGCTTCCAGTCTGAGGAAACAAGACCAGCTAAGAAGTTGGCCAGGTGAGGTTAGCTGTGGCTTGTTCTGTCTCTTTAACCATCCAGCATTCACCCCAATAACTGGCCCCGGGTTTGATCTTATTAATAAGAACTTTAAAGATTCATGCTACAGTATCTGGCTCATGTCGTACTGGGCATGGAAGCAGGACTTTGTATGCTAGGCAAACACTCTGCTAATAGACATATATCCCCAGGTCCCTCCTGCATGGTGCCTTGAATATACTCCTTGAAGGTACCACATTTTCTCCTTTCTCTCATACCCAGAAAAGGCAAGGTTCTCTGCACTTGCGTTTAGGTTCCTGGGTCCCTTAGTTTACACTCTGTCGTTATGACACCCCGAGCACTGCGGAAGGTGAGGTGGTGTACAGCCAGCAAGTTGGCGAAGGACAGTGGTGTCTTCGGCGCCTGAGCAGCTTTGGGGAGGGCACTGACGCCACCTGTGGCTGTTTTCATCATCGTCATGGGGTGTGGTGAAGAGATATGGAGGGACTCACTGTCCTTCTGTCCATCTCTCTTGTGGAGTTGGAGACCAACCCAGCAATGTACTCTGCTCAGCTGCTCAGTGCTGGGACAGACACTGCTCTTTGGTCACAGGGGCCGCCATTCTTCTTAGAGTTTAGGATGCCATGAGGAGCTTGTGTGGGCACTCGCCCATTTTTCTGCGGTGGTTGGCCACCTACACCTGTCCTGTCTGCAGAGTGTTTTGGGGCAAAGGACACATGGAGCTGATTGGACTCTAATGACAGCACAAAACTGCTGCCACTTTGGACTTTGCAGTGATTACTAGGAATCATGGAAGCTGGAGCTGTTCTTCAGGCAGTCTGAATGTTCTGGCTCACCAAATTCAGTTTCATCTTCTCCACAGCTTCTGGTTTTGTGGGTGCCTTTGGCAGTTAATAACAGCACCAGTATTTAGTGAATTTTTCTTTTTGAATTTACATTCATTAGACAGTACTATAATAGCATTAGGATAAGCACTTTATGGCTGTTCTTTGGCAACCATGGCTGCTGTTTGAAACTGGGGAGAAAGCCTCATGGAAGAAAAGCCTTTTTTCTTCCCTTTCTTGATTCCAGGGTCTTATGGACACTAGGCAAGTGTTACACTGTTGAGCTATGGCCACAATCCTGTTTTCAGTTTTTATCTTGAAGCATAGTTTCACCAAGTTCCCCGGGCTGGTCTTGAACTTGCTCTGTAGCTGAGGCAGGCCTCAGCCTCCAGAATAGCTAAGATTATAATAGGTCTGTGACACCAGGCCTGGCAACAAAGCCTTTTTCTCAGTGACTAGGGCAGTTCTAAAACACCTTATCCAGGCTGGGTATGGTTGTGCATGTCTTTAATCCTAGTACTAGGGAGGTAGAAGCAGGTGTATTTCTGTGATTTTGAGGCCAGCCTGGTCTACATAACAAGTTCCAGGCCAGCTAGGGAGACATAGAGAGACCCTGTCTTAATCAAAAATCTAAAAATGTATTCATCCAAAGGCAGCACTGTTGGCCATTGTTGTAAATGCAGCATTGTGTCTTTGCTTAGATTTTAATGGTTTGTGCCTTTTAAACTTGAGGCACGAGCAGCGGTACCATGGCGTGTTGGGACATGAGGTTCCAGTTGCCGATTTCCAGTCACTGTCATCCCTCCAGAGCTCGCATCCGGCGCCTCTCCATGCACCCCTTGTCCCAGTCCTGGGTGATCGCAGGTAAGATGCAGCTGACATCGAGGTTGGGAATTACATTGTGTGTTGTTGCTGAGACCCTTGCTCTTTGAGTTTTTCTTTCACATATGAGCCAAGTGCTTGACTCTGTTCATATGGAAGCGGCCCACCGTTACGTTTTAAGTTCAGAACTAGCACCATCAACCGGTACCACCATTCTCCATTCCTTTCTTCCACCATCTCTCATCTTTCATTTCTTTCAAACCCATGCCCCCTACTTTGGTTAAAACTGCCAGCATCTTCCTGGAAATGTCAGGAGGAAGAGCTGTGGGCTCCTCTTCAGTAGCCATTCTTTCTGATCTGCATCTCTGTTTCTCACATGTGCCCTACCTTTCCATCACTGGTCACTCAGTGCTCTGGTATGGGTTCTGGAGCTATCTTTAATGTGTGTGGGTGTGTTGCCTGCATGCCTGTCTGTGTGCCCTGTGTGTGCAGTGCCCTTGGAGGCCAGAAGGTGTCATATCACCAGGGACTTGTGATATATTGTGTCTCCCAATATATTGTGCATCCTAATAAACTTATCTGGGGTCAGAGGACAGAACAGCCACTAGATAGACATAGAGGCCAGAAAATGGTGGCATACACGCCTTTAATCCTATCACTTGGGAGGCAGAGATCCATCAGATCTCTGTGAGTTCAAAGCCACACTGGAAACAGCCAGGCATGGTGACTCACACCTTTAATCCCAGGAAGTGATGGCAGGAAGCAGAAAGGTATTTAAGGTGTGAGGACCAGGAACTAGAGCTAGTTAAGCTTTTAGGCTTTTGAGCAGCAATTCAGCTGAGATTCATTCCATCTGAGGACTCAGAGGCTTCCAGTCTGAGGAAACAGGATCAGCTGAGGAACTGGCGAGGTGAGGTGGCTGTGGCCTGTTCTGCTTCTCTGATCTTCCAGCGTTCACCCCAATACCAGGCCCTGGGTTTGTTTTTATTAATAAGACTTTTTAAGATTCATGCTACAGGGACTAGAGTTAGGGACAGTTGTAAGCTGCCTTGTGAGTCTAGGAATCAAACCTGGGTCCCTGGAAAAGCAGCCAGTGCTCTTAGTTACAGAGCCATTCTCCAGCCTCACTTGGACAGATGTTTGAAATTAATTTTCCCGATCTGTGAAGTATAGTTGAAAACACCTCATGAGAACTGGAGATGACACTTCGGTCTGGCAGCACACCTAAGTTGATCGGCAGTAGTTCCTGATCATTTTAGGGTTTTCATCTGTCCTCCTCTTTCTCATATACAGTCCATACTCTGGAACCCAGTGGGATAAAAGTGGGGAGAGGAGAGCGCCAGCCAGCATAGCTATTCCCTGGCCACTGTGATACGAGCTACTGGGTTCTGCCTCTCTCCCCTCCTTGCCATGGTGAACTGAGAAGATGAGCCAGAATAAACCCCGGAGTCACTTTGCTCAGGTCATAGCAACGGATAAACAGGCTAATACACCTAAAAACACCAAACTCTACCGTGGTCCAAATGGCTTTATGTGGGCTTTTCCATCCGGTCAGGATCCCAGCAAGGCAAGCTTCTTTCTAAAGGTTCTTGTATACAGGTGTGGGTAGAGAGACCTCACAGAAGACGTGTGCTTAGTGGTAGAGTGTGGCAGTTGTTGTTGTGAGGGTCTGGTTACTGGAGTTTACAAAGATGTTGACTAGAAAAGCCACCTTGAGGGGAATAATGGGTGTGTGTGTGTGTGTGTGTGTGTGTGTGTGTGTGTGTGTGTGTGTGTGTGTGCGTGCGCGCACTCGCGCATGTGCATGAGCAGGCTCCCATGCACCTGAGCACATGTGGAGGTCAGAGGATAATTTTCCAGTCACTTCTCTCTTCCTTGGATTTGAGGTAGGGTCATTCCTGTTTCTGTTGCTGAGTTACATACTCTAGGCTAGCTGCCTTAAGAATTTCTCCTGTCTTCATCTACCATCTGGCTGTATGAATGCTGGGATTACAGATGTGCACCACTGCATGTGGCTCTTTACTTGAGTTTGGGGACCAATTGGGTCATCAGGTGGTGTAACAGCAAGTGCTTTTACCCTCTGAGCCATCTCCTCATCCCAAACCGTGATTCTAGATACAGTGAGGGACACAGTGAGGGTGGGCGATCTTTTCCCCTCCCCCTCCTGTCTATCAGTGCTGTTCACATTTGGTGACTTAACACAGACTTAACACTGGTTCTGCACTTAGAAGTCTGAGCTGTGTTCTGTGGGCAGAGTCAGCATGTGTCAGGACCACACTGGAGCTTGGGTGAGACTCCATTGCTTGCTTTTCCTGCTTCTCTTCCTACACTGTTTGGCTAATGTCCCCTCTTCCGAGCGGAAACAGCACCGAGGCCCATTCTGTTGATCATGAGTCCGCCTCCCTCTTACAGGCATGCTTGGGTTGTATTTAGGGCCGACTGGATGATCCTGAATAATTCACCCCTCTCAAGGTCCTTAGTTCCGTCTTTGTAGTAATCACTTTGTCATTTAAGGTAACATTTACAGGTTCTCAGGAGTAGGACTTAAACTGTTTGGGGGCCATTTTACTTTTAGACTGCTACAGGTCGAAGCTGGGTGGTACAAGAGCCTGGTGTGATTCATACAGGCCAAACTTGAGAGAGAGAGAGTAATATTCACTCCTGTGCTTTCTCCCATCACCCCCTGGGTTTGCGTGCCTCGCTGATTGGTTCCGTCCCTCTGCTCCTTTTGCGTCTTTCTGTTTAGTATTCCCACTAGAGTGGAAACTCCCTGTAATAGGGGATTCCCTGCATATTTCCCCCAGTGCCCAGGACAATGCTCACAGTGAATAGTGCCAGCTCTGTAGACGTCGATAATGAACCCTGGGATATTGTCACTCCCCCAGCACAGTACCTAAGGGACAGATTCTCTGTCAGGCCCATGGTTTCTACTCTTTAGCCGCCTCTACTCTCTGTCACAAATATCCTTCAGTTAGATCAAAACACCGTGAACTTTTTCCTCCTCAGTTCATTCTGCCTCAAACAAGCACCTGCTGCTCCATCTGTCCGGCCTTTTTGGGTCTGTGTGGGTGTTTTGCCTCAGCCCACAAGATATGCTGTTTCCATGTGTCTTTTCTTTTTCCTTTATTTATGCTGTAGATTCTTGAGGGGAAATCTGTGTGATTTGCCTTTCCACTCCATAGTCTCTTCAAGCCCTGGGTGGAGTGCAGTATAGATATTTGCTGTTAGGCTATCAAAAACAATTGTTTCCACTCACCCGGGCTGGTGGTGAGTTGTGCTGTCATTTTAAGGATTTTAGTATTTCTTGCAGGATGGAATAGAAACAGGCTGCCTTGCGTTTGCTACCAAGATGAGAAGGAAGAGCTAACAGTTCTTGTCTTTGTCTGTCAGCTGTTCAGGGCAACAATGAGGTCTCCATGTGGGACATGGAGACTGGGGACAGGAGACTGACTCTCTGGGCCAGCAGTGCACCACCACTTTCCGAATTACAGGTTTGTCACCAGCGTTTACTGTCACCTCCATCCTGAGCATGTGTAGGTATTTTAGCTTGCATGCTCTCTCATGAGTTTCTTAGTTTGTGTTATTGAAAACACAAATTAGACATTGCTGGGTCTGCTCCATTGGATGTCTGTGATCCCACATTGGAGCTCCTGTAGATACAAATCGAGCACAGCCCACTAATGAATGCAGTCTTCTTATGTCTGCAGGGTCCCCTGCAGGGCTTTTGTCTCTACATGATGGTGTAAAAGCAATATGCATTCACTAGAAAATGAACTTTGAATTTTGATCTATTCCCAGACTAGTGAGTGACCTGTGCTCTGGTCCTCTTGTGATGCTGGGTGTGGCAGTGAGCTGTAGCTCCTGGTCAGGCCATAAGGGTGAACCACCAGTTTTCTAGATTAGAGATAGTATTGGGCATCTGTACCTTGGATGAGTGGTGCTTGGGATAGATTTATCTATTGGTCTTGTTGCCAGGAGTATCTTGACAAGTAAGCTAAACGTAGGAAAGGTTTGACCCCCGCTTAATTAGGTCTTATGCAAAGTAGTCCTGAAGTTACGGTCTGAGTGTGTACCCAGGCTGGTCTTGAGCTGGTGACGCTCTAGCCTCTTCTTCCCAGAGCACTGGAACTACTGGTGCGCACCGCCATGCTCAGCCTGAGGGTCTTTTTTTGGATGAGGGGACATTGGGGATTGAACTCAGGGCTGTGCGTGTGCTGTGTAAGCACTCCACCCTGAGCTACACCCACAGCCCTTCCAGGCAGTTAGTTAGATCCTCAAGCTCCCTCAATAGAAAAGGATGAGACCATTCACAGGTCAGATGTCTTGAGGTGCCTGTACAGCTGTTGACAGTTAACTCACTTCTACTAAAAATGATAGTCATTTCTGGACTACGCTGATGTCTTTTATTTGACTGCTTGTCTGTTTCTTTCAAGCCTTCGCCTCACAGTGTTCATGGCATCTACTGCAGTCCTGCAGATGGAAATCCTATCCTGTTAACAGCTGGCTCAGACATGAAAATAAGGTGCAGTGTCTCAGAGAATGCTTCGGGTTTAAAACATGAAAGGATGCTTCAGTTTATAAGAGGTTGTTCTAGGTATTGGCCGTGTACTGTTAAACCCATCAGTACCTTGCCAGACAGCTATTAATGTTATGCTATTGATTCTAGAAAAATCTTTTCCTGATACATTAACCAATCCTTTTTGTGTAAGCCAGTAATATTAACTGTAGATCTGTTATTTATTCCTTCTCCCCTAGGTTCTGGGACTTGGTTTCCCCAGAAAGGTCCTATGTTGTAGCAGGAAGTACTAGTTCTCCATCTGTGTCCTACTACAGGAAGATAATAGAAGGCACTGAAGTCGTCCAGGTACGGGACTCTGTTTCGTTTCTGTGTGTGGGTGGGAAGAGTGGGCAGGGAGGCAGGATCTGGCCACACAGCTCAGTTCACTGTCCTTGCTTCTCCCCCGGAGTGATGGGAGTATAGGTGTGTGCACCCTGTACATGACTGTCAGCTTCAGAAGTGAACTTTTATCACAGTATAAAAAAGGCCTAGGAAATACTACTTTCCTTTTACAGGTGAGGAGGTTTAGTAACAGGGAAGTCTTTTGTCCTAGATCACATAGCTAACAAACAGGAAATGGAGACCCCAGCCTGGCTGTTGACCTCCAAAGCATGTGTTATTGACCTAGAGAATATCAGATGTGCTGGCCAGAGTAGGTGTTCCATAGGAGTTTTTAAAAATGCTAGACTATCAAGTGTTTATCTCTATTCTTTTCTTGTTAATATGCTGACCCATTTATAGTGGCTACTCATGCACTCTGATGATGACTGGGAACCTAGGAGGTCACTTTGGACTCTGCTTCATGGTGACTTTAAACAGGGGTTAACTTCCCAGCCACAGGAATATTGTCAAGAGGTAGAACATGGCATGGGTTTAACTTCAGGCCTTTGTTTTGACTTCTACCCCCTAAACAGGAAATTCAGAATAAGCAGAAGGTAGGACCAAGTGATGACACCCCTCGAAGGGGCCCAGAGTCTCTTCCTGTGGGACATCATGACATCATCACAGATATTGCCACCTTCCAGACAACTCAGGGCTTCATCGTGACTGCTTCTAGAGACGGGATTGTGAAGGTGTGGAAATAAATCCTTCTGATGTGTATAAAATGTAAAAATTCTAAATGTACCATAATTCAAGAAAAGAAAAAAAGGATTTCTAGAGAACATGGTTTTGACATGTCTGTATTACTGTTTCATGGCTAAACAAATCCCAGCCACAGTGGTTAAGGATGACATGGTGAGTTTATTCATGTGCATTTCTGAAGAGTTGGCCAGAGTACAATCTGGAAGTCCTCACTGTATATGGAACAGGTGAGAAGTGTAAAAAGTGAAGATGACTATGATGTCAGTTTATTTTGTATGGAAAATAATTGTAAGCTATTATGTAAACACTTTTGTTATTATAAATGCTGTTCAAACTGCAAGTAAAGCTATTCAAGCTTCCTGAGAGTTGGGATTTGTTTGGGGTGGTACTACAGTAGTAAACAGAAGCAGGGATGAACTGTGGCCTGGGTTGTTGCTAGGAAGCGGGACAGGACTCTTGCTCCTCTACTTGTTACCTTGCAGACAACTCAGGCTGCGGTCCACTACAGTTGAGTTCCTGTGTATCAGCTTGAGAGCAGTGAGGCCCTGCCTGGCCATCACTGTTACAGGCTCTACCAAAAATCCCCTTCAGCTTGCATTTTCTAATGAGAATTACTTACTAAATCTGAAAAAGAAGAGAATGTTCCAGGTAAAACTTTGGAAGCTGACAGATTTCTATGCAGACCCAATTCTCTTCACATTTTACTCTCTTCGATTAGAAAGGGTTTATGGTGTTTCAAATATGCTAATTTGAAATTAGTTACTTGAGGCTAAACACAGCTGAGTAGACAAACACACTGCATAGTTTTCATAACCCTCTTGTTATGTACCCCAGTTGGTTCCTGACACTTTCCATGTCAGTCCAGGATTCAACCCAGTTTCTGGAGGGCTTAGACTGCAGAAGTGTGAGAAAATACCAGTCATTCGGGTCAAAGCTGGCAGCGTTGGCTCTGCCTGGAGTTGTAGACTTTGGAAGCTTGGTATGCCCGTTGCCCAGTTGTACATCTTGTGTGCCGCCACCATTCAGAGTCATAGGGGCTCGGGGAGTTGTTTGGTGTGTAAGTGTCCAATGGAGAATGGACCTCAGGCATGAGCTGCTGGATAAAGGAATGCTTAACAGACCTGGCCTCGTTCTCCATTTACTTACCCATCCCACAGATGACCCTCTCTGAAAGAAGTTTATTTTCCTGAACTGGTACTATTACAGTCTGACAGCTTAGTTTAGAGATAATGGGAGGCAGATCCATTGCAGTCAGTTAAAATTATTTTTAAGCCAAGATGTACACATGCTTATTGTGTTTCTTGACTTAAACACAGCCTTACTAAATTTAGAGTCAGCTTAGTTTTTTCCAATTTCTACTTTTTGGAGACAGAAGTCATAAATCTAGGAATTTGGGGTTTTAAATTTTTTAATTTGTGTTTGTCTGCACAAACACAAATGTGTATGTGTGGTGCCCTGGGAGTCCAGAAGAGGGCATTTGATCCCCTGGAGTTGCAGGCAGCCGTGAGCCACCCGGTTGGAGTGTTGGGAACTAAACTCCAGCTCTCCGTAGGAGCAGATCTTAACTGCTGACCCACCCTAATGCCAGGGACTGACTTTTCAAAAAATGAATTATTGGCTGCTTTCTTCAGACCCTTAGTCTGTGAAGGATTAAATATACAACCCAAGATGATAAAATAATTTTAATCACCAAGCAGTTTTTAAAAATGTACTATACTTACCAACACAGAAGAAAATACATTTTCAAAGTATCTCCAACAATAAGTAAAGTATCTGTGTTCAACTAAAGTTAATCAGAAAAGCCCCTGCTTTTAAGATACCTCTTAAATATTGCTCAGCAATTTCCTGTGATGAAACATACAGTTTTCCTGAGCCTCTAAGCACCTTAGGATACGTGAAGCTGATGTGCACCTGAGTACAAACTGACAGTTACTCCTGGGCTTCTTGCTCCTCAGAAGGCTCTGGGAGCTGTCTCCATGCAGTTGCCCCAGGAATGGTGGTACAAAGGGTTTCAAAGAAAAAATACTGCACATGGCTCGTCCTCCAGATTTCCCGAACAGAAGTACAGAAAAGAAAATCTGACCACTCTACGGGCCTCTGCTGTAGTAGCTCCTTCCCACACATCCAATCACATCCTCCTTTCTGAAGACGGACATTCGCCTGACAGCGAGCATCACTGCTAACTGGAGAGGTGGCTGTGACCCGAGGTAAGGTCTGACTAGTAGGCCTCAACACAGTGCCGCTCTGATGTTTAGTTGTTGAAAATACCCTCCTCCTAAGAATAAAGACACGGATGGGGATGAGGAGACAAAGCATGATGGAATGCTTGAGAGACTGGACTCTAAGACTTCCTGCTGACTTACTCTAGTCTCTGGCATTTGATAAACCAAAATTTCAAGGATTTTCTTACACCCCCGTTCTCCCCACAAGCTCAATGCCATTTAAGCTTCATTCTGAGCTCTGCCAGCCTGGCTTGGTGCTGCTCAGTGGGGTAAAGGAACTCGGAGCCCAAGTTCCGACATTGTATGTTGTCACTCTTCTTGTCTAAGGAACAAATTGGATTAGTACAAATTAATAAATGACCATAGCAAGGGAAAAAAAAGCAGAGATCCACTGAGACAGCTTGGCAGAAGTTCTCTATAGAACATTAGGCCCAGAAGTGTGACTCGGGTTCCTGGAGAATTGGTGAGTTTCTCAGTGAGTTTAGGAAGAGTGAGAGCTGGAGAGAGTCACTCTGCTTCTTACCAGACCACACAGACAACTTTAGAAGGCCAGAGACAACCTTCAGGCACAAGGCTGCCCCAGGCCAGCCAGTCTACCAAGACAGTGCCGTACTAAAGTGGAAGTCGGGAAGGTCAGAGTTCCAAAACCATGACATGCAAACAGCATCAATTTCTAGGGTAACTGTTTGAGAACTCCACAGTGTTAAAGATGTTTGATTAAACAGATGAACATTAAAATGGCGGCTTGGAAAGTAACAGAGGCTTGAAATGAAGAGTTTACATTGGCCTGTAGCCATGTGCATACACTATAAAGAAATCAACTTCAAAATTAGGTCTCCATTCAACTTTTCAAAACACATCTTTCATTCTTCCATCTCCTAATGGTAATAGTTGCTAAATATCATTCTCAGAGTGCTGGAATTGTCTTTCCGGAGTCATCAAGTAAACCTACAAGATAGACCTTAACACCGTGAGTGTAGGGGGTCGAGGTACCTGATCATCTACAGCCACAGGCTTGTTCTGCCCTTCAGAGCAGCCATCCAGATGCTGGTGTGCAACCCGGCTAAGCAGCTCGGAGTTCAGGAGTGGATTTGGTTCTAAGTTCAGAGTCAGACCATGGCTAATCCCTAAATTGTTGGATCGCTTCATTTGCCATGTGCGGATGCAGCTTTTATCACTTTCCCGTGTTTAAAGGTATGGAATGGGTTTCTGGAAAGCCTTGAAATAGCATCTCTGCCCCCTCTCCATGTGCTTGAAAGGCGCTTTTTATCTTCAAAGAGCTTTGCTGCCTCTGGCCTGTGGTCTTTGAGGATAGCTTTCTGTGGTCCCGGGACAAAGCTGCACAGCAAAAGAAGAGAACAGCGTGTGAGGCAAGCCCTTCCAGCCCTCCTGGTCCAGCCCTCCTGGCTCCACATTTACCTTTCCTCCTCACTGCACCCCCTCCAGGGTAAGTTCTAAAAATTAGTGGAGATTTACATTGGTCTATCATAGTGATTCTCTACCTAACGCTGCGACCCTTTAATACAGTTCCTCATGTTATGGTGACCCTGTCCCCCAGCCAATTCCATTGCTACTTCATGACTGTAATTTTGCTGCTGTTATGAATCATAAATATCTGATATGCAGGATATCTGATATGCAACCTCAAGGGGGTCATGACCCACAGGTTGAGAACCACTGGCCTAACAGAAACTGACAAATTTAACATCTCAAAAAAGTATGCAGAGGTGTAATTCCAGCATCATAATTTCTTCATGGAGCACATTCCATCTGAATCTTTATGCTGTGGGTCTTGCTAATTATTGAGATTTGGGTTCAGATGGTGCCTCACTGTAAACCTCCCAGTTTGCCTTTCAGTAGGCACATTACCTTCCTCATAACTCTTGGCTAGGTCAGAGTCTTCAGTGGCTTATGGACAACTCCGTGACCTGCGCGCCACACTTCTGCTACCCAGAATAAGTTGCAGGGGACAGTGCCACTTCACATAGTCCTCCCCAAGGGTTTGTCCAGTGACAGGCCGAGTGGATGCCACTCTCCGTCCCCCATCCAGCTGTACACCCGATGCCTACTATCTGCCCTGTGGGAGGCAGACAGGTGTGTTATGTACGATGCAGATCACAATAGATCTGTTTGTCGGGTGCATAAAAAGTCTTGGGGTCAGGAGGACCCCAACAGTGAGAAGCTAGAGCAACAACTGCAGTCCTCGAGTCACACTACCGTGGTTCTCATCTGGGTGCAGATGCCAATGCCATGTGAGGAGGTGACAGTGACAGCCACAGCTTAGGTCCACATTCCTATGACTAAGAGGTCAGTGTTACTTGCACTGAACTAGAGTTTGACTTAAGACATTGAGAATTCAGGATCTTGGAATTGTGGTCAGGAGAAGAATTCAAGAGAACCAAAGGTCAAAATCAGAACTGTGGAATTCATTTTCATCTACTACTTTATTGCTACCACACTACCTGTAAGAGATACCCAACCTCTCTTACAAACTACTACCGCACTACCTCTAAGAGATACCCAACCCCTCTTACAAACATCAGTGTGTAGAGGATGAGCACAATGTGAAAATACAGAAAAAAACCACGTAAATTTTCCGTTTCTCCAGCGTATGCACACCCCTACCCCACGCCTCACCACGCATGTGCTTTCTCTCTCTTCTACGAAGATGAGGTGAGAAAACAGCGAAGACTATGTCCCCCACAGACTGCTTCTGCCTGGGCTTCTGAACTCAGCTCATGGTGTCCCTCGGTCCTTCGCAGCTATGCTGTCAGGGACATACAAAGGTGATCTAGCGTCCAGGCATAGGAACAGCAGCCGTGGAACAGCAGCCATGGCTCAGCTCCAGCTCTAGTACACTCTCCTCATGCCTACCCGGGTTTGCTGCTGTTGTATTTCCCTCATTTCCACACTGAATATTACAAATCAATTTTCCCAAGTCACAGTTGTCTGTATGCATAGAACATGATTTATCATGGGAGGGGAGTTCTTTTTTTAATGGCTCTGAAGAGGAGGATAGTCAGGTGTTATGAGGGGGCGATGGGAAAATGGGGGGTGGACTTTAACTGGGGGGTGATAATACAGGGAGAGAGGAGGAAAGAGAACAACACTAAAGAGTTTTGAAATAGCCATATAGAAACATTTCATAAGTGTACTTAAAAATATACATGTATGTGTATACGGGTCACTACATGAAGTGATGGTACTATCACCAAGAGCCATACTCCATCTGGCAAAAACCTCAGTGTCAGGCTTGGGAAATGTCCCCTTCAGGTTGTTGGTCAGAAGAATACAAGTTTTCATATCAGTATGAGCTACTGCCATTGCCCATGGTTGCCTTTGGAAACTTGAAGGTAAGGGCCTATTGCTGAAGATACCATACACTTTGGACACAGGACTTGGAGGAATTTGGCTGGAACTGGTTTGGAAGCAGCCTTCCTGAAGAGCAGCTCTCAGTATTAAAAGGTGCTATGCAAGCAGCCAAGGGATAGGAGCAATCGGTAGTCCTACCCAGTGTAAAGCCTATGAACTACAATGACTGGACCAACAAGGTATCCCCAATGGTACAATAATGACCCCTTTTGTTAGATAACCAACAGCTATCTAGTTGAACTTAAAACCTGTCCAATGGGAGAGAATTCACATGTATTACTGGAAATCTGGCTAACTCCCCATGGCTGGAGAGGTCATAGATTCCAGAAGAGAACATTCTGCTGCCATTTCCCTAAACTAATACAATTCCTAACCTAAATACTTACCTTTATACCAATAAGTGTAACTCTCAACCCTCACCAAAGAAGATTCTTTTTGTAACATGACTGTACAGATCCACAGCTCTTCAAATGCAGAGAATAATAAGTCAGTGAGATCTCCAACCCCAACAGGTACATCTGCAGTGCAATCCCTATACCTCGCAGGGAACATTGTGAAAGAGGGTGGAGAGGCTTTAAGAGCCAGAGGAGCAGGGTGTCTGCTGCTACATAGTATTCCCTAGACATGACAGGGAAAATGCACCCATGCTATCTCAGTGGCACGTTTGCATGAACAAGTCCGGCATGATGGCAACACCAGTTGAATGCCAGCACGGACGGACAAAAATACACATGCTGCCATGCTAGGGGAAGAGCTGCAGGTGGTCAGCGGCTTCTGAGAGAGGGAGAAACCGCTTCCTCCAGGGACAAGTTCCCATATAGGTTGTCCAATCCTAAATGATCAACCCTGGACACATGTACATACGGGCAATGCTAAATGGACCCAGAGGTTGTATACACATGTGTGCATGTGCACATACACACATGTGTATATTTGTGTAGCAATAAGTCATGAATTTGGGAGGGAGGATTTGAAAGGAGTTGGGGGTGTGAAGTGATGAGATTCTCTTAAAACTTAAAATTTTCATATATTTTTACAATGCATTTTATCATATTCATCTACCACCACCCTCTAGTTTCCTCTAGTACCCCATATCCCATTTCTTTCCCAACTTAATGTCCTTTTTTGTTCTTAATAACCCTGAGTCCAAATAGTGCTGTCTACATGCACACGGGTATGCAGCCATCCACTGGGACCTGGGCAACCCACCATCCAGTGACCACTTCCCTAAAGGAGAGTGACTCCCTGCAAGAGATTTCCTTTGAGTCTAAAGTGTACTGTTCTCAAGGCTTGGTTATCTCTACTGTATTTCATTCCCCTTCCCTTTTACCCCTCCTTTATTTTACGTCACATTTCTTAGTTTTGTTAAGGAAAAAAATATCTCGAGAGATGGCAGAGTTCATTTCTCAGCACCCATGTAGGGCAGCTCACCTGTCTTACTCCGGCTCTAGGGATCCAACGCCTTTGACCTCTGAGGGCACCCACATTCATGCACACATACCCACCATGGAGATACATACATACATATAATTAAAAATCTTGTTTTTTAAATCATTAGATTGGCAACTACTTTTAAGCCCAGCCCTGGTACCTTTTTCTCAAAAGAGTCAAACATATTAAAAGCTGTTTCTTTGCTGTTGTTTTTGTTGCATTTATATGTATGTTCCTGCGTGTGTGTATGTGCACCCATAGATGCACACGTGGAAGTCAGAGGGCAGCCTCTGGAATTGGTCCCCATGCAGCATCCACTGTTTATTTGAGACAAGGTCTCTCACTGGCTGGTAGTAAGTAGCCTATGAGCTTCCAGGAGCCATTGCACCTGCCTCGTCTGTGGGTTCTGGAGATCCAAAGGCAGGTCCTCAGTGTTTGCAAGGCAAAGGCTTCACTGAGCCCATGCCTCATCTTCGAAGTTTCCTTTTTCTACTGTGTTGTGGATGGGCATTTGTGTTTGATAAGGCATTTAGTAGGGATCACTTGACTACCTCGTTTGTTGTTTTTCTCCAATTGTGTATTGTTTGGGGGAATTCTTTGGCGACTCCAACAACAACAGGCATTCAGGGCAGAAATAAGGATAAAATAATTCAAATTTTCAACTTGCTGTGGCATGTTCTAGATAAAGTGGGGGGCTGGCGGGATACTAACTGTAGCTCTCCATTCTTTGTGGTCACGGATTCCTCCATCTGTGTAGATAATCAGGAGGCGGCCATGCTGCACTTAGGACTTCAGGCACTGAGCTGATAAGGTTGCTTCTATTTCTAAATTCTTTTTTGATGTTAACATATCATGCATCCAGAAGATGTACTTTTGAAGGCAAACATGCAGCAGATGTGTCGTTCAGATGGCAGTGGTAGCTGTCCATTTTTACCAGCCACCCCTGCAGGCTCTGCTGGTCCCCATTTTGGAGTCTGGCACAGTGTGTAGGTGGCTTTGTGTCTTTTACTATCTTGGAACAGAGCTAAGTGCTTACACAAAAACTGTCCTACAGTCTCACCCTCTGGCCATCTGTCTTCATAGTTGCTTGTGGTGAGAGTCAGGGCCTTTCTTCTCCATCTACTACAAACCAACTTCTGCATGTCTTCCTCAAAACCCCTGCTGCAGGATAATCTAACAATTTCAATGCAGGTCCCTCTCAGGATGGCAGGTCATCTGGCTGGCTGGACCCTGTGCCTAGCAGGCATCCCATTTTCCTCAACCTTGTGTTCCTTTCTGCCTCACTAGTCTTGAAAGATGCAGGCAGGGAGCCTCAGAAGCAGCCGTGTGGCTGCTTTTTATCACAATCTTTGGTTGCTTAGAGAAGGCCTGAGGAGTTCCGGGTGATACACCATCAGGGAGTTCACAGACAATGGTATAGAGTTCACATCTCAATTCCTTGATGCCCCAACCACTTGACCATCTCAGATTCACAGGAGAAGCTGCGCCTCTTGTGTAGCTATGACATTGTGGAGGAGAAATTCCCTGTCCAAAAGCCCTGTGGATTCTCTTCCCACTTATCTTGCTTTTCCAACAAAGCACTTTCTAGAATTGCCTCTTGAATGTGTAGGTTGGCTCTGATGTCCGCCTTTGCGGTCTGAGCTGGCTACATATTTGTGAATCCCAGTGAAGAATAAAAATCCAAGCCAAAAGGCAGAATAAACGCTTTTTCTTCTTCTATGGGTGTTTCCCCCTCCCTGCCCGTGGCAGTTTTTCATTTATCATTTAACGTTGAGCTCTGGCATGCGGAAACACAAACCCTTCTGCTGACCCCCTCCCTGCGCACGCCCCATGTCTTGGCCTGCCATCCTCTAGACAGATGCCCAGAAGCTGAGCTCCTTTCTCAGTTAGTGCTCCTAGCCCTGGATACACAGTGCCCCAGAATATCACCACCTTCTTGCTAGGAATACTGAGTGGAGATGGACAAAGACAAATGTAGGGATGCCACCAGCCCGAACTGGAAGTTCCCAATACAGAGTGCCTGGCCACAAGCCTCTCATGAAGAGAGTGGGAAAGAGAGGCCAGGCAAGACAGAAGATGCCATGGTGGCTGGTCCAGGGAAGGCAGCAGTAGGTAGTGAGCAGAGGCTCTAAGTCCTGAATGAGGGCTTTATTTTTCCATAACTTAGAAAACCCAAATTCAAAATTAACAGCAGTTGCAGAGAGATAAGCCTAAATGCACAGTCCTCCAGAGTTCCTTGAAGTTGCTTTGACACCTGCCACACTTTCCACAGCCCCTTTACCTCAGCCATAAGGGTTCCTCCTCTGCACCAGATATCAGTCTGCTCACTCATCCAGTCCTATCTGATCCCTCTTCTTCAGTTCCGGGCACCTGCAGTAGGGGGAGCCCTGCTCTTCTTGGACTGGCTTCATAGGCAGCGTCAGGCTGGACTTCAGGAAGTATTTGCTGCTGGACAGTTCCCCTGGATCTCTCACAGCTGGAGGGGAGTCAGAGCCTCCAGGCAGGGGCTTCTCAGTTCTTAGCACCTAGCCTGGGAATGTTTGCCCATTCCTGATAACCACACAAAACAGAATGCACACACTTCAGGGGAGGCACACTGCCCTGCGTGAGCCAGGTGATGGTGCTTGGTTACGGCCAGCGGCTGGGTGGATTCATGTGTATTAGTTCACAGTGGCTTACCACAAAAGTGCTACTAGCCATCTGATGATTCAGTGGATTAAGAGCTTGCTACACAAGCTTAAGGATTGGAATTCAGATCCCCAGAACCCATGAAGGTGGGTTCAGCAGTCTGCCTGTAATTCCAGCGTGGCAGAAGATAAAGACGGGATCCCTGGAGCAAGCCTGCTAGCAAGACTTGCTAAAACATCAAGCTACCTCATGGAGGGAATCTGTCTACACACATATGAGAAGACTGATCAAGGAAGATGTTTGATATTGACCTCAGGCCTCTACACATAATGCACGTGTGCACATATACACATGTACATCATGCACATACACTCATGCACAAATACATGTTTTTAAATTCTTTAGCAAGCTTCTCATAAAGACATTTTCTTCTGCACACCAGGAAGTCTACACAGTTCAATAACTTCAATGTATCGTCTACACTCAAATTTCCCCAGATGTTCTCCAATCACTTCTATATGGGCTGTTCCTCCCTCCCTCCCTCCCCCTCCCCCTCCCCCTCCCCCCCTCTCTCATATAGGATCCAATTAAAGTTCACAGAATTACAGCTGGTTGCCCTGTCTCTTTCATTCCCTCGTTCCAGAACTCTCATCCCTTTATTCATGACATAAGACCCATGATCTAACAATTCCACATCCCAGGGTTGCCCAGCGATTTCCTCCTCATTAGCCTCGGGTCAAACATTTCCAGCAAGAACTTCACACAGGTGATGCACCGTATGTCCCACTTCATCACCTCAGAATGCACATTAACACCAGCGCCTCAGGAGCCACACAGCACCAGCACCAGCACCTCAGGAACCACACACACAGCACCAGCACCTCAGGAACCACACACACGGCACCAGCACCTCAGGAGCCACACACACGGCACCAGCACCTCAGGAACCACACACACGGCACCAGCACCTCAGGAACCACACACACAGCACCAGCACCTCAGGAGCTACGTAGCATCGACACCTGTCAACTCATGATTGTTGCATCCTGATTACCAGTTACTACATTTGTAATTAGCATTATGATTACATATTGATGATTTTTTCTATTCCTACCTTTCTAGATTTATTATCTAGTATTATATAAAGAAAGGGTTTTTCTCCTTCCTCTTCTTTTTGAGAATCTATATTGACTTACAGATTTAAAACATGCAGCATGGAGCCAGAAAGGTGGCTCGGTAGTAAAGTGCTTGCTGTGTAAGCCCGATAACCTGAGTCAGACTGCTGGACCCCACAGTGAATGCTCTATCACACACACGCCTTTGATCATGAACATGCCATATATACAGTAATACATTAACTCAATCACTCAGTGCATTCTAATTCATTACCTTCGTTCTTTCTAGAGCTGCAGCTGTCCAAGATTAGGCCTATGGGAGTCTTATCAAACCAACTCACTTAGCCTTTTGACACGACACTGTTTTTCTTTCTTTCTTACTATGTTTTTGCTTCTTACTATGTTTTTGCTTCCTGGAGTAACTCCATTTTGTCTCAGGCCAGAATTGGAGTTTCCTCACCAGATCCTGGGTATGTCTCAGGCACCAAGAAACCTTGGTTCCTTTGAGTGCACAATGCTGTTCAGAAACCAAGATCTGGCCACTGGACATGCTCATTGCCACTGGGGGTGTCCCACTGGGTGCTTTGTTTAATAATTGGACTTTCCATTTAAAAGAATAAAAATACTCCTATTTCATTATTTCCAGATCAACTTGGTCATTTAAAAAGCATCTTACTCCCTCAAATCATAATTTAATATATAATTTATGTTTTATATTAATCTGGTTTCTATCCAGCTAAAGTGGGGGAGCGGAGGGGGAGGAAAGGAGGAAGATAAAGAATAAGGAGGGGTGCATATCCACCTATGAAATCACACCAAGCACACAGTACCTTCGAAACTGGCGTGGGGGTGGCTTCGGATCGGTAGGGCTGAGTCTGTTGCACTTGGCTTTGAGGTTGACTGGTGGGTACTTGTTCATCCCACCTGGAAAGACAGAAGGCTCTGGTAAGGTTCTCACGAAGGCTGTTAGCATGTCTGCTCCGTACAGTTATCACCTCAGTTCCCAACATCCATCAAGATGGTCACCGGGCATGAGAAATGTCTCAGGGAAATCCCCACCACTGAGATGCCGGTAGCTCCTAAAGTCGTTTAGCCATTGTGAAAGATAACATGAGCCCGTCAGTCCTAATAATGCTCTTGCCTTTGATAGGAACTAATTAGGGTATTTTATTTGTTTTTGTGGAGTATCAAAACGCAAAGGGAACAGGGTAGTCCCTTTATGGCCTTTATGTTAGCAACAGACTAAGTGCCTTGGGGTTTAATTCATCATCTCACTTCATTTGGAAGAGTATTAATTTTTCATAACACTAAAGTGTGCCTTAATCATTTAAAATGCAAAAGCTATTTTTTTATAGAAAAAAATTAAAAATGTGTTATACATGCCCTGAAAGCATGAAGTAAAAAAGATTGGTTAAGTATCGTTCTGGAAAAGCAGGCCCAATGCCATGCACTTACAATCCTGGCACTGGGAAGGCAGCAATAGGTAGATCCCTAGGATTCACTGGCCGGCCGGCCAGCCAGCCAGCCAGCCAGCCGGCCAGCGTACTTGACAAGTTCCAGACCACTGAGAAACCCTGTCTCAAAAAAACGTGGTAGACATCGCTTAAGGAATGACCCCGAAAACTGTCTTCTGGCTCACACACACACATATTTTCTCCCTCCCCCCACCACACACTCACACCCCTTCCTGGTGATACAGGGTTCTTCCAACTAACAGGCATCTCCTAGGCTGCCACAGAGTCTATCTTCAAAATTGCTATTACAGGAAGGGCAGTATGTGAGACAGTATGACCCAATACTGTGCTGTACCTGAACTCTAGGGTGTTTTTGTTTTTTGAGGTAGGGTCTTACTGTGTGGCTTGGGTTGACCTTGGACTTACAACAATCCTCCTGCCTCTACCTCTCAGGAACGAGAAATACATGTTTGCACTGTGCCCACCAGGTCTGGCTTTGGGTTTTCATGTTTTGTTTGAACTCAAGTAGAGGGTTGTTGAGCTTTGCTTTGCTTAGGAAATGTGCTGCTCTGATGTGGACCGTGCTCTGCTGTCTACTTTGTGGCAGTGTGCCAAATGAGTCACAAACACTTCGAAGGCTTCCAAAACTTCACAAGGGAAGTGGACAACTCTATTCATTAAGCCTAGCACCTGAATAGCCAGTGGCTCAAAGTAGATGGCCAGTGATTGCGATTGTGTTGAATGGGTGTGACCGTGGGGGCCTGTGGTGGAAGTGATTTCCTGCAGTTTTGCAGCTGTATTTTAGAGATGGCATTTTCTAGATGTCTAAAAAGCACGGGAAATGGGGTAGGCAGCTGCATCGTAGTCATAGTTAACAGTGCTTTCTGATTTCCCACGAGAGCTACCTGCCCTTTTCCTGAGTGGGAGGTGCTACCTCATCTGGTCCTGTAATTGGGCGCATTGGCATGAAACATCAGGAAGAATTAAGGGATCCTAGGGAGGAACTCCCAGGTCAAGTCTTCCAGTCTCGTGGGCCATCAAGCGTGCTTCTTTCTACCAAGTAGTCTTTTGTTCCTCCCTTATGAAAGGCTCCCTTCAGGGCGACACCTCACCCTTAGCTCATCTTTGGGGTTTCTGTTCCAGAACATATCAAAATAAATTTCACTCTGGGATCTTTCTACCTGTGTCCCTGAAACTATCTCATATATATGAATTTCCTGGGAGCTCTGATAAGATGCACTTTCTGGTTCAGAACATCTGGGGCGGGTCCTGAACCCTGCCTCTCTAACCAGTTCCAGCTGATAGTTCATGCTCATCTTAGACTCACACTGAACAGGATGTGACTGCTCAGTAGCTCTACAGCCTTAACCAATTCACTGTTTAATACAGTGAATGACAAGTTTGGGAAATAGCCAGGCACTCACTCAAGCATCCTTCAGCCTGGGTGTACCCTTTTCTTTATCTGGACTCCTGGGGACAAGAGTCAGCAGGCTCTGAAAACACTGAGACATTTACCCACTGCGTTTCCACCTTGAGCCGTGTATCCAGGCATGAATCTTCCTTCGCCATCATGCTGCATCCAAAATGGATTGCCTATTTTTCAGGATGCCCATTCTAAGAAAAACAGCCCACATTTGTTTCCTCATGGGCCCCACTTATTCTCACCACTACCTCCTAAGAGGCCATGAAGCTGGGGGAAGTTGTGCAAATCCGTCCCTTTCCTTCTAACTGATAAAATGGTATCCCCTCCCACTCCCAGCTCTGACTCTGGAACTTGTCAAAGCGAAGCCAAGAATTATTTCATTCTTTCTTTGGCCTCTTTGTGTTGGCTGTAGGAACTGCTCCCCAAAGGGCAGCATGCTAGTGTTACATGGCAAGTGTTTTGCTCTGGAGCCGGAGCCCAGGCTGTGACCTCACATCCCCAGACTACACCTCTCCATGCAGACAGATGTGTAGACAGCTGCTTGTTAGGATTGCTTCTCCATAGGAACCAGAGGCATTAAAAGATGAGCCAGAAAATTAAATGCTTAGACACCAGTCATCCCTCCCATCATCCATTATCACATATTTTCCTCTCTGACCCTGCAGTGCCCTTAAAGACACAGGCCAGCTAATTGTCCTTCTGGGGGGCACCAAGCAGGCTCTTGTGTACAAGGATAGTTTTGTACATATGACTTACGCCTAACGGAGTTTATGAAGGACTTCACAAATTTCACACCATATCCATGGTCAGGTTTATGAATCCGGCCAAGCTGGATCAAGTGCTGGTCGACAGGGTGGCTGGCCAGGTCTTCCAGTTCCTTGTCATTCCAGTCAGGGCCCAAGGAAAACACGAAGAGGGCATAGCCCTGACATTTGGCTCGCAGGGACTCTTTCTTTAAGGTCTCTTCATCCAAGTGGCTGGTCTCCCCAGCAGATATCACAAATATGACTTTGTTTCTCCTCAGATTGGGTGTGTTTAAAAAGACATTGTCCAGAGCCCACCTGAGGGCATGGCCAAGGAAAGTGTCCCCATTCAGCTGCTGAACTGCTTGCTCCACATGCCTCTTCATGAGGCGCTTACTGCTGTAGGTGGTGAGGTTGAACTCAGTTCTAACGGGACTCCTCTGGGTGTTGGGTAGGAAGGTGGGGGGAGCATGGCTCAGTAGGGCCACCCTGTCTCCAGTCACAGATGTCTCTGGCTCTGGAGTGACTTCGAAGTGATCTAGCAGTGCCTCCAGGAAGTCTCTCATGTCTTCAAATTCTGCACTCTCCACATGCCGGGAGCCATCCAGCAGGAAGGCAGCATCCAGATAGGACTGTATCGGGGGTGGTTTGGCTTGGTCACAAGAAGCATCCGGCTTGCATATGTCTGCAATCCAAGTCATTTGGAGTTACTAAGCAGATATGGAAAAAAAGTGAAAGATTCTACCTCAGCTATTCTAGTATCTAGGAACTATAGTCTTAGCTAATAAAATAGTTATGTCTTTAACATCAAGAGTAAGATTTTACCAACAAAAGGTCCAGATCTGATACCAGCCTGTGAACTCTTGACTCTATTCCATGCCATCATTTTTTTTTAAGTTGTGTTCAACGGAAGTTTAATCTTGACTGTTACGTTTTTAAAGTGTGAAGTGAGCAATTCATCTCCTACATACTAGAATATACTGTAAGAACACACTCTCTAGCTGTTGACAGTATGCAGGCTTACCCAAGGGCCTCCGTCACTACACTAGCTGTGAAAAACTCATCTGCTTTGAAAATTAAGCTTTAAAAGGCAATGCATCTTTTATTTCAATTTAAGCAAGAGTTCATAACTTCATGCCCCTTATAAAAATGCTCTCCCATAAAGTGAAGTCATTTTTATAAATATGCCTCTGTCATTATGCATGCATAGCAAGAAAAAACAGAGAGTAGGTTTTATTGAATGTGACCACAAAGAATGTCCAGAGGAATATGATAAATGGGAAATGGGAGAATTCTAGAAGTCACTTAATCTATTTTCATAGAACCAACTGAAGCAGGAGAGTAAGTCATTACAAAGGATGCACCATATTTCTAGAAGTTTCTGTATATGAAGTCAATGACAATTTCTTTTTAATGTTTACTTATTTGTGTATCCATGTGGGTATTTTAGCACAGCATGTGTGTGGAGGCAGAGAATGGTTTTCAAGAGTCAGTTCCCTCCTTCCACCTGGGTCCTGGGGATTGAACTCAAGTTGTCGTGTTTGGGGACAAGCACATTTACCTGCTGAGCTACCATGCATGAGTCAGTGTTTTGTTGTTAGAGGGGTTTAGAAGTCACTTAATTTTCATAGAACTGACTGAATTAGGACACATGAGGTAGCAGGATGGCCCCTTTGCCCGAGAGCTGGGATGCCTAGGTTATCACATAACAAACATGACGTCACCTCTGGCCAGGCCACTGCTGGGCCTTAGTTGTGTACAGTTCCTCTACACAACTGAGGAGGTAGTTGTACCTAACTGGGATCAGGCTGACCCAGACATCTTTGCAAGGCTGATAGTCTTGTCTAGTTTGTCGGTAAATGTGATGGCTGAGGGTGAGAACGGGTTTTTTCAAAACCAAAGGGGAAATGGAGAAATGGACTAACAAGCGTACGGTGGAACTTGGATACCAGCATGGACCGTAAGTATCAACTATTAAGTGAAAAACCTAATGGCTAGCATGCAGATCCTGTGGGTGGAGCGAACTTCCTAGCTTCCTGCTTGCTCATGGACTCAATACAGATGGCTCTGCCTAAGTCCCTGACTGAAGTTTGGTGAGATTTTATGAGCCTACATAATGGTCAGATGACAGCACAGTCACCTGTGTGCAGAGCAGCTTCCACTACCAGGGACGGTAGGCTGCCCATTTGCTCTGTTTTGTGGGGTTTTAATTGTGGGACACGACAGCCAAAATATCTTCCATTATATGCCTAGGAGACAAAACAAGGGTTTAGGCCAAGGCATGGAGCCAAAACTCCATCCCCAGTCACATATGTGCAGTTCCTGACTGTGCAATACATCAGCACACTGTTGGAGCGGACATGTTCAGGACGTGCAACCAAGAATGCACAGGGCAGATGAATCTTAGAGCCTCACTGGTTTGGGTCGAGGGGAGGGGTGACAGGACCCAAAAATCCCAGTGCAACCTGCACCTGGATATGTAAGCAGAGAGCTTGATTCCAGGGCTGCAGAGGACACAGAACTGTCCCCTTCTCCTCAGAATCACACTCTCCATTCGAGTTCATCTACCCAGCAAACCCCAGCACCCCACTGATACACACAGAGAAGGTTGCAGACATCTTCTCCAGGTCTAAATGGAGAGTTTCAGGGAACAGAATGAGACTTTCATTCCACAAAAATTAAAGGTACTTCAGAGCCGGCTTTCCTGGGTTTGATGTGGGTGTGGAACCCTGAGAAAAATATCACGTCTCTAATTTGATTTCCCCCATCTGTACAATGGCACTAATAATAGTTCAAACATTTCAGTGTGGTTATGAGCCTAGAATGACACAATTTATGTAAACCAATTAAAACTGTGCTTAGAACATAAGAAACCCAATAGCTTAAGTCTCAATTGTCACCATGATAGTTGGCATCATGCAGCGTAATTAGAACAGTGCACAGCCTATAGCAGAAATGTGGTGACTGCCTGCTGTCATGACCACCTGTAACCCCAGTGGTTTCCACATGGTTATTGGAACATCAAATGGAAGAGGAGAGAGACTGTTCCTAGCTAGACCAAAAGACTGGGTATAACACACCACAGTCAATACTGCAAATCTTTCTGATGCCCAACACTTGGGAGTCTATGAAGACTCCTGGATGAGAATGAATGGGTTTCTGTCTTCCACTCCTACTGCACTCAAAACCAAATTACCACCCAGAAAGGAAAGTGCCAGGTTGCTCTAAAGCCTTTCTTGGGAGTTGTGAACATTTGAGATTTAGAAAACACATAAAATACTCAATAGCATGAAAAACTTGGCAAGGAGACAGACTAAGGTTTTTGGTGGTTGCTGTTGTTTTACATTATTACTGTTTCCTGGAAGTTGCACTAAAGTAGAGGAGGCAGGATTGTAACCCTCCCGCTGGGATCCTTTGGAGGGGCCCTGCACGCTCAACTGAGAGGTTCCATCTGTGGAAGATGCAGTGTGCGCCCCAAGCCCCGGCGTGGTCTGCCCCAGGCCATGCGTATCCCTATGGCTAAGTTCCAGCTGCTCCTGCCAACGGTGACTCAACACACTTAGCAGGCCCTGATCAAATTTGCTTCTCCCCGTGGGTCTCACCATAGCAGAAAGTGCACCGCTGCAGTCTCTCTAATGTTGGCGCGAACTCCGTCCCTGAGGGAACCACAATGACTTGGAATGTGCCAGTGTCATCAATCTAGAAGCAGCAGAAGCAAGAGGAAGAACTGCTTAGTGGATTAGGGTGGTAGGAATCTTCAGCACTGTTCAAGAGCTGAGGTCAAGTAAGGGCAGCCCCACAAGGCTGCTGGGAGGTGGCCCAACTGGTTTGAACCCTCAACTCTTCCCTTTAGCTGTCAAATGGAAATTCCCTGACTGCTAATAGGATGCTGAGAGCTCACCATTGTGAAGCAGTTACTGGCACCCGGTGCCATGTGGCTCAGCAGGGAGCACAAAGCGTTTCATACCCATCACCCAGGTAGCCAGGGCATTTCTTGTCTTCACTCTTCACAAAGAGGAACTGAAACTCAGAGAGATGGATGGCTGATCAAAAGGGACAGCCTACACTCAAGATAGTTATGGGAAAGAATGACTCCGCCCCTCCTTCAGCCTCACCCCAAGTCCCAGAGAACCAAGGTTGCTCTTTATAATACTGTCAAATTGAAAACCAAAATTAGCCATGCCACTGTTCTGACTTTCTCTTGTGAACTAGGTATTGAAGCAGAAATAGGTTCAGATCTAGGCCTCGGTGGCTTTCCTCGCTGACACATCTCAACCCTTTCACTGCAGCATCACCATTAGGAGCCCATCGAGGAAGCTGGAGGGTGCAGAGTCTTGACTAGTGCCCCAGCAGAAGCGACTCGACACTGTTGGTAGTCTCTAGAGGCAGCTATACTGTCTCAAGTGAACCACACCTTTGCACCTCCTCAACAGTGATGAGGGCCTGAACACCAATCCAGAGCCAGCTCAGAGAGTGTGGAGAGAAGATAAGGATGCGCCAACTGACCAGGGAGAGTCAACTTGCCTGTCAACTGTGAGATGATTAGCAGATGAAGAAAAATTAGAGTGATCCCATCCTGTGGCTAAGATGGGATGTTTGTTCCCAGTGAATCATCCTTAGACTCTTAAGTAAACAGCTCTCCCCTCTCCTCGGCAAGTCTCGTTCCCACACTTACTCCACAGAGGTGTAACCATGGAGGTCCTGGTTACTCAGGGTTATACCATTTCTCTGACCAGAGCCAACTGGACCAGAGCAGGGCATCTGAGCCAGACAGAACTGTCCTTTCAGGAGGAGTTGAGAACTAGAGTCCTGGGCTGCAAGAGTGTCTAGAAGCAAGAGTCTATGAGACACAGGGGGCCATATTCTATCTGTGGACCGAGGAAGGATGGGAATTAGAAGAGAGGATCTTCCCAAGGCTTATCCCTGTTTCTGCCCTTTTTTTTTTTTAATCTCCACACAACAGATGGAGGAACTTGTGCTCATCAGATTCCTCTCTGGCTGCCCACTGCTTTGCCTTGACATTCTTCCTGGGACAGAGTGGAAGACTCTGAGACCTTGTGAGAACTGAAGATTTGGGTTATATCGCTAGACCCAAATCCATGTAGAAAGGAGCAGGGTGTGCCAGAGACAGACAAAGAAACAAAAAAAAAAAAAAAAAAAAAAAAACAAAAAAAAACATGATGTGCCATGTGGGGGTGGGCATGGAGGTTGGGCAGTGAAAGGGGCTGTGGTGACATGAATGGGGACTTGGAGCAGTGGATGAAATGCTCTGCTTCCTCTCACTATCTTCAGCAAAGTCAGCATTGCTCATGGACTATGCAAATGAGTTCCTTTTTTTTTTTAAGATTTATTTATTATGTACACAGTGTTCTGCCTGCGTGTAGGCCTGCAGGCCAGAAGAGGGCACCAGATCTCATTACAGATGGTTGTGAGCCACCATGTGGTTGCTGGGAATTGAACTCAGGACCTCTGGAAGAACAGCTAGTGCTCTTAACCTCTGAGCCATCTCTCCAGCCCCACAAATGAGTTCTTGGGAGAAAGGGCCGACTCTGAAGAAGGACTAGAAACAAGCCAGTGTCAGCACAGGGAGTGTGGGTCAGCCATCAGGGTGGGAGTGGGCTGCAAGGATGATACAGAATAAGCCAGAAGAAAATTTAGAAACCACATAAGCCAGCTTCATTGCTTTACAGACAAAGGTGAGCCCAGGGTAGGAATGGGGACCCGAAGGTCTCAGTGCCAGCTTCGCTCTTCCCCAACAGGAACTAGCTTCTAAGCTCCAGCCATTTCAGAGTTTTAGCTGTGGATCTTAATTGGGAGCGATGTTTCTCAGGATATTGTCCAGGGAATGCTGCCATCTGCTAACTAGCTTTGTGCTCTATGTGTCTACAGCGTAATAACTTCCACATTTCTGGCGACAACCCTGCTTAACAGTGGATGCTCATATTCAATCATGTTATCTGCAGGATGATACGAAGCTAAAAGCAGATCTTCCTCAGTGACTCTAATGAGTTGTTCTGTTAGGGAGAGTCCATTGGCAGCCTGCATGCTCCCGACACCCCAGCAAGACTCTTTATGAAGTCTGAAAGATGCGGTTTTAGGGGTCACCGATGATCCCATGCTTACCACGGAAGTGGCTGTAGTAGCAAAAAAAAAAAAAAAAACCTTAAGCTGAATGTGAGCTGAGAATTTAAAATGAAAAGTTTCTGTGTTTTCTTATTGCTTATTTTCCTGAAAACTGCAAAGAAGCACCAGGGTGGCTGAGCACAGCTGACGAGGCTGCAGATGGACAGTGGATGGACATCCACTCTGTGGATGGTTCTGGACCATTTTTCTTTCACAGGCATCACAGAAATCTGTAAGATGGCACATAAGAAAAAAAATGCCATTCTCATATGATGGAATGTTTTCATTCTTTAGGATGAACAGAGAGGGTAGGGGGAGATCCAGTGTGCTAGCTATACGGTTTTTTTTGTTTTGGTTTTTTGAGACAAGGTTTCTCTGTGTAGTTGTGGCCATCTTGGAACTCACTCTGTAGCCCAGGCTGGCCTCGAACTCACAGAGATCCACCTGCCTCTGCCTCCCAAGTGCTGGGGTTAAAAGTGTGCATCACCACCACCCGGCTGCTAGCTATAGTTTTATGTCAACTTGACACAAGCTAGTGTTATGTGAGAAGTACAAACCACATTTGAAAAAAATGCCTCCCTTAAGACTGGCCTGTAGGCAAGTCTGTGGGGTATTGTCTTGATCAATGGCTGATGTGGGAGGGCCCATCCCACAGGGAGTGGTGCCACCCCTGGGCAGGTGGTCCTGGGTTCTATAAGACAGCAGACTGAGGAACAGATAGAGAACAAGCCAGTAAGTGGCCTCCTCCACGGGATCTGCATCAGCTCCTGCCTCTAAGCTCTGCCCTGCTTGAGTTCCTGTCCTGACTTCCTTCCATGGTGGACTATGATGTGAAAGTATAAACAAAATAAAGCCTTTCCTTGAAAGTTGCTTTTGGTCCTGGTGTTTCATCACAGCAGTAGAAACCCTGAGGGTGACCAGGGCTTTAGTGTCTCTGACAAATAACTGCACAGGTACCAGATTTCAGCCTAACTGAGATTTAGATAAGCCACGATAAATACGAAGGAAGTTTCAAAATATGGCCCTCAGATACCGTGTTACTAGAGTTTTGAGTTCTTTTCTTTAAAAAAAATGTCTAGGCATTCAAGAGGCAGGGACAGGCTGATCTCTGTGAGTTTGAGGCCAGCCAGAACTACATACTGAGACCTGGTCTCAAAAACAAACCAAAACCAACAAAATAATAATAATGAAAACCAATAGTTTTAGTACAGGGAAAGCACAGGGAATAAAAATGGACGGAAGGAAGAAGAGGCAGTAATAGAAACAGCAAAGGGGTTTCGTTCCACCTATAGTCAGGCATCAGGTTCTAGCCAGCGGCACACTGCCTCTGTTTAAAGCCCCTCTAGACAGCATACCCAGGCCCCCCAATGGCAGAATGGGCTTAGGGACCTCCAGTTCCTTCTTATATCCTCAGAACCCAGGGCAGCCCCAGCAAACTCAAGTCCTCCTTAAACATTTGAACAATAATCAACCTGGGTTCAGTCTCTCAGATTCTCATTTCAGATGCTTCACTCACCTGCTGCTGCCCAGATCCACACGGCTTGTTGATCTTGTTTTAAAATTAATAAAAAACTTAAGAAGCTTTGTGTGCTCTTGGCATGTGTCAGAGGACAACAGTGGTATAGGTCCTCCCTTCCGCCTTGGTTGAGGCAGGGTCTCCTTGCTGTGTACTCCAGGCTAGCCCATCAGCCTCTGAGGTTCCCTCTCTGCCCCCATCTCCCTGTAGGAGTGCTGGGAGTAAGGACTCAGGACTGCACCCAACTCCCATGGATTCTGGGGATTCAAACTCTGGTCCTCAGGCAAAGTGCTTTACCACTGGGCCATTTGCGCACCCCACAAGGATTTTTTTTAATTGATCTTCACTAAGAGAGTCAGTCTCTAGAAAATTTAGGTAGACTCAGAGAAACTAGATTCCTATCTTTGTGGTTGTTAACATGCAAAAGTTGAAAAACAAACCCCAAACCAAAATAACTTCTGTACGTTATATTCTGTATGTGTACTTTCTGAGTGGGTGGAGCCCTTCCATTTAAATGCCTCTCACAAATGCCACCAATGTGTCTGCATCAGGTTATGAAGCTGTCCTTTGTTTTGTGGCTAAATAAAGCCAGTAGTTGAGGGACTTGGAAGGACTCTGTCACCAAAATCACTTACAGAATGTCCAGGCCTTATGTGCATAGCCCAGCCATAGCCTTTTATAATCTACGCAGAGTGTTCTTCTGACACTTCAGCCTTTTCTGTTTAAAGAATTGTGAGTTAGTCCAGTGATGCTAATAGCAATTTCAGCTCCTGTGCTACCCTGGCCCCATTAGTATTAAACGTCATTAAGCTACTGAAAAAAAAAAAAAAGGAAAAGTGATCATCCTTGTGCTTGCTAAAATGTTCTAGGCCCCAAGGCACAGTGTTACATCACTTACTCTTTACATCATCTCGAGGTACCACTCTCCTTATTTCACAGATAAGTATCTTTCAACCCTGTTGCTTCGATGCTGTCGCAGAAATTACAGAGCTGGAAAAGCCCATGAGAAAATGGTGCTAGCCTCCAGTCGCTAGGAAAAACCAGTCACACACAGATGGCAGAGTGACAGCCTCGGTACCAGAGTGTCCCAAGAGGGTGATGTTTTGACCAACTGGGTCGAATCTAAATGCACAACCACAATAAGTCAGAACGGTTCCTGGAAGTTCTGGCTTCGACCTAACCCAAAGTTTCCTCTCACCACTGCCTCTCACTTGGTCAGGTGGGAGTGCAGCTAACATTCTGTAAGTCTTCACTTGAAGACAATGTTTGTTCCTTATTCTCCCTCTCTAAATAACTGTCAGATGTTGGGACTTATTTACGACACTTTTTCCAGTACTCTTGTACTGCTGTCTGGAGCCCCACATGAACGACCCCAACATCACGCCGGGACAGCACTGACCGGAAGGACAGGCTGGGGCCAGGATGTCTTTGGCAATGAAGCCGCTGAGGATGGGACAGTGTGAATCTAGGCACAGCTCTCTCCATTACAGGCGGTTCACTGAGGGATGCCACATGCTGGGTTTAACCCTTAATCTAAGAGCTTCGGTTGGGATGGCTTTTCTTTTATAAAGTGGGAACCTTTACGTAACTGAAGCTAAAAAAAAAAATCAACCTATTTGTTTACTTTGCGTTTGTGTGGCTGTGTGATATATGGATGCGTTCTTTTCTGTATTTGTACATGCATGTGATTTGTGCAGATGTCTGTCTCAGTCACTCTCCACCTCTGAGACAGGGTCTCTCGCTGAACCTAGAGCTCAGCCATTCCTTTAGCTGTCTCTGTCCAGCTCTGGGCTTACAGATGTACAGTTTCATGCTTAGCCTTTGCTGGGTGCTGGGGACCTGAATTCAGGTCCTAACGCACTTTACTGCCTGAGTTACTTCTAGACCTCTATATTTTGGGTTTTGAGACAGGTTTTCACATAACCCAGACCAGCCTTGAACACACCATGTAGGTAAGGAAGCCCTCGGACTCCTGATCCTCATGCTTCTGCCTCCCAAGTGCAGGGATTAAGGGGGTGTGCCCCCATACCTAATTAGGCAACTTTTAAAAATCACACAGCCAAGCGATCGGCCTGGGAGGAGGGGACTGGACCTACCTGGACTGAGTCTACCAGGTTGATCTCAGTCCGCGGGGGAGGATTTGCCCTGGAGGAGGTGGGAATGGGGGGTGGGCTGGGGGGAAGGTGAGGGGGGCTATAGAGGGGAGAACAAGGGAATCCATGGCTGATATGTAGAACTGAATTGTATTGCAAAATAAAAATAAAAATTAAAAAAAATAAATTTAAAAAAAAATCACACAGCAATGACTACTACCAATGACTACTACCACGGTCATCTAAAGGACGTCCACACCTGTTTACTAGCCTCCTGATTTAGTGTCTTTGGATGCAGAAGCAATGCGGTGAGTAGCTAGGGAAGCAGTGGCCAAGCAACTGAGCATCAAGTCCTGACAAGGCCACCCCACACCTGAAGCTCACCTTCTCTAGGCTCAGTCTTCTCATCCACAAAATGAGAAGAATGATTTCCAATCTCGCAAACAGTAGTTGTGAGAACGCAGCAGGATAATGAACGTAGAGCTTACCTCGTGCCTGGTATCAGCAATCAAGCATCTATCATTGTATTTTGCTAACCAGGATGACCTTGTTCTGAAGGCAGGAAACTGTAGCTATGGACTTCATGAGGTTTGTGAATATTGGTGAAGTACACGAACAAAAACTGTTTTATACAACGCTCACCGAAAAGGCACGCTTGATGGACGGCACGTTGCTGAATGCGATCACCACTGGCACAATGTCCAGGGCACTGAACTCCATGGCAGCCGTGGTGATGGACTGGATATCAGCCGACTGACCACTGCTGAAGAACGTGGCAATTTTCCTCACATGAGCCCCTGGAAGGGTTCGCTTGAAGACGTTCCTAGAGACAAACCTCATGGCTTTGCCAATGTCCCTGCTGTCGGAGGATCTCTCATAAGGAAGAGCTTCGATTTCCCTCAGCAGCTGATCCTTCCTGTAGGTGTCTGAGAAGCGGATGAGGTGCCTGGTGTGGGAGTTATGGGATAGGATGGCAACACGGGCACCCACGGGGCAGCTGGTCTCCCTGACCTTGACATCCCTAACCAGGGAAGCCATCATCCCCTTCATCCGCTCGAAGTCCTGCTCTGTGACATCCCGGGACTGGTCCAGGACAAACACCAGCTCAGTTGGATGCACTGGGCACTCAGATATTTCTGAAAGACAAAAAAAAAAAAGCCTCTTATCATGCAGAATGTTTGCCTAAAAGCAATACATGGAAAGCAAAATCATTTTAAATGCTAACTATTCAAACATTTAAACATTAAATAATTAATAACCCAAATATTAAAACATATAAAATATTAAATGTTTACATCTTGAATCATTAAAATTGCTGTTCTAAAAGCTGGCTGTGCTCTCCTGAGATGAGCACAAAAGAAAACAGTCTAAAATCAACATGATTAGGGATTAAATCTGTAAGTTAATTACCCAGTTCCTTCTACATACTAGAACCTTTTTGGAAATATCCTTTACCCTACAGGAGCTGGCTCAAAGGCATAGTCTTCTGCATCTGCACTTTAATCATGTTAAAATACAAATTGTTTTCACTTAATGAGGAAAATAAAAACCAAGTGAAAAGGATTTTTTTTTTCCAGAGCTGAGGACCGAACCCAGGGCCTTGGGCTGGCTAGGCAAGTGCTCTACTGCTGAGCTAAATCCCCAACCGCCCCCCCCTTTTTTTTTTGGTTTTTCAGAGACAGGGTTTTTCTGTGTAGCTTTGTGCCTTTCCTGGAACTCGCTTTGTAGACCAGGCTGGCCTCGAACTCACAGAGATCTGCCTGCCTCTGCCTCTGCCTCCCAAGTGCTGGGATTAAAGGTGTGCACCACCACCACCCGGCATGAAAAGGATTTTAAAGGAATAGCTGTGGAGACTCCTTATACAATTAAAAAAACAAACCCTGGAGGATAAAGGTCTAGGGATGTAGCTGAGTCAGCCTGGTGTCACCTGACATGTACAAAGCTCTGGGTTTGAGCCTCAGCACCATATAAAACAGATATGGTAGCATATGCCTGCAATCCCACACTTGGGTGGTAGAGCCAGGAAGATCAGAAGTTCAAGGTCACTTTGAACTACAAAGCTTCACAGACAAAAGGAATGACTCCATGGTCAGTTATACTACATGTTGAAAGCAAACTCATCCATTGCAGGGGAGATGGGACATAATTTATTAGCCTCTGAATCTATAGTGGGATGAACATGTTTTTCAAAATCAAAGTAATGCTAATTTTACAATTAAAAGGTGACTCGTAACTAAATTTGGACTTGGTGCTTCTAGCTCTGTTAGGGTTGTTTTGTACAGGGTACAAAACCCAGCAGTGATGCCAGTATAATTTAGAGATGCAGGGGAGAAAAGATGAACAGTACTGTCTGAAAACACAGAAAAAGTTTTAGATTCCAAGGAAAAAACTATGTAAGGGCTAATTCGAAGTACAGCCCTGAAGCCAGCATGCTGTTTCCAGGAGCCCCAAGGACTCTGGAGAGCACACTCTGATGGCTTCTGCCACCACAAAGCAGGTGACATCACTGTCTACTATCCCACATGCTGCCAACTCATTCTCTGGCCTTGTTAATAATTGCAACTTTTTATTTGAAACTTCTTCCTAATAAACTGAGATTAGCCAGAGCCAAAGTCCACACACCCCAGCGAACTTCTACAGTGAGAACAGCCACAGAGCAGCCATTCCGAAGCCGTGGGGCCTCACATTGGATTTTATACTTCCACTGTCGATTACATTTTTATCCACTTATCCACAAGAAAACCTAAAACTCCATGGCACAGTTAAAACTAGAACAATTAGCTTTATATCCCCTCTTTCATGACATGTGTCTTCATGTGCACTCAGTCCTTCCTTACTGCCTAATATTGACATTACTTGTTCTTCTTTCTACACGTTATACTGTACCCACACATACCTTGGTTTATCTACATATGACAGGCTATGAGGGGGAACATGATTTTCTGAGATTATGTAACCTCATTTAACATTGTAAGTCCATCTATTTTCTGCAAACTTGGTGATTTTCCTTGAGAGCTGAATTTTAGTCCATCATATGTATTAGACTACAACAACCAGCTTGATGTAGCCTCTAGCTCCACCTCCATTTGTTTTTAACATGCCAATCCCCACCCCTCACCCCCACCCCTCACCCCCACCCCTCACCCCCACTGTATCACAGGGATACTGGGCTCTGTTGCTTCCTAGGGAATGTCTGGGTCTGCCCTGTTCCGAGGTGTTGGGATTTGAATCCCCCTGCCATGCACTTAGAAAACGGTGGCTCCTTTAGTCATGACTTCAAGTTCACCCCTTCAGAGAGGATTCCTGGTCCAAACAGTATCCATCCCTGCCCCTGACACTACTCGGTTGCAGTGCAGCCTGGGCGTTATCTCAGATTCTGAATTCTTTCATTTTTTTTTTTTTTTTATTTGGACTCTCCATGAATCTTGTCTGCTGCCAACTCGGTCCCCAGCAGAAAACAAGAGACTAGATCACAGGAGGCTTTGAATAAATCCTCGTTGAAGGAATGAATCAGCAGAGGGTAAAGGCTGGTGAATTTACATAAGGGGATATATATATATATATATATATATATATATATATATATATATATATCTCAGGTTGATGATGGGTTTATAAAAACATATCCTGTAATAAGCATTGGTAAAACACACAAAAAATGAGGCTAAAAGATACTGAGCCAGGTTGGTAATTAATGTTAAGCATGAGCTATGGAAGTCTCAGCATTATCTCCACTGCACATTTCACTCACTCGTTATCTGATCCTACTTCCATTCTGCCCCTCTGCATCTTAATCACTGAACTACAGAGAGGACATGATAGAGAGGGGGGAGAGAAAGAGAGGCGGAGTGAGAAGAGAAGTGAACAGAGGACAGGAGAGAGAAGATGAGAGAAAGAGGGAAGGGAGGAGGGAGGAATGATATTTTTAAAAAACCAGGTAGGGAGGTGAATGGTGATGCACGCCATTAGAATATTATTAACAACGAAAGGGCCTTTCAGTTGGTTGGGAAACAGCAGTGAAACTCAGCTACAGCTGATGAGTCATTAGAGGCAAGGGTCTGCTGCGAATGTGAGCAAAGGAAGCCCGGGTCCAAGTTCTAGCAGCTGGCAGGAAGCACGATGCTTGACCTCATCCTTCCTTAGAGCTTGAGTAAAGCATGTTGCAAATGATGATCACTCACCATGTCTGCCAGCTGGGGAGGAAGAACAAGAGAGAGTGGGTTATTACTTGGTGGGACAACAGGGTTCTAGATTGCATGGGGAAGTCAGAGCAGTGGAACCCTGCCTGCCTGTGTGCCGAACTCAAAACTCAAGGCAACAGACAGTCTGGAGAGAATGCAGCTGGGCCCTGCATCCTGGGATAGCAGGATTCCCTCCAGAGGGGAGGAGATAGGGGAGGCAGGACAACATAAACATAAATCAACACCCTGCAGTCGCAGGAGGTAGAGACCCTCTGAGAGGGGACATGACACTGCAGGAGCTGAGCTCGATTTGGGAAGTTAGATGGTCCCAACCTCTCTTCATAATTTCTCATGTACAGATCTATAGATATCAACTATATATGTGCAAACATGTATGTGTCTTTTGTTTGATTTTCTTGTTTTGTTTGTTTTTTAAAAGGAGGTATAGGGGTGATGAGGATCAAGCTCAGGGCTTTTCTCACTTTCTAATGACCAGCTAAGGACTCTACCTACCACTGTGTTACATCCCTTTTGTCTTCTGCAGTGCGGGGGATTGAACCAGGCTCTTGCCCAAGCTAGTCAAGTGCTCCACCAATGACCTACATCCCTAGCTCAAATACATACACATATATGCAGAGCTATACATGCATATACGTATGTACATATAAATTTGCATGCATATGTCTCTATGTACACATAGTACATGCCTGCATGGGTTGAGTTTCTCTTATCTAAAAGGCTGGAATTACTAGTGTTACTGATCTAGATTTTTTTTTCCCAGGGTGGGATATTTACACACATACATAATGAGATCTCTTGGGAGCAGACCCAAGTCTCAAGTCAAAACTCATTATGTTTCATATGTTCTGATGTGTGTAAAGTGAAGGTGGGTATATACGTTGTATTTAGTGTGCCCATGTTTTGACTACAGTTTGTCACATGAGGTGTGAACTTTTCCACTTGTGACATTATGTCAGCCCTCAAAATGTTTGGGGATTTGGGAGGATCGCCCTGTAATTGGACATGTTTGTGTATCATATAATTGAAAGTGATACACGTGCTCTGAAAGAAACAAATATTGGCTGGACCTGTAGTGCCTGGCTACAAGGCATGCACAGTTGTTTAAATTTCAAATAATTGAATGAAAAATTTAGCTTCTAGGTGACATTCTTCACATTTTAGTGTCCAAAGCCACGTGTGACTGGCAGCGAGGCTGCTGAATGGTGCAGGGGGTACCTCTACCAGGGCAAATTGTTCAACTGGGCAATGCTGCCTTGGGCCACTCATTCACAGAGGTCCCCTCCTCCGCGAGGCCAGGTCTGGGAGGAGTCCTGACTGTGGTCATGTGCTTTTATAAAAAGTACAGAAGTTTTTAACTCTTTTGTGTTCTAAGTCATACTCCTGAAATAATGTTGTGTATTTTGGACCAGGTGTGCTGGATGGAACCCTCACACTTTGAAAGATCAGGCCCTGCTCGTGGCTCTGCCACTTATGATTACTGTCCACTTGGCTCCCACATCAGGAAAAAAAAAAACCTACTGTGCTAATTCAACCTCAAAACAGCCTATCTTCACGGACTCAAGGTACAGGTTTTGATTCCCACCAGCGTTCCTTTCTGCTACGGAGAGAGAGGCCGAGTCCTGAGCAGCTTGGTTGAACGGTTTCTAGAGCCATTGAAATTCTCTGGCTCTGGGCCTGGGGAGACGGCTCAGTGGTTAAGAACACTTGCTGCTCTTGCGGAGGACCTGGGTGTGCTTCCCAGTCTAGGGGATCTGATGCCCTCTTCTGGCCTCCATGGGCACTGCATGCATGTGGTGCACATACACTCAGGAGCACACACACACATATGAACGTACAAACGTTTGTTTTTTAAGTTCTGTGTCTCTAGCAACAACGCCCTCTATAGAAATGGTCCCTACTTTATCTGTTTTTTTCTCCCAAAATTGCCTTGAAGAAACTTTTAATGCCTCCTTTCAGTTGCTGTGTTTACTCAAGGAGCATTGTGCATATTTAAATGAACATTTGACACAATGAAGGTGTGAATACAGAATTGCAACATCAGTTGATATTTACAATGATAAGAATATACCCTGTTACAAGGATCTTAAATTCAAAGAGCTTTTTGCCAAATCTGAACACCTTTTTGCTTTTTGTATTTTTGAGAAAATTATCGGGAGAACAAGTGTTATTACGAATTTCACAAGCCAATCAATAATCCCAGTCAAGCTCATCTTTCCAGGAAAGGAGCAATAGACCAGAAACCCAAACTAGGGCTTCCCCCACATTGTCACAACTGCCTCTTCATACTGCCAACTCAGTCCTGTCAATACTATCTGACGTCAGCAATCATCTCCAACTCAGCTCAGTAGGACTCTTCTCTTCCCTGACTGACTTGACCACTGGGGAAGTTCTGACCTCAGTCTTCCACAGGTTTAAAGCCTCCAGTGTATATAACTACGCAGCACTGGGAACGGGCCCCAACACACTCTCTGGTAGCCAGAGAGGTAGTTAATAGGCACCACCCCCTCCCTGTGGACTCAAAATTTACTCATGACATCTCTCATGTGAAGAGACTGGTTGGTAAATTACATCTGTTCTGAGAACCAAGTTCCCTAACTTCCTTCTAAGAAAGCTGATAGATCATGAGTGCAGAGGGATATGTGTGGGGGGTGGGGTGGGGGGCGTTATTTTAAGGAGAGTACTTACGGCTGTGATCCCGCACATACTGAATGAGGTCACATGTCTGTGGTTCAAAGATAAAACATGGAGAATTAACCATATCTCTGGGTCATGAAGTTTATAAATAAAGGTAAAGGCATACTCAGAGTACCGTGTGGAAATAGGAGATACTTACGGAAAATGAAGCCAGTCCTCGGGCCCCTTTCATGCCCTAGGAAAGGAAACAAGCGAAACCTGTTTTATGGCTGTGCACTTACACCTCGGTAGCCAGGATGTGCACCCACACTGCTCGGAGGAACCTTTGAAAAGGGCGTACTCCCATGAAGTTAAAGGGAGCAGAGAACACACGTGGGACACACACTGCCCCTTGAAGAGAACACTGAGTGCACACACGCCTCCAAGGTTGCTTTCCCCAAGTCCTGGCAGAGAAGCCTAGAACCTGACCGGGCTGCCCACCTGAGGGTGGCCCACAGAGACTTGGAGCAGGCATTTCAGTTCACAACTAGCAAAGACTGAGTCACCTGTTCCCAGATGCCTTTCCTGTGACTGAGTCTTCCACCCTATGTTGTATTTCCACCATGAGCAGAGGTCAAAGCCGAGCCTAGACCATTCCTATCCAAGGCTGATGCACAGAGGGGCTAGCCTCAAACACCTGAAAAGCTAATCGCAACCTCTCCCCCAAATGAATATACACATGTGCGTGTCTGGGTAAAGGGTGGAAAGAACAAAACTGGCTTAACTTCTTATCTCAATCCCATCCTGGAACAGGGAGAGTCTGGCTTCTCTCAAACAGAAACAACAAATGAAAAAAATGCAATGGTGCCCCACCCAAACTCCCAGATCTGTTCCACAGGAGCACAGTCTTAATCACACTTACTGCTCATCCTTCTGAATGCACACACCCACTGTATTCATTGATCACTTGCTAACGTAGGATGGAGACAGCGACTGGACTGATAAACATGCTCACTGATAAGAATATGAAATCTCAGGCTGCTGAGAGGGCTCAGTGGGTCCAGGTACCTGCAGCCAAGCTTGATGACCTGAGTTCATTCACCAGGACCCACACATGCAAGGAGGGGACTGATTCCCAAAGTTGTTCTCTGACCTCCACAAGTATGCCGTGGTATGTGCCCCACCCCCAAAACATAAATCTATAAATGTAAAAAGAAAACACTTTGAAAGAGAAACCCCATTTTGGTCTGATTTTTCATTTCTCCATTTCCTCCCTCCAAAGAGACATATTTAATTGGCCCCAAACTCTCCTTGGCTAGAACACATGGGCTAGTGGACACTGTGGCCAAGCAGCAGAGAAGAAGGTACATAGGCTTGGAGAGGGGCGTGCCCACGCACTGACCTCTAAGGTGCAAAGCGCTCACAGGGGATATTTCTTCTCACCTTCCGTCCAGGGGGTCCCGGCTCCCCAGAGGATCCTGGCTCTCCTGGAAGCCCAGCAGATACCTCAAAGCAGAATTAATTCACTTTATAACCATATTTTATACATCATGTAAATGGTTTAAATTCAAACTTAAAATACTGACACTATTTCAAAAGTAGAACTCCCGAAGCAAAACCATCCATTTTCATCTTAGAAAATTTCTAAATTTCATCAATTTAGAAAATTGATAGATTTCTAAAATACTCAAAAGGGGGTCCCCAGCAACAGTTTGTTTTTCAAATGTTACTTATGAATACTTTGCTACTTTTCTTGTTCTGTTGGTATTAAGATGTCTTTTTGAAAACTGATTTGTATCATACTTTTTCCTGATGCCTCAATTTTGGTTTTGTTTCTTTGATATAAGGTCTTCCTGTACAGCCCTGACTGGCCTCCAATTCACCATCCTCCTGCCTCTGTCTCTCAAACACTGGGATGACAGGTGTGTACTCCCATGCCTGGCTCTCTGCTACTTTTTAAATTTACATACATATATACAAGCATTCATTAATACATATATACATACATATTTTGGTTACTAAATATTCTTATACACAAAATCACTTTTCATGACTTCATGGTATTTTACTGTGTGGAAATTCTGTGATTTATTTAATTTGTTCCTTGCTGTTGGCATTTAAGTTTGATGCTGTTAACAAGCAATACTATTATGAAGTTATATACACAATTCTGATTATTAGTGAACATTAATAAGACTAGGATTGTTGAGTCAAGGGAAAGTGGTTTTCTTAAGAACACGAAGGTAACTAAATTGACGCGCGCGCACACACACACACACACACACACACACACACGAAATTGTGATCACATGCTAAGTCACAAAATCCATAGGGGAAAACAACAAAACCAACCACACCAAAATAGCAACAACAAAACATTTAACAGTTGGCTGTAACGAAAAGAACATAACAGCAAAAATAATGACAGAAACAACTGTTGTCTTGTTTACTGTATGTTAAGAATTTTTTCTATGCAAATTTAACAATACAGTTTGTCCTAGAAAAGGCTAGCATTTAGATTTCGTTGAAGAAACGATATTGTTTTCTTCATTCAAAATGCCACTAGAGAAGAGGCTATAGAAATCTCTCAGTGGTTAAAATCACCTCCTGCTTCTCCAAAGGTTCCAAATTTGGTTCCCGGCATCCGTGTCAAGAGAGTCACAAACCTGTAATTCCAGCTCCAGGGGATCTGATGCCCTCTTCTGGCCTCTGCATGCACCTGCACTCATACACATATATCCATCGATAGACACACATGCGTGTGCACACACACACAATTTTTTAATGCTACAGGATTTATATCTTTTACAGTAATAAGTGAAGTTATCTAAAAACTAATTTATAAAAGCATGGCCTGTGGAGAAATAAAGAATCATTACTGTCCCCCAGGGTCCAAATGATATTGACAGTATTGAAAAAAAAAAAAACTTAATGTCCTCATTTTATTTAAGAGGTATGTTTATCTTCAAGAGAAAAAAGAGGCAGACTGAATACTTTTGTCCATTTCTAATATTTTAACAATAGATTTTAGAGTAAAAATGAATACTACAGGAAAAAGAGGAAGTCTCAGTGTTTTGGAGCCTGGAAATCAGCTAAGTGTTGTGTGAGATGGCTTGGCAGATCTGAGGAATCTGAATCTTGAGCCAGCAGCAGAGAAATCGAGAACCAGCGGGTTTGGTATCACACATTCCCAGAAGGCCCAGGTGTTGCATGAATCTTAATTGATCTTATAATAAAAACCCAGAACCAGACCATTGTGGCCTTGAACTCACAGAAATCCAGACAGATCTCTGCCTCTGCCTCTTGAATGTTAGGATTAAAGGTGTGTGCCACCACTGCCTGACCTCTGTGGCTGGCTCTGTCCCCTGATCTTCAGGCAAGTTTTATTTCTCAGATTACAAGCAATATGTCACCATACTCAGGCTTTGGAGGCCAGGTGCCTCAGAAGCAGAGGTGAAGAAGCCAAATAAGGAGGGTTAGTGGGAAATCACTAGAAGAATTCCCCACTCTCCATTTTCAGCAGGTCGTTGGATACACTTTTCTCCACCAGCAAAAGAAAAACAAAGATAAAACAGGGATGGGACTCTGGGTAGAGCTGAGGACCGATGTTACCACACTGAACCAGGAAACCAAATGAAAATATGCACACTGAGTGCGAGCCTCCAGCTCTCACTGTCCTTATGTCTTCTAGAAAACTGGCATCCAGAGCTGTACTCTCCAGAAACAGGTAGAAGAAATTTGAAGGGTTGTTAAGCACAGAGTTCCATCAGATCATTGTCCAGTGAATTCGTATCTGACAAACTCCAATCATGTCCTCCATCTTCCCAATCAGACCTTTTCTACTCGATTCTCAGTGTGAATACACAGCTCATTCTTGAGGTATAAGAGAGATAAAAGTCAAAACAGAAGAAAACTGTAGAAGACAGACTGTTGAGCAAAGAGGATCTAAAAGCACTCATTTATATCCTCAGGGTGATAAGGAAAAAAATGCTTCAATCATGAAACAAGAATAGTATACTATGGAAAAGGAACAGTCAGATTTTAGCAACAAAGGTAAAGTATGGGATATATATTAAAAATAAAATCATGCCGGGTGGTGGTGGTGCACACCTTTGATTCCAGCACTCGGGAGGCAGAGCCAGGTGAATCTCTGTGAGTCCAAGGCCAGCCTGGTCTACAGAGTGAGATCCAGGATAGACACCAAAACTAGACAGAGAAACCCTGTCTTGAAAACAACAACAACAAAAAGTTATAAAAATAAAATCAAGAAACATTCTCAGAAAGGAGAGAAAAACATCAAAGAGATGTTGAACAAATAAAATACAACAGGAAGTAAACTAAAGGACTGTATTATTACACTGAATAATAGGTATCTCAAAAATGCAGAATTAGAGAACACTAGAGGCAGGGGACACAAATCAACAAAATAATAAGCATTTCCTAGAACTGAAGGACACATATTTTGAGGGTCAAGGGGCCTGCTTCATGCTCAGGAAAATGGATAACAATGGCCAGATCACAAAACCCAAGGCAGATTAAAACGCTGGTGACTCAGAGGCGATCCTGTGGGGTTCCAGAGAGAAAACACTGGCATACAAGGATTTGAACGGCCTTAGACTTCCCAAAGAACAAATAACAGAAATAACAGAAAACATAACTGCCTTCAAAATTCCAGCCCAGAGTTGTACACTAGCCAAAATATCGACACATCTGGAGGTAATAAAAGTCCTTTTCAGATGCTGGTAGTATCATCAAATGTTCCTGTCAGTCATGTCCTCTTAGCAGCTTGTCAGGGTTTGCACATGAAATGACCTCTTACCCGACTTATGTTTGGAACTTTGGTATCCAGATGCTGGCCCTATTTGGGGAGGCTTTGGAAGCTTTAGAAAGTGGAGCTTAGCCAGAGGAAGAAAGTCATGCAAAGATATGCCTTAAAGCTTCGACTGGGTCCCCAGTCGGCTCCATTTTCCTCTGTTCCCCCCCACCATTGTGGTGTTCCTCCCATGAGCCCCCAAACACGAACCAAATGACCACGGACTGAATCCTCTGATACTGGGAGCTAAAATAAACCTTCATTCTCTACAGTGATAAGAAAAGTGATGAATACAAGGTTCCTGGCTGAGTGTTCCATGATGGGAAATCCAGGAGGGTGTGGGAAAGAGAGGGAGAGAGCTGACAGGGGTGAGTGGAGGGGATCTCAGAGCCAGGTGCAGGGCGGCTGAAGAGTGGCAGCTGACACCAGGCAGCAGGGAAAGCAGGTCAGGCTGCTCAGGATATGCCTGCTGCATACGCAAGTCTCTTCTGTATGCAGATCAATGTCAGGTTAAGAGAGGGGAACCCCCAACTTTATAGTGGGAAATAAGTTCATATCACCTAAAACTCAAACATCAAAAAGCAGGAATGCAAACAGATTGCCAATTCCAAAACAACCTCTTGAGATGAAAGCCGTTTTTTTGGAGACAAGGAAATAGGAGGAGGTGGAGAGAGGGTGGGACTGCCATTTTCTCTTGTGCTGGGTCGGGGTGAGGTGAGGGCCTCGGGTACATCAGACAAGCGCTCTACCAGTGAGCCATGGTCACAGTCTGGGGTCGCCTCTCTTTAAATTCATTTTTAAGATGACGGATAAAAGCTATTTTAAAGTAAGGAAACTTAAGAGGTTGTCTGACTCTTTAAGCAGGAATGTCCAACAGGACGACAGTTTCTGGAGACATGCTGGTTGCTCTAATTAGGGAAGGAGGGTGGTAGTTGGAGTCCAGTGGAAGGCTCCAGGGATACAGTTGAACAGCCCACACCACCCAGGGGCAGCCTCCCCAGTGAAGGCTATCCAGCCCCAGTTGGCAATAGTGCCCAGGCCCAAGATCCCTGCTTGAAACCTGTTTGAAGATTTTTTTGCTTTTGTTTTTGTTTTCAACACACATACAAACATACATATATGCACAGCTGAAACAGGCTTATAGATAAAAAAAAAAGAAAGAAAGAAAAACGTCAAGGTAAAGATTCAGTGAACTCACGCTAAGAACAGAGTAACTCCAAGAGACCTGAAAAAACATTCATAATTGAAGGCTAAATCTTTCCAGAGAAAACATTTGCTCTTCCAGGCGAAACCCTGGACATTTTCAATGTTTAAACTCCAACTTCAAATCCAAGTATTACTCATGTCAAGGGGAGGGAAGGAAGCAGTTGGGGAGAGAGAAACTAGGAAGTTACAGAGTCCAACACGGAGAACAAAGAAGGAACCAGAAAGCCTCTCCAGAGGCCCAGACACCGAGCCTGCGCGTCTCCTAGCAGTTAAGTGCACTAAAACTCAGAGACTGTGCCATCATAGGGAGGGCCCCAACAAACGGCCGCACTTGTTAGCATGCTGCTGGTGTTCAAGGCTACACCACTCCGTTAATAAGCCCAGGGAAATGATCCAGAGACGTTTCAATGCAGATGACATCTGGATTAATTTGAAAGTCTTTTCCAATTATTTTCCTAATTATATTCATCTTCATCATTGCTGAGGGCAGACTTGCAATCCGAAAACACATACGAGGAAGAGAATGACAGCTGGAAGCAGCCACCGCCATCCCTCCCCCCCTCTCCCACTCGGGAGCAACAGGGGGAAGAGGTCATTCCTTGTTTTGAAGCCTTAAAACCTCCAAACATGGTCCCTATACATAAAGTTCCTCTTAGAGTATGTAGAGAAAAACTAGATCACAGTAAAATTCACTGTGGAGACAAAGCGGGAAACTCTCAAGTGTATGTTTCTGTATCAGGGTTCTTCTAAGACCTTGTCATGGACAGGGTCATAGACAGGTTTTTTTCCGATCATGAGTCTGTTCAGAAAGAAAAGAGGCAAATACTTTGAGAGACAGTTTGTTGTGGGAGATCTGTTTGTGTTGCTGCCCTGAGATAGCCAATGAAGTCAGACCTTGGTTCACAGGGCCGAGTCCACATTCAGCTGGCTGGAGTGGACCATAGAGTTTTCTGGCTGACTCAGAGGAAGCTAGAGGGACACACAGAATGAATAAGGAGGGGTGAGGGAGATGTGCCGGCCTCTTCAATAGGGAAGGTAAAGAAGAGAACAGGTGACCATTTCTCTGTCGTTCCGTGATCTCTCAGGTTTATTCCCTAACATTTAACTCCTGAGTTCTATTTTGTAATAAAGCAATAAAAGACATCACAATAACAATTGACCTAAGCGTGCCTCATCACAATAAAATCTCAATTAAACAAATCTAAAGTCAATAAATGCAAGTGTTCCGTCCTTTTTCTATCCCCCTCTTCCGTTCTCTGGAGACGTGGGCTCACTATGCAGCCCAAGATGGCCTTGAACTTGAGATCCTTCTGTCTTTGTCTTCCTACTACTGATAAAAGGCATGGGCTGCCACCTCCATTTCTAACCGTCTGTAACCTGAGGCTCACTCCTGTGACACATGGTGGAGAGTGGTGTGCAACTGACACACAAAATGTCAGGCAATACTCAACTCTCCCATCAGCTTAGGAAGACATTCGGTTTGACACCCAGAAATCCCACAAAACACAGGAAACACCTGGTCAGCGAGGAGAGGACCTTATTAAAAGTAGTTCAACAAAAGCTTTGATAATAAAAGCAAGGTGTTAATGGATATTAGTGTTCACCAAGTCTGCTAGGAAGACTGGATTAAACTGATCATACAAGAACCTGCTTTGGATCACAAAAATCCCTTTAAAAGATCTTATTTCCATGGTTAAGAATGATACATTGGCCACGGAATGGGTAAACTTGGTTGATAAAACAGTTCATTGCGGCCGGGCGGTGGTGGCGCACGCCTTTAATCCCAGCACTCGGGAGGCAGAGCCAGGCGGATCTCTGTGAGTTCGAGGCCAGTCTGGTCTCCAAAGCGAGTTCCAGGAAAGGCGCAAAGCTACACAGAGAAACCCTGTCTCGAAAAACCAAAAAAAAAAAAAAAAAAAAAAGGAAAAAAAAAACAGTTCATTGCCTTCTTGGTGGCACTGGAAGATGAGTGTGGGGTCTATTTTTCATTCCACAAATAGAGCTTAACCCCAAATGCACACATTTTCTAATTTTTTAGTTTTTAAGACTAGGTAACAATTCTAATGACCATTAACACGGATGAGGCTCTGCCAAAGTAGCTGGAGTTGAGGGCTGAAGAGATGGCTCCGCTGCTGAAGAGCTCGCTGTACAAGATGAGGACCTGACAAACTCCAACACCCGTATAAGAGCCATGTACAGTGGTGCGTACCTATAACCCCAGAACCAGGAGGCAGAGGCAGGCTACCCAGGCTTGCTGGCCAGTCAGTCTAGCTGAATTGGTAAGTATAAGTTTCAGTGAGAGACCCTGACTTGAACGATAGGATGGAAGGGCTGGAGAGATGACTCAGCAGGGAACAGCACTTGCTGCTCTTGCTTAAGACCTGGATTTGATTCCTGAGCACCCACGTGGCAGCTCACAACCACATGTAATTCTAGTTCCAGGCGACCTGATGCCCACTTTTGGTCTCTGTGGGCAATAGGCATGCATGAGCATGCTTAGATGCGTGCAAGCAAACACTCACATCCTTTCAATGTTTTTTGAAAAAAAATATTAAGAGAAAAAGATGACGAGTGATTGAAATAGACACCTAACATTGATATCTGGTTTCTATATGCACACATACATGAACACGCATCTGGCATGCATGCATACACACACTCATCATACATGTGAACATCATCAATCTCTCTTTCTCTGCCCAGACATATCTGCACAAAGCAGCTGAAGTTATCTGCTGGATAGCTTACCGTTTTGCCTCTGGCTCCCTTGGGGCCAGCCTCTCCTGGATCCCCAGGATCCCCAGTTTCACCCTAAATAAATATATTAAAATTAAAAGAAGAATTATTATTGAAATCAAATACAAATGTCACAGAGGCGTATCTATGTCTGTAAACTGACTCAGATGTCAAGTCGTATACATGTTGCCTTGTGTTGCTCTCTCCATAGCAGACCGTGTCATCACTGGCCCATGGGTCAGTTTTCCAGACCAGAACTCAGGCTCCTTGGAGAACTAAGCACTCCTTTTGTTTGGTCTTCTGACCTTACCGCAGGGCCTGACATTTACGGAGTTCAGTAAAATTTTCCAGAGGAATGAAAGCACCGAGGTGGAGGTTATCATTGCGGCTTCTCACGTGACAGCGGTTTCTACAAACACACTGGGAAAACTCAAGCCAGGTAACATCTCAGCATCTGCTTTATTTCTCTACATTTTACTTTCCTTTAAGCCAGCAGTTCTCGATCTGTGCATGGTGACCCCTTTGGGGGATTGAACGACCCTTTCACAGGGATGGCCTCAGACCATTAGAAAACACAGATATTTATAATTCATAACAGTTAGGAAGTAACAATAAAAATAATTTTGTGGTTGGGGTCACAGCAACATAAGGAACTGAATTAAAGAGTCGCAGCTCTAGGAAGATTGAGAACCAGTGCTTAAGCAATGAATAGGGAAGGAGAATATTTGAGGAGAAAACGTTTAAAACGATTATCTTTCTCCCTTTATAAATTAAAAAACTTAAAGTGGAATATTTTTAAAGTTCTTATATTCATAAACAAACAGATCATATTAAACTTGATAGGAGCTCTTCCCTATGATACCCCACCCTGCAGTGGAATATTTATTTCTCATTAACTGTCCTAAGATAGAGTCCCCAGCTCTGGACTGTGAAGTGCACGTACCTTTGGTCCACTTTCTCCAGGGAATCCTTCTTGTCCCTGCAGTCAACAACAGAGGAAATCAATACACACACACTTGGCTCAGGTAGATTTATATTGACTGTAATTCTACCACCTTCTTTGTTTATATGCCTGTGCATCAAGGAAGGGCTGAACCCACTGGAAACTAGGCAGCACTATCGGAGAAACACATTCCAGTTTCTAAACTCGGTTACTCATGGGTTACATAAGCAAGATGGCAGTCTAAGAGGACAGGCAGAAATATTTGAGGAGAAAGTTACCTGGAGAATTACAGAGGGCCTCAGTCTTATCTAAGCGCATGTTAAAGAAGAGAGGGTCACTTGGCCATGTGTCTCCGAGTGACAAGTAACCTTTCTCAAGTGGGTTTCGATGGAAAGGTTTAGGAAGTCAACAGAATCCAGACCTGACCTTTCATCTTACCTTCCTTTGGCCAGACTCACTGAAGAGCTTTCCTACCTATAGTGGGTAGCCGGTCCAGCTTTGACCTGGAAATACCACCCCTTTTGAGGCTTCGGTAACTGTCACGCCTACAAGGCCGAGCCGAGAGAGGACGATGAAGACCCCAGATCCAGAGGAGGGAGCTCTCTTGGTTCCTGGACCCTGGACGCCGGAGACCAGCTCCAGAGAACACTGCCAGACTGCTCTACACCTTTCCCAGACCCTGTAACCTATCCCTTCATTTGTAAGTTACCCCACAAAATAAACTTCCCTTTTAACTACATGGAGTTGCCTTAATAATTTCACCAATACCTGCCCTCATCTGATAATGTTATGTTACCTAAAATAAAGTTTCTTCTCTTTTGTACATGCATGTGTGTGCAAAGGGATGCACACTCATGGGTGTGCCAGTAGAGACCAGGAGGACGTCATGTGTCTTCCTCTGTCACTCTCGACATCTTAGTTTTGAGACAGGGTCCCTCACTGAACATGGAACTAGGCCAGCAAACTCCCAGGACTCAGCCATCTCTACCCCACCCCCGCCATGCTGGGGTTAAAAGCATCACAACCACAGTCACCATTTCCATGGGTACTAGGGATTTGAACTCCATGTTTAGTGAGAGATCCTGTCTCAAAAAATAAGGTAGGACGGGATAGAGGAAGACCCACCCCCAGCCCCGCTCAGTCCTGCCCCACCCCACCGCCTGTTAACATCTAGCCTCCACACTTACATATGTATGAACATGTGGTCCCCCATGTTCACACACATTTTTATAATAAACTTCATATGTATTAATTTTATAGACAGTCTATGTTCAATGTCACTATTGAATAGGCTATTAAAAATTTCCTTTTCTGTGGAATAATAATGTTTTCAATTATTCTATGTTCTAATGAACATTATTAAAAGTCCTCATTTTTTAGTTTTAATTTTCAAAAATCTTTAGCCGTTGTGGTTTTTCCTCCCAATACCATCTGGGATCACCCCCATGGGACTCCACTAGCGGTACACTGATCCTTTCTACTATTTTAGACTACTCTTCTAAAGATTTCATTATCTCTCAGATCTTTATCATGGATCTCTAACTTTTGTTTATATTTTCTGGGCATTTTGTAATAATAATTGGGTATTTTTCATGATGATTATATGTGTACACATGCATAAGCATGGTTGTGTGGGGGTCTGAACATGTGCATGTGTGTGCATGCATGTAGACAAGGGCAGAGAAGAACCTTGGGTGGTAGTCTTCAGGTGCCTGGTGCCTTTATTTTGAGACAGGGTCTCCACTGGCCTTGAACTTTACCAAGTAGGCCAGACTAACTGGCCAGCAAGTTCCGGAGGTCTACCTGTTTCTGTCTCCCATCACCACTGGGCTTATATGTATCCACTACCACACCACTGTTTACGTGGGTTCTAGGGACCGAATTCAGGAACTCATGCTGACAAGGCAATGCTTTACTTACTGAACCATCCTCCCAACCACTTATCATTGTTTTAAAGTCGTCATTATTAGCATATCAAAATGACTGGCTTTAGTCAACTTATTTATTTTCAGGCATTTACATATCCAGTAACAACATAATCATTTTTAATTTTAAGTTACCATTTGGGCAAATGCATTAAGAAAATGCTACAAAATTTCTCACTAATAACTGAAGCAATCATAACAATCATAACAATCGGAAGACAAGATGTGAACCGGCTCCTGAGTGAAGCTCCACCCAGAACCTCTGAGATTAAAGGCAGTTCAAGCTGGAGCATGCCGGGCCATGTTCCACAGCCACGACATCGCAGGGCAGCACAGATGATTCGTTTTCAATTCTCCGTTTTCACCCGCCCCTGGAACCCTGGCAAGATTCTCCACCATACTGCCCACAGGACATCAACAAGTGAGCTGTCGAATAGATTTTCAGTTGGGCCAGACTAATTATATATTGCCTTCCTTCTCTTAGCCCTGGCAAGCCAAACAAGCAAGCAAAAGCACAGAGACTAGGTCCCGCTTCAGTGGGTGTAACTCACCTTTGATCCTTTGCGGCCAAGGCTGCCGTATCCCGGGCTGCCGTCGTCACCCTGTAAGCAAAGCCACTAATCACGCATATCCAGACTAGAGATGGAGGTGGGCTTACTACAGGAGGACATGACTGATAGATTTGAGAAACATCAGGGACAGCTAGGAAGCAGGGTCCTCTAGCTGGGTGAGTGACAGGGACACCAATGATGGTGTTAAAGCTCCTGAACAGTAGAACTAACAATTACAGCTACTCTGTAGTTGTTGTGGAACATCAAAAGAACAAGGTGGGCATCCTGTAAACTTTCAGTAGAAGTACACAGCAGGATGACCCAACTCTTTGGAGAGCTTCTGTACATTAATACTTCAGCTCAAATCCATTTTCAGTTCACTGAACAGAACAAGCACGGCAAACTGCCCACACACTGGCTACTGTCCGATGCTTGTAGAAGCCCTGGGCGATGGCGAAAGGATGGAATGGTCTCTGATAAAGAGGTCCTGCAAACAAAAGGTCAGAGGAGGTCACGGGAAGATGCTACATAGAAAGCTTAGTCTGTTTTTACCATCTCATCCCAAGAGCATCTTGCCTGTGGCTCCGGTTGCCTTGAAAAAGCTGGCCAATCAGAAACCTCTGTGACGCCTGTCTCAGTTACTGCTAGAACACTCTAAGGCTAGACTGAGACCATGTCTTTACAGCTCTTCCGAGCATCCCCCAGGGATGCAGCGCAGACATCTTTCTGCTGCGGTGTGAATTGTGTCCTCCATAGGCCGTGTGTCTGAACACTTGGTCCCCAGCTGATGGTACTCTTCAAGAGGGTGGTGGAATCTTTGTGGGTGGAGCCTTGGAGGAAGCCATCCATTAGGAGCAGACCTTAAGGCTTTTTTATAGCCCAGCCCACTTCCTGCTCATTCTCTGCTTCCTGGCAGCAGAAGTCATGTGGCGCTGCCTATTTGCCTTCCCAGCCATGCTGTATCGAGCCCTCTTGAACTCTAACCAAAAGAAACCTTTCCTTTGCTGTTACTTCTTATCAAGTATTGGGTCACAGTATAGAGGAAAGTAACCAGTTCACTACTGAAGTAAAAGGTCCCAAAGTCCTGGTCAAAAGTGGCGAAAACCAGCCTACCTGCAGGCCCCGAGGACCTGGAAAGCCAGCAGCTCCCTTTCCCCCTAGGTCTCCAGGTTCTCCCTGTTCAATAGAAAAATGGAACAGGTCCTAAATCAGTTGTTTTGTTAGAGACAGGATCTCATTCTGAGACCTAGGTTGATTGTGAATTTGTGGCAGTCCTCCTACCCCAGCCCTCAGTACTAGGATTCCAGGTGTGAATCAGCACGCCCGACTTTCACTAGATGGTTTGTGTAACGGCAAATCAGAAATGATGGCACAGGGCACCGTTAAAGTCCCACGTGTCACGGCAATGGGCTTGTATTCAGGCTTGCGTACTGTACAAATGACGGGTAAGGAATGGCTGTGGCTGGCCAAAGAGCTGGCCTCCAGCTATCATTGATGTCTCAGAAAGTCTGATGTATTGTTGAGGGTAGTTCACCATCGTAAGCCACTCAGTGCCATGAAAATGTCCTCATCCTGATCCAGGAAGGAATCTCTCTACTGTTAAAAAAATTAGAAAAATTGTTTCCCACGATGACCTGTACAAATCACTCAGCTATGAGGACAGCAGATGTATTAGCCTAGAGACCCGAGTGTAGATCAGCCGGGGAAGACAAGCCGAGGATCCACCACGGCTTATGAACCAATCTCAGCAATGTCTGGGGAAACCTCAGCTACTTGGGAAAATGCTCATGGGGTAATGAAGGAAGATGAGCTCCCTTTTTAAGAAAACAAAACAATGCATTTAAAATAGTTTTAGATATATAGAAAGAATGGATGCACAGAGAGAGAGTGAGTCGCCAGCACCCCGCACATTTACCTTCCCCCATTGCTGACCTGTTAGCCACAGTCATTCATGCTCAGCACAATGAACAACCAATGCTGATTCATTGTACTCCCCAAACCCATTCTTTAGTCTCTTGGTTTTACCTACTATTTGTTCTTGTTTCCAGGTACCCAGGATTTCCCCAAATGCGATGTCTCCATAGATTCTTCCAGACTGGGACGGTTTAACAGACTTTTATTTTTGAACAACCTTGACAGCTTTGAGAAGCATCAGTTAGGTATTTTGTGGAATGGTTCCCAATTAGAGGCTGTCTGATATTTTATTTTTTATTAGACTGCGTCTATGGGTTTTGAGGAAGGAGAGCATAGAGGTACAATGCCATTCTTACTGCATCTTATCAAGGGTAGAACAAGCAATGTGGTTTTATGACCCAATGACTGCTGACCCTGACCACCTGGTTGATGTCATATTGGTTAAACTTCCTCACTGTTAAGGTTGATGGTTAACTCATTCTGAAGAACAGAAAGGTCACACAGTGTGAGAACTCTGAATGGATGTTCTGAAGTATGGGGTGATACAGAATGGGAGGGGATGATGGAGGTCATCATCCCCAGGACTCACTTTCTCTGAGTGTTCTTGGGGGCCACCTGTCCTCCCATAAGCATGCAGGACTCACGTACAAAAGCCAGTTCCCAGCCCGCTTTGAATGAATCTCGTACTAGAGTCCAATAATATGTGCATTAAAGCTCGCCAGCTGACTCAAGTTTGAGACATCCGCTTGAAGGCAGGAAAGCTGGGAAGTCAGAGGGCTTTCCCAGCACCAAATAATTGGTTACTCAGTTACTGGTACAATCAGACATGGAGTGCAAGATTGCGGAGTTTAAACATACTGGAGTATGGCCCGGGGAGGCGTTCATCTCAGTCCATAGTGACACAAGAATCTGTCCATCTGGGTTTGCCGTTTGCACTGGGGCACTTGTCCTGACCCTAATTCTAGCTGTCCTACTTAAAGGTTCCTGTTGTTAATAATGATCTTGATGGACATGGCTTCCATGCCTATGACTCCCCCCTCACTCTTACCTAGCTCTGAGTTCCATCATCTCTGTGGCCCTCTTTTGGTCCCTTCTACCATACCCTATAGAGTTCCTTCATTTCATATGCATTATGCACACATCCATTGAAACACACACACACACACACATACATACACATACACACATACACACACACACACACACACACTTCCTCATCCAAAGAGAAGTTTTATTCTGTGGCACCATTTTCCTTACAGCATACCCCAGGACACAGAGCCTGTATGGTTCCTCTTTCAAATTGTCACTTTCTTGACACACCACATGCCCCAGAGCCCCTCCTCCTTCTGAAGGTGCTTGTCCTGGTTACCCTCGTATCTTATTACACAAGCCAATGAACTGTCTTCACATGGCTCCCTGCTCTCCTCCATCGCTGGCTCTCCCCGGCACTTCTCCAATACAAAGGCTGAAGTGTATGCCTCAAATTCACTCTAGCAGGAAATCCCTGCACTCTATGAAAAGCTTCTCCAGTCTGCCTCACACTGTCATTCCCCTCCTTCCTCTTCTCCAATCCTTAACACCCTGCTGTCTCCCCTGCCACTGAAAACACACTCCAAGCTTTTCTAGACAATGGCAGGCCCAAGCAGAGACATCCTTTTCTCCCCTCTAAAGGAGGAACTCCTTGTCCGCGCCGATGGCCGCGCTGCATCCCTGTCTGCACTGAAACAGTGTTCATCGCCTGGGAGTCCAGTCTCTTTCCTTTCTCCTGTCTGCAGCGGCACTCTGGGGCCTCATCTTCAGAGCCCGTCAGCCACCAGAGGTGATGGCTCTTTCCTGATTTTTTCTGTGCGGGTTGATCGTCTCCCTTTCTTTCCCTTCCTTCCCCTTCCTTGTCTTCTGTGTCCTTTATGCTTCTTCTAAACAGGCACCATTAAAAGTTCTTTTCATCTGTATGATGCGGAAGCCCACGTCTCCAAGCAGGCCTAGCTCTTGTCTCCGGCCTCAGAGCCAAAGAGTCCCTCCATCCTTCCACTCGCCCTTCCTCACAACCTTCTCCAGGTGTGATGGCGTCACCAGTTACACCGGAATCCCTGGATCGTGTAGCCCTTTCCCTCTGCCCCAGTTATCTTAGAGAAGAGCTGTGTGGAACCATCACATGTTAAGTTTCCATCCTGTTAAATGCTCCAGTCACTGCTGGTCTTGGAGACAATGAGAGGGACCAACTAGTCTCCTTATTTCTAAGCTCTCAGCCTTCAAAAATTAAAATCAGAACAGTCTACACTAGGATGTCCACTTAGTATCTCCCAAGGGTCTGGCTGTGTCTACACAACCCCTTCAGAACAAGTAGACAATGCTGTACCAGTGACCACAGACTACATTGCTCTTTATGTGCCTACATAATTTCTCATGCAAATAATTATTCTTCAAATAATTCCTCCGAGGATGCTCTAAGCCCCATGTCTGCCTGCCTGTTCCTCCCTCCTCCCCCCATTTCCCCTCTCTGCTTCTTCAAAGTGTTTATCTTCTAAAGGCCTCTCAGAGCTTGGGTCTTCTTTGATGTCTCCTTTTCCAGCACGGAAATACTCCTAACTACTTTACTTAAACCTCATTTTCAGCCTCTTACTCTCTCTCTTCCTTTTGCTCTAGATTGCTGTCTTCAAGATAATCTAAATTCTTTGGGTCTGATTTCATGCTCCATGTATCATAGCTCCTGGAATTGCATTCATTCATAAATACTAAGTTCTTGGTCCAGGCCAGGCACTGTTTTAAGCACTAGAGACACAATGGTGAGGCAAAGACCCTGCTTTCCTGTACCCAACTTCCCAGGACAACAGAAGCCTGAGCTTAAGGTCCTTAGCAAAGGTTCACATGAGAAGGAGGGAACAAGAGAGGTAGGAAGGATGGGATGGTGCAGAGAGGATGGAGAGGGAGGGAAGGCCTTGCCAGAGCCGCCTTCCTCCTGAGATCTGTCAGCTGGATGGGGTGTGGCCCTTCATGCAATTATGCTGAGCTGGAGTCCCTGACTTCATCTCTGTCCACACCCAGTTCCTTAGAGATTTCTGGCTCTCCAAGAATCAAGCCAGAGCTTAGGGACAACAAGATGTGTTTTCCTTTGTGTTGAAAGGGCTCTGGCTCATCCAGCCAGTCACAGCTCTCTCGGGTAGCACAAACTGACCGTTGGAGGGGCTGCATTAAAGAATGTGACCTACTTTATTTCCTTGGCTTCCCAAATGGCCTTGATTCCCCGCTTGTCCTCCGGGTCCTGGAGGCCCCTGGAATGAAACAAGGATGGCAGATACAGTGAGACAAAGTGTAGCTTTCCCCCAACACTTTTACATGTCTTATGGAACGTGAAGTACAGATGGGAGAAGAGTTATGAGCTGAGCTGATCCCGCTCTGGAAAAAAAAAATATTGCGGCCGTCAAATAAAAACTAGTAAATAAAAAAATTAATAAAGTAACCCTGTCCAGATGTGGCCTAAATGATTACACTTCCTTGTGAGTCTCTGTGTCCAAACAGAGTCTATGTTCCCACTATTTTGCTCAAGGAACAGATGTTGCTGAAGTGTCTAACATTTCAAGAAAGCTTTCCAAAGGACATTGGCCTTCAAAGAGTGCTTTCTACAACAGGCAAGGGCTAGGTTTTTGTTTGTTTTTTGGGGTGTGTGTGTGTGCTTATCTTCATTTGCAAACTATGGAATGTACATTAGAAAGATCAAAAAGTTTCACTAAAACTAACTAGCACTGTAACAAAAGTGTGTTCAGGGAGCACAGGATAAAGATTCTGAAATGGTTTTTAGAAAGTGCTAGAAAACGGAAGTGTCATCTTTGTGTCCTAGAACAGGACCTGCCTTTTGGAAGCAGTTACTGTAAATACTTGTCAAATTAGTAAAAAGGATGAGTCCATGGACCATCCAACCTAGATCTTGCAGGATGGTGAAACCTGACAATTGTGACATGGATTACATATTGTTCTGTGTCTGGCAGGGTTTCCCTCAAAATATGAACCACATTCCATGCCACAGGCTGCCTCTTTTCAGGTTGGGGAGGTGATTCAGTGGGTAATGGTGCTTGCCACCAAGACTGGGGACCCAAATTCAATTCCTGGAATGCACATGGTAGGAGAGAACCAGTCCAGTTGGCTCTCTGACTTTTACACATAGATTGTGGTGTGTACATATGTGTGTACTCTCACACAAATAAAAGTAAAAAAAATACATCTTTTCAATTAGGCAATATAGACACAATATTGCAGTAATAAAAATATTTATACAGCCCTTACTCTGCAAGTAATGGTTGCAAGCATTTATATCTATCAAACCATTTAATTTTCACAACATCCAATGAGGTAGCTGCTATGACTATACTTTTGCAGGAGATACGTCCATTGTTAAATAGATTGTCCAAGGTCACACAGATAAGATATAAAGGTATAAGCCTGGAACCAGGCCCAGGCAGCCTGGCTCCAGATTCGATGTCTAGGACTACTACGCCACTATCTGTGAAGACAATAGAAACCCTACATAGTCTCCACATTTCATGGAACAGTCCACCCTCCTCCCATGATTCTCCTCTCCCCTTTCCTCCCCACCCTGTCAGGTTTTTCGAAGCATAGTTTCATGTAGCTAAGGCTTGAACTCCTAATCCTTCTACCTCTACTTCTTTTAGAAAATTAGTATTGATTTGCATATATTGGTCTTTGACAGCTTCATACATGAGCATAATGTAGTCTGATTATTCTCCTCATCCCCACCCCTCTTCTTTCCCCCTTCCACCCCTGTCAGCTCCTCTTTCCTACAAACCCCTTTTCCTCATTCCCTTTTGGTTTTGTGACCCACTGAGTTTAACCAAGGCCATCAGAATGACCACGAATGTGAAACTATCCAGTAGAGCCTGGTGGGTTCGCCCTACCTCCCCCTCTTGAGTGCTGGTTCTACAGAGAAGAACGTCAATGCTTAGCTAATTCTACCTGGTTGGTGTGCATGCTACTAGTGTTATTTAACTAAGAACACGTATTCAAAGAACAGTTACATCCCCAAGTAAAATTAATATTTTGGACCTAGTTTTCCACTTTGTTTCCTAGCATTTGGAGATTTTAGAGAAGGGACTTAAGGGCAATAAAAGATGGGACAAAAGAAGGCACAAAGGAATCTGTTGTTCCTTTCAAAAATATCTTCCTAGGCATAGTACTTCGGCTTTGGCTGGATTAGCACATTTCATTTATGCAGAACACCGAGTACTGCGTAACTTAATAAGACTCTGGTATGCCATCAATACAAATCACATCCCCTTTCAAGATACGAGTCAAGGAAAGCTTTCAAGCCTGCTGTTAGAAAACACTGTTCTACCGGAGGGCTCCCCCTGTGCCATAAAAGAATACAAGACCTATGGCAATGGGGTTGGAGAGCCAACAAAGAGCAACACTCTCTGTGCGTCTGGCTGTGTCTGTCTCCGTGGATTTCCTCTGGAAACAACAATCTAGAAATACCATTCATCATGTCCCAAACACAGAAAATTCCACTTTTCTTTAAACTGCCTTTTAACCAGCCAACAAGCAGGGAATTCCATAAAAACCATACAGAAGAAGAAAGGCAGGTTTTCCAGCCAGACAAATGGAAGTGGAGGTAGAGAGACAGGGTGTTTTTGACTATCTGGCAATGCCAAAGGCTGGATGATTTATGACTGTGCCACATCTTGCCAAAGCGAGATTAAAGGGACCCGTGGATGAAGGTGTCCTGCAGAGCACATGGAAGAATTACTCCACTAACAGTCTTGGATACCATTTTGGATCCTAGAGCAAAAGAAAGACCAAGGACTTTGGATTTCAACTCATCTACATATCTACATCAATATTTGATATCAACAGATAATTGTCTGATATTCATTTTCCTTTGTACTGTTTTTTTTTAAATAAAAATCTTCATTTTGGTGCCAGCTGGCTTTTAATGATTCAAAGATGTGAATACAGAAGAGTTTTTACCACCAGTTTAATTCTGCTATGAAATTATGAAATTTTCATGCATTTAGAAAGAGCACTTTTATCAAAACCAGGAATAAACATCATCGAGAGCAGTTATGAATGTATTTTAAAACAGTATGTCATGGCATACAACTTTTTGCCAACAGCCTCTTAAATATTCTCATGATGAGCACAGCCACTTAAGTGCTGGGCCCCTGCCCAGTTTAACTAATGGATGCAAAGCAATGCATTTCCTTGATACTGCTAACAGTGGAGGGTGAAAGTCCCAACCGGGTTGCCTTCATTCATTTACTGCTTCATTCATTACACAAATGTATTGAGCTCTGCTGGGCCAGGTCCTGTGGACCCAGGCTCTGGGGATTCAGCATAAGCAAGACACTAACATGGATGGAGCTTACAACCTGCCAAAAGAGACCAATATATACATATATACTATGCTAGCCATAGAGAAGACCACACAGGGCCTTGCACTCAATGTGTGGTTCAGACCTGCAGCATCAGCACCAACTGGGGACTCACTGAACATGCAGAATCCCAAGCCTCGATCTAGGCCCCCTTAGGACCTGCATCCTAACACACTCTCCTAGAGATTCTTTGAGCACTTTGAAATAGGAGAAGCATGGTTATTGGGTAGTCATTTCCAACCCTGGTGTTATCTGAGGAGAATTTAGAATTATCAATACCATGTCTTCACTTGCAGAGATTCTCAGAGCCAGAGTATAGGGTTCCAGGTGATAAAATTGTTTGGTCTCTCCAGGAGACTTTAATTTTTTTTAAAAAATGAGGGTTTTGGATCCCCAAAAGCTGGAGTTACAGGAGGTTGTAAACATGAGTCCTTGGGAAGAGAATTACCAAGTACTCTTCACCACTAAACCATCTCTCTAGCTCCTCCAAGAGGTGAAGTAGGCAACTCCAAGTGGCTTGTGAGCCGGAAGTGATGTGATGTGTCAACGTAGCACAGAGGAGAAATTGTTAAGACTGAGAAGCGGAGGCAGGAGGTCTCTCTAGAGGGGATCCTCTGCCGCTACTATAGTCTGTCTGGCGAGGGACCAGCGAATGGTGCAGCTGTCTCTTCTCACACTCAAGTCACACTTCATACACATGGTGTGCAGGCTGTGTGTGATTCACCTTTAGAGACAAAACCATGAAAGCATCCTCCTTAAAGCCAAGGTCAAGGCCAGATGCAGTTGCTTTCTCCTTACGCACCTGAGGACCTTTCATTCCCAGAACTCCCTTTTCTCCTTTCTCACCAGGCTCTCCTCTTGGGCCCTAAACACACAGAATCAAAGTGTTACTTTCCCCTTTAGTGAGAACGCTTCAACATTAAACTTGCACATTAAAAATCAAATGCTAAGTCAAGGTAACAGAAACTGGTCTGGGAGTCAAATTATGCTGTGGCTACTGTGTAGGTCTCAGGGTTCTTCATCTTTGTAGGAACACCACAGGACAGTCTGAAATTGAGGTGGTTGAGCCTATATAGCCAAAGGAGGTGGGGCCTGGAGGAAACACACCAAAGCTGAGATTTTCAGTACTTGTAACTGTCCTCAGCCTTCATACTCAGAAGCCATATGCTTTTTATGTGAAAAATGTTTTTCTTAATCATGTAAGCCTGAAACTAGAACCTTTAAATCCATTTAATATTCAATAACCACAACCAAGATGGGCCATAAAGAAGATACATTCCATAGCAAAATGAAAGTTAGGTAGTTCTACTTCTGGAATATTCTATTGTCTATGTACTATGGCTTCCATAGGTTGCAGAGAAACTTTCTTCATGTGCTGTATTTGGTATTTTGCTCCATTTTACATTGTGCTGTAAACAAAAAAGCCCATAGACTGAAAGAACAAATGCTCGTTGTGACTTGCACAGCATGAGATAAAGGCAGTCAATTTATTAAGATGCTTTCTGACGATCCCAACGGCAAAGATTTCTCACTCTAAAGTAAGAAAATTGAACCTTCCTCATCTGGCACGTAATGACAAATAAAAGCAATCAAGCCGGAGAGGGAGAACGGTCTGACAGGAAGGCTGTTTACCATGCTGAAATCTTGGCGACATGTCACAAAGTGTCTCTCTGATGTTTTGATGTATTTTGTCCAGCTTCCTTACACAAACTGCCAATATATAATGCCTTTATTTTTAAGTACTTGCTTTAAAACCTTGAAAAATAGCACCAATGACTGTCCTGCCTAAGCCAAACAGTGCACCTGCTTTTCATACATTCAAAACCAAGTTCAGAGAGGGAAAATACTATTTTGCGGTCTGATTTCTACCTCTTCCCCCCTCCTCCCCTCCCTCTCTTCCACCCCATCCCTTTCCCTCCATGCTGGAGACTTAATCCAGGGCCCGTACATGCTCCACACGCTTTCTACCACTGAGTTACATCCCAACCCAGCTTCTTTCTTCCTTCTCAGCATGTGCTCCCTTCCTGCCTCACTGTTGATCTAGGCTATGCTTCGCCCTCTCTGGCACACGTGCCTCCCTGCTCACACGACCAGGGCAAAGCGCCGACCATGGCTTGCTCCTTGTAAAGGAGAAAGTGCTGGAGGCAGCTCCCCAGAGAAGCGAGCTGGAAAGGACAGGCGGGGTGCCACACTATAGATCACCCTGCCGAAGCCTCCAGCTGCACTCAGAACAAATTTTTCCTTGAGTTGAGCCAATGTTTCAACACCATGGACATGCAGAGATACAACGCTGAACTATTACTGTGTTAAATTGACCACAATCCCCAAATTCAAGGCTCAACATTTTCCTTGGCTCAAGGACTCCTGGATTATCCTAACAATCCTGAACGCACGGGGCTGGCTGCCCAGCATGTTCATCTCTTTCCACCTCTTGACGAGGACAGAACTCTGATAAAAGACAACATTCTGTGCAAGTCAAGACTCGATGTTGCTTATTTGTTTTATTAACCTGAACACACTTCCGAGCCTCTGTAGTTCTGCAGGGCCACATGAAGGGTTCTAACCAGGCTATAGATTCTCCATTTGCTCACACACCCATGTGTTCTCTATGTATACCTGAGGGCCCTTAAGTCCTGGTGAACCTTCAAGTCCATCTGAGCCTGGGATGCCTGGATTTCCCTGTAGGGAGAAGAATCAACCTATTAATCTATTAATGCTATCTCTTCATGTGCAAGATTAGAAACTTCTTTTTCAGTGGCAATGAAAAGTCTTTGCAAAAACTGAAGGTTTCTTTTATCCTCAGTATCATGGAGTTGCACTCTGGTGTGACCGTGTGACCGAGAGTGGGTTTATCACTAACCCCCATGCTTTTAATCTGAGCGTGTGTGTTCTACAAACATCTAAGCCGCAGCTGCTCTTTCTTAAAGACTGTGTATTCATGAAGCACAGTGTAGGATATATCACCAGGATGTACAAAAGGGATGTGACACAGCTCTCCATTTACGCCTTCAGGGTACTCAGAGTATCCAGTTGTAGACAACTTCCACTGTGTTCTTCGGGTTTATATGGGAGTTTCACACAAATTGTAAGTTGGAGAGGACCACAGAATACAAATGCAAGAAAGGTTACTTAGAACTTGTATTCAAAAGCCAAACAAAATGAAGTTTAACCAGTGGACTAAATAGCGTCTTTGATCATTTTCATGTTTAAATGTTTTATAATTTCTCTGAAAATTTTAAATAAAGTACCCCAATTTTCATTTCATTTTGAATTCTTGAAATTGTAGCTAATGTTTTCTAACAATTTATCTACAACCAATGTCATCCAAAACCAAAAGGTTAAGATGGGAGGAGATATTGCCATGTTCATTCTAGCTCCTTGATTGGACATGAGTCGTTTATCATCTGAAGTTAAGAAAAAGAAATTATCACTGACCTGTGGGCCTGTATGTCCCCTTCGGCCATGAACTACCTATAAATAAATAAAAATATATATAAATAAAAGGAAAAGTAGATATTCTTAATTTAGAAAAGATGGTGCATACATAGGATTTCAATTGGTAACAGATGCCTCAAGGCACTGATGTAACTCCCACATTGAGCTAACTCCTTCATTAGTCGGTGCCTTGTGAAGACAGGCTCTTGCCAACCCTGAATTTCTAGGTAGATAATTGAAATCATACAGCACCCAAAGCCAGAGATACATGGAGAACAGGTCATAGCCTGCAACCCGCCTTCACTAAGCTTGACCAGAGCTGCTCAGTAGCTGCAACACTGACCTGAATTTTCTTTCTTATTTTCCCCCCAAGAACTACAAAGTAAGTCTGAGATCAGGAATGGACCAGCCAAAGGGCAGGATGCCAGAGGAAAAGCTGAGGCTCACCTCCAGGAACTCCACAATACTCAGAAGCTCACAAAGCTCAGAATTTAAAGAGCCAAACTAGCTTGATAGAGCCAAGAAATGTGATTAGCTGTCAGAAATCATCTCAAATATTCAACAGTGACTTGACCCACTGTATCAATAAAATACCCAATCCAAACAACATTGTTAAACAGGGAAGGGGAATTTTTCACTCTGTGTAAGGTCAAGGTTCAAGGTGCATTCCCAATCAGTAGTCCACAGTTCAGAAAATCAAGAGATAATGACATTTTCCTGTCTGACTTGGTCACTTAGTAAAGTCAGAGTAAAACTCCCATCTAGGGTTCACAAAATTCAACAGCCACCAGACAATACCATCTCACTGGAAACTCATGTGAGCTATTCTGACAGGCCAGCATTGCTAAGTGTATTTCAAACTATGTTGTCATCTAAGGAGCAAAGGGTGTGCGTGGGGAAGTGTCCCATTTCTTTCAAACAAGAATGAGTCATCTTTAAGGCCCACATTCTCTGTCACAGAAGAAGTCGTCATTTTCAAAGGGCTGGAAAGATGGCTTAGCATCTAAGAGCACTTGCTGCTCTTGCAGAGGACCCTGGTTCAGTTCCCAGCTCTCACACCAGGCAGCTCACAAACTGCCTGTAACTCCAGTTCCCTTAGACCCACCATCCTCCTCTGGCATTGACAAGCAACTGTATGCATGTGGTTGCGCGCGCGCGCACGCACACACACACACACGTATACTTTTTTTAAAGTTTAAGAATCTGTTTCCTTTAGCACAATGAATTGTACCAATCCAATTCAATTCCACGTCATTCAGAAAATTATCCACCAGTAGATCATTTCATTCTGAAAACTGCCTGCTGCCCTTTGACGGACAATAGATGAGACCAAGAAAGAATGAAGCATGTGTGCATGCTTGGGCCCTCCCCCCACATATTCCCCAAGTCTTTGACCTTGGGAAACGCTCACTCTAAGTATTGGGGGAGGATGGATAAATACTAGAAACATTTATAAGGCAGAGGCAGCACATGGCTAAGGATGAAAAGACAGTTTCAAAGACAGATCACATCCAGTTGGTCCGATGTGGAAAATCTCTGCAGAGGAAGAGATTTCTTTGTTATTGGTTTCAAGGGATGTGTCCACAGCCTGGGTAGTGACAAAAAGGCAGAAAAACAGGAGGTGCAGTAGGTACTGGCAACAAGGGTAAGTTGAGTCAAAAGTGTGAGATAAGAGGGAAACTAAGGGGGTTACGAGACTGGCCAGTTTGCCCCTCACCGCTCAGTTTGTGGTGTAGTTAACATACATGGTTGGAGCAGGCTCCACGTGAACACAACTGATCGCAGTGGAGGAGCTGAGAAGAATGTCATATTCTAGCAAAACAAAAATTTACCAGTAGATTTTAAGGGCTGTAGAGCAGATCCCCACACGGAGGATGTTTCTCTACTGCCAGGGTTGGAAACATAAGTATCTGCTCCTGTGTATTAAGATGTTTGCCTTTTGCATGTGCTCATTTGCTTGTGTATGTAGATGCCCACGTGTGAGTATGTACACCGAGGCCAGAGGGTAACCTCCAGGGTCGTTCCTTAAGTGTCATTTACCCTGTGTTTTGAGACAGGGTCTCTCCACTGGCCTGGAGCAGCTCACCAGTTAGGCTGGGTGGGCTGGCTGGCTGGAGTATCAGACTCTGTTAGCCTTCCCTCTCAGGGCTGGGATTACATGGGTACACCACCACACATGGCTATGTGACATGGACTCTCAGTCTTCCGGCTTGCCTGCAAGCATGTCACTGCCTGAGCCATCTCTCCAGCTCTGCTCCTATGGGACTTGAAGATCTGATTTTGAAAGAGCTCAATGGCATGTATCTCTGGTAGCCCTGCCCCGCCCCCTGAGTAAAGACTGACTCCTGTCCCTAGTCATGGGGGTTTTGACCTAATGGAGGAGACAGACTTTAATCTAACGGTGACGTAAGTGAGGGGAACAAACCTGGACAGGCTGCCTAGCATGCTTGCTGATTTAAGCTACAGAGTCACGGGAGAGAGACCTTGGCAAACAGGAGACACAGAAAGCAGATGAGGAATCGGGGCAAATGATTTTGCAGCATTTGCCTAACATGTTCAAGTGGTTTGCACAGGAAAGAAAACCGCAGAATACCGGCAGGGTGTACTCAATGGCTGACTGGGTTCCAGTCACACACCCAGGCATCCTAACTCTTCTTTAAAGCAAATGTGAGTGGACACATCAAGAGGAAAGTCCCCTCAGGGGACTGAACAAGAAAATGATACAAGACAGAGTCCCCAGTTCTGTGGTCCTTTCAGCCTGGCTTTCCGGGTACCGATGAAGGACCCTGTTTTCTGATCTCAAACCGAGAGTCCCCAGGAAGCAAGCAGGGTGTTAATGGCAGACACCCATGAATCCTGTTTCTTACTGGCAGGCTCTTCTCCCATGATGCTGCCCTGGAGCACTCTGGGAGGCCTGTAAAGAGGTTCCCAGAAGGATGAATGGAGAAAGCACCACCAAAGCAATCTGGACCAAACTAGAATGAAAGGCTGCTTTGGTCTGAGGCTACAGTTGCTTCTCATTACCCCTGGCAGAGGATCCATTCTAATCCTCAGCACGGCCTGGTTCAGAGACAGCCACCCCTCCCATTTCCCATCAATGCCTGGGGCTGTGCTTTCTGGCTGCGGTCCTTCCTCCCTGCTTCACCTACCCAGGCTGTATCTTAGCCTCCCTCTGATAATAGCTTGTTCACCCCACAGGCCCGCCTCCTTTTCCATCACTTCCTTTCCAGGAAGCAGTTAGCAAAGTCTGGGGGCATTTCTTGTTGGGTGTGCTGTTGGCACCCAGTGAGCAAAAGTTGAAGGAGAAATGTACATATTTCCATGCATAATGCAGCCCTTCACCACAAGCAACGCTTCAAACGAAAACCGCCAGTGCTGGAGTGGAGAAACTTGGCTGTGGTTTACCCCATGGTTCTGAATCCCTGCAGAGAGCTCGAGTACTCAGCGAGTTGCTGGTTCATTGTTGGTGCTCAGTGTTGGTCAAGTGAATAGAGATCACATTGGGTCAGCTGGTATCCATTTCCCTGCATGCCACCCCCACCCCCACTGCTGGCCACCCTCCAGTCACTTGCCAATTCAGCAGAATTTCATTGCACCAAGGATTCCTCCTTGCTCTCCATTTTCGTCTAGATGCTATTTTGCAGGTATACCAAGCACTAGCAATGGAACCGAGAGCTTTGGACACATTAGACAGGCACTTGGCCACTGAGCTTCCCCCGCCCCACCCCCTGCGCTCCAGCCTATTATCTACCTATATCTTACTGTTTTAGAAATGACAGGTTCTTTCTCTTTCAAGAATAACAACTTCATTGCAATTATAAAACCAATAAACCCTTATGAATGCAGATCAAACATGAATGTAAAAGTCACCCCAAAATCTCTAGGCAGAAATAAACATCAGCAGGGCTCAGAGAGATGACTCAGAGGTTAAGAGCACTTGCTGCTCATGCAGAGGACCCAGATTCTGTTCCCAGTTCCCACATGGTAGCTCACAACCCTCTATAACTCCAGCTCTGGGGGATCTGATCCGACCCCCTCTTCTCACCTCTGAGGGCAGCAGGCACAAGCCACACACACATTCATACAGGCAAAACATTTAAAAAAAAGTCTAGACAAAAGAAGTAATCATTAGCTTTTTAGAGCCATGATTCCTGAAACATATGGGATTTTTCTGACAGAATTCTCTACAGTGGCATTTTTATTGAAAAAGGGGTCATGCTATTTTAAGTTTCAGTATTGGGCTGGAGAGTTGGGTCAGCTCTTGTTGCTCTTCCAGAGGACCCAGGTTCAGGTCCCAGCCCCAACATGGGCAGCTCACAACCATCTCTAACTATAGATCTAGGGGATCCGATGCTCTCTGCTGACCCCCACAGGCACTGCATGAAAGTGGCATACAGACATACAGATGAAACACCTGTACACGTAACAATAAAATAAATCGAAAAAATGTAAGTAATACATTTAATTTCACTAGAAAAGTAAAAACAAGAGCTCGGGGCCCAACGTCAACATTTCCACTCTCCAGTAGATCTCCACTTCCTTCTCTTCCTCTGCTCCCCAAGCTCCGCCAGTTGGCATCTTTCCCTCTACTGTCCTGTCAATTCTTTTTTGTTGTTTTTGTCTTTTGTTTTTCGAGACAGGGTTTCTCTATGTAGCCCTGACTGTCCTGGAACTAGCTCTGAAGACCAGGCTGGCCTCAAACTCAAGAGACCCACCTGCCTCTGCCTCCCCGGTGCTGGGACTAAAGGCGTGTGCCACCACCGCCCCAGCTGTCCTGTCAATGTTTTGAGCTTTTATTCAGAGCAAAACTGTGGGCTTCATTTCTTTCAGACTTGAGCTGTTTGCCAGAGTCCCACTTCCCCTTAAGTAACTCCTCTTCACGTGGTGGTGGGGGGGGGTTTAATTTGCCTTCGGGACATGATTTTTTTCCCTCTTTTGTAGTTTGATTACTTAATCATCTGATTCATTGACAATAAAGATTAACCATCTGTGGAAAGGACCCCTGTGGACTGAAGACCCCTGGGGAGGTGTAGTGGGACATCAAGACACTGTCTACAACACTTTGGGGTTAAGGGAACTCTTGCTTTTACTGTAGGGTTACATCTTCCTCCAACTTTTGGCATTTAGGCAAATCTTAGGACTCACATGAAGCCCTAAAGGCTGCAGTTTGTCTATGTCATAATCTCCACTGACTTCCGGTTTCAGGCGATACAGACACAACACTGTTCACTTTCTCCCCATTCCTTCTGCCTCCTCTGCTCCTGGGGATGTATGGGGCTACCCCCTGCTCCTTTCAGAATCGACACTGAAAATCTGCACAACTGCATTCATCAGCTCTTTCTGGGTGGTGACAGTTATTTTGAGAGAAATCTGATCTGGCTTCAGAGCTAAGTGGCATGTGGACTTCCTCCCTACAGTCCAGATGCAAAAGTAGTTGGCCAGAGAGTCCTTATCTGTGGCTTGAAGGCAGGGTCATTGTTTGTGTCTTTTTGTTTTATTTTGCCGAGTTGCCCAAAAGAGGCATTTGTTGAAAGTCCTGCTTTGACTCCTGCATGACACAGAGGCATCTATCCCCCAAATGGGGGGCTCTCCTCCTTAGAAGCTGTTCAGTTTGATAGAGTCCCTGGAGGCCATAAAACAATAAATACACATTCCTTCACACCAGGATTTCCTGGGTGATAGTCTTCACAATGAAAACATTTTGCAGGGGGATGGAAGCCTTCAAGGATGCCCTTCAAGAAGGCCAAGTGGAGAGGACAAACCCTCATCTCATATGCATGAAAGCAACATTAGCAAATTGAGTTGCTAACAATCACACTCTGCACGTTTCCAATATCATCTCCGCCCTTCATTTCATTTCCTAGCCTTGGGAAGAACATGGGTGTGCTTCCAGATGCAAAAATACTTTCCTGATGGAGTATAAGAGCTAGTTTCATAAACTACTTCTGCCCAGAAAATACAATGCATCAGAAGCCCCATCCACTCAACCAGTTTTCATTTGTGCTCAATTTGAAAACATTATGTGTTTTGAGAGGGGAGGGGGAGGAAACTCGAAGGAGGCTGGATATCTAAACAAAGAATGGAAAAGAAAATGCTGCAAAATGAGACAAAATTGGTCTAATCTAGACTGCAATGCAGGTGTGGAAGTGAATTCCATTAAATAATCTCTTATTGGATAAAGGCTCTCTGCTTGGAATCCTTGTGCGTTTTTCTAAGCAGTCACACATGGAATGTTTTAAAGAATGCATTTAAACAAAGCCAATAGAATCAACTAAAAACAAATTAAAACTCCCCCCAAAGGGTTTCACAATGTGCTGGTTGGCTTTTGCCAACTTGACATAAACCTAGACAAATCTGGGAAGAAGGAATTTTAATTGAGAAAATGCCTCCATAAGACTGGCCTACAGGCAAGTCTATGGGTATTGTCTTGATTTGTGATTGATGCAGAAGGGCCCAGGTCACCATGGGTGGTGCCACTGCTGGACAGGTTTTATTCAGTTGTGTAAGAAAGCAGGCTGAGCAAGCCAAGATGAGCAAGTCAGTAAGCAGCATGCCTCCATGGCTTTTGCTTCAATTCCTGCCTTGAGTTCTTACCTTGACTTGCCTCTGTGAAGGAGTGTGACTTGAGAGTTGTAAGTTGAAATATACCCTTTCCTCCCCAAGTTGCTTTTGGTCATGGTGTTCTATCACAACCTCAGAATCCCTAAGACACCCAACAACCTAATCTAACTTTCAGTTACATGCCTACAACAGTACTTCTCTATCTCTTTTTTGCTAACTTTTTTTATTATTTCCATTTTTTTAATTTTTGAGAATTTCCTATGAGTATACTATATTTAACATTATTCCCACCCCTCCAGCTCCCCTTACCCTAAGACATGACAGGGATGCTACACTCTTTACAATCTCAACACTGCAGTTGCCTAAACAAGACGCGCATGTAGGTCTTGACAATAGCAGCAGCCTGGCCAAAGCAGATGGAGGACTTCAGGCTGTCAATCATTGGCTGCTGAGGAAGGGAGAATCAATTTTCTTCCCAACTTTCTTAATAGTCACAAAAACTAGCAGACAATGGAGTTTGCACATCAAGTAACATCACTGGTAACATCAGTTAACTCATCAAGCAACATCACTGGCAACATCAGTTAACTCATCAAGCAACATCACTGGCAACATCAGTTAACTCATCAAGCAACATCACTGGCAACATCAATTAACTCATCAAGCAGGCCAAGTTGGCAGCTTTCCTGATTAGTCACTCTTTCATTTGCTCTGTGTGGCAGTCTTTCCCTGTGTGTAATTTCCCATGTAGCCAGCATTTTCTTATTCAAGCTTCAGTGACTTTACCAGGCCAGCCCCATTCTGAGATGGCACCCTTGACCCAGTGACCACCCCACCAACTCCCCATAGTCAGTCATTGTCATCACAGCTCAAGCTGTGGGATCCCCAGGTCTAGAAGCTCCTTTCCTTGAAGAGCTCTTACCATCCTCCTCCTTGAGCCTGGTGTCCCGGGAGAGCCTGGCCAGCCTCTTCTGCCCTGTCAGAGGAACAAAAGGTTGTGTGACAGCAACATCGCATCACTGTTGGGGTTCCATTTTAACATCTTCTCCTGTACCAGAAGGGCTCATTCCAGGGATGGAGTCATCTTTCCCTGAAGTGGGATACTACCTTCCATTGCTCATAAGTCACATCTCTACGTGGGTCGCGGGGAACAGCAGCCCAACTCTGACTCCATCGTTTCCGGTGTCAGCTGCTCATTGTCACTAATTCATGTTTGAGACATGGGTTAGAACACTCTTCCTATCTCTACTCTATCACTTAGCATAGCATGAATGTGGCTGGTAGGCCACTACTGGTTGCGACTTTTGTGCATGTGTGGGTGTGCATGCATGCATTTATGTGGCTATATACATACAGAATTGTGTACATATACCCTGGTGCATGTGGAGGCCCAGATGTTGATAGAGTGTTTTTCTCAATTGTTCTCCAACTTATTTTTTTAGACAGGGTCTCTAACTGGAGCTGAAGTTCGGAGATCCAGCAGTACTAGCTGGTCAAAGAGCCCAGGATCTTCTTGCCCAGTGCTAGGAATACAGGTATGTGCCACAACATCCACCTTTTTAAGTGGGTACTGGGGATTTGAACTCAGGTTCTCCTGCTTTCACATGAAGCAATTACCCAAGTGAGACATCTCCCCAGGTCCCAATTGGGATTTCTACCTTTGGACTGCTTCTTTGCCTACCATGTGTAGATTAACACCTTCCTATGAATAAAGCCTCAAAATTTCCCCAAGTCTCCCTACCCCTACCCCAAGGGCAAAAGTATGGAATAATTTATTAATCAAGAAAACACAAAACTAGACTATTCACTGTGGAATATTCCTTTACACTACGTGAATATAAGTGACTGTGATTGGTTTAAGAAAAAAGCTAAATGGTCAATAGCTAGGCATGATTTTTTTGGAGCAGAGAGAATGCTGGGAAGAAAAAGGGTGGAATCAGGAAGTTGCCAGCCAGACACAGAGGAAGCAAGATGTGTGCAAAATGAGATAACAAATTGTGGCAGCAAGTAAATAAATTGAAATGGGTTAATTTATCAGAGCTAGTTAAGAACAAGTCTAAGCTATCAGCCGAGCATTTATAATTAACGTTAAGTCTTTGTGTGGTTATTTGGGAGCAGCTGGTGAGACAGAGCTGACTGGCGGTCCCAATGTAAAACTCTGCCTGCAATTTCACTATATCCTGCAAGTGAGAAAAATCAAGGTTTATATAGAGTGGGGTCCCAGAGTACAAAGTGGGTCATGAACAAAGCCCAAGAAAGAGGTGAGCACCACCATCAACTCCTTCCTACAGCTAGTAGTTCTTCTCTACAGGGAGTTCTCAAGGGAGCTTGCTCACTAAGAGGAACCAAAGACACACATTATCCACATAATTTTTAAAATTCTAAGTAATAGGATAAGGAGACTAAATTGTGGTTTGTGAGACTGCAGAACAAACAGTCCCTGGAGATCTGCCTTGGGGGAGGAGCCACCATCCTCAGCTCTTCCCATCACAGGCTAATAGAGGCATGTCTTCCTAGCACGTGTGTCCCCTGGACCCTGGGAAGGTCAACACTTTGCTAGCCCTTTAAAAACCATCTTTCAGCTGGACAGTGGTAGTGCATGCCTTTAATCCCAGCACTTGGGAGGCAGAGCCAGGTGGATCTCTGTGAGTTCGAGGCCAGCCTGGTCTACAGAGCGAGATCCAGGACAGGCACCAAAGCTACACAGAGAAACCCTGTCTTGAAAACAAAACAAAACAAAACAAAAAACCTTTCTATGAAATCAACTAATCCTTCCTTTTAAGCCAGAGTTTAGATGTTTGTATTCATGAAGACCTTATGGGTGTGGCTTAGGGCAGCCAGTTATACCAAATTTAGAAGTTGACAAACAATGTTTCTCATATCTCACAGCAAGAAATAAGTAGGAATGAAGAATTTTTTTTCCTTTCTACAAGAGTTTTTCTGTACGGAGTATATATTCCAAATTCCTCCCCAGGTGTTTCATATTCTACTACTAAGGCCTGAGTCTCTCAACCACTGCAGAGTCCCATGCAGCAAGTTTACTTTCAAATGCCCACATAATTACTTGTCTTCCATGGTCTCCTTTCAAGCCCTTGGGTCCTTGTATGCTACTGTCAAGTCCAGGAATTCCCTAAAAAGGAGAAAATAAAGAAAAAAATGAACACATTTTTTTTAATAGATTGCAAATTCATCAGAGAGAACAGAAATGGGATGAAGTGACGGGTGGCTTACAAGTATTTGATTTGCCCCTTGGCTTGCTCTTAGCAGACTCAGAGTGGATACCCAAGGTGAAGACATGGGGAGAAAGCAAGACCTCACCACAGGAGGCATGGCCAAGGGAAACCAGGGGACAGGGCTTGTGTCCTGGGGCTGGAGCCAGTCCTTCTCTTAGCTTTTCCACTTTCCCATGAGTCCTAGGCAAATCTGCACTTGAGAATTAGTAGGCTTACCTTCTTCTCTTGGGAGAGGCTAACTGCTTGTGATGGGTTCAACACATGATGCTGAGGACCATATGCCTGCCACACTGTACATAACAGTTGCTGGGGAAGGGAGACACCAGGGGGCTGCCTATGAGCTGGCAAGGAGCTCTAGGGATACAGATTCTGTTGAGTCCCCCTCTCTTGCTGGGGTGGCCTTCCAGTGACACAGCTGCCCCTAGGTCACCCATGCTCCTGTAAAGAAGCCCTCACTCATGTTCCATAAGCAGCTCGAATAAACTCACCGGTACATAAGCTAGACTTGGATGCAATTGTTTCTTTGGTCTCCCATCCGGGGTGGGCTGATGTTTGCTGATGTCACTCCAGCAAAAGTCTCAGAACACATGACCACCTGGTTGCCCCCATGTCTTTATTCTCATATGCTCATCCCTGGTTTTTAGAAAAACCCAAAATCTTGAGGGGTCCCCCCCCCCCAATATTTATTCAAACATTCCAGCAGTGACTTGCTGGAAACAGCACCGTTGTGGGATACCATCCTTAGCAGGCAGAACCATAAAGCTTTCTAACTTTGGGTGTAAGGACCAACTGTGTGTGTATGGTGCTGAGACCATCAATTGAGCCAGTCAAGTTAATCGATGCTCCAATAAGCTGAGAAGGAAGAGCAATGATACAGCCCTGCTGAGTACCAGCTGCTGGGCTGTTCCGCTGACAGTACCCTAGATTACCTCCAATCAATCAATAAGCAATTCGCAGTCACCAACAGGGAGGAGGCACTGTTCCAGATACTTAGTAAGCCTTTTTTTTAAAAAAAAGTGGTGTTTGGACTTGGACTTAAGTAGCTTATAAGATAATAGGGAGAAAGAGAGGAACCTGGATTTATTTTATATGATTGCTATTACTAAAATGTGCATGAAAATTTTATTTAATTCCTCTCCCCACCAAACCAAGATCATTTTCTACATTTTCATTTCATCCTCAAGCTTAAATAGGTGTCTCTTAAATCACCAAACATGGATATACCTAAATAAAACCACTGGAAATTTGTACTCTGTTGAGGAAGACAAGACAAAGGAAGACACCACTTATTTATGTTGAGACAGGTTCTCTTGTGTAGCCTTGGCTGGTCTGGAAACTCTATGTAGACCAGGATAGCCTTGAAGCTTGCCTGCCTTTGCCTCTCGAGTGCTGGGAGTAAATGTGCATGCGAATCTGCCCTGCTCAAGTCTAGAACTTTATTCCGCTGAACACATGAGGCCCTTAATTTGAAGGGTAACCTAAAAAGAATCACACACCAGCAGTTCGGAACAGAACCTCCTGCCTCTGTGTGTAGGAGAGCTGCTCTGTCAGTGTGACCATAAACTAATCTCTTTATAATCTATTCATCTAGAACAAAGAGCACCATCTCACACAAATTTATGATCAAACACAGCTTCTAGTAATGATGTATTGTCAGGTGATGAACTTATCACTCTCTGTAGATCAGAGAAATGATTTTGCTCAGATTTCTCCTGGTATTATATGAAATTTTAAAAAGTCATCCTCAAAGCTGGGTGGGGGCACGGGGGACACACACCTGTAATCCTACTATTTTGGACGTAGAGGCAGGAGGATTCAGAGTTCAAGGCCAGCCTTAAACAAAAAAAGGTTATGTAGTTAAAATGGGAAATTCCAAAATCTTTAGATTTTTTTCCTTCAGGAATTTGTGTGACTTGTGTTTGCATTCCTGAGAAAAACCCAATCCTATCTGTGTTCTACTTATTCTGTCAATACTGCTTTCCCCAAATTTCCTGAAATAGCCATTCACCAAAACCACACACACAAAAGCACAGAGAATTGTTTTAAATTTGGGCTGCAGATTTCCAAGCAGGGTTAAAGGACTGTTAAACACATTGAGACCTAAGGTCAGTGTGGCTAACAGCATGCCACAGAGGCTCTGGCGAGATGAACTGTCAGACATCTTGAAGTCATACAGCATGCTTTCAAAGTTAAAAATCTCTTTTTTGGTATTCAATTTCTTTGGAGGAGGAGGAGGAAGGGGAGAAGGAGGAAGAGGAAGAGGAAGAGGAAGAGGAGGAGGAAGAGGAGGAGGAAGAGGAGGAGGAAGAGGAGGAGGAAGAGGAGGAGGAAGAGGAGGAGGAAGAGGAGGAGGAAGAGGAGGAGGAAGAGGAGGAGGAAGAGGAGGAGGAAGAGGAGGAGGAAGAGGAGGAGGAAGAGGAGGAGGAAGGAGGAGGAGGAGGAGGACCACCACCATGTGTGGTACACGTGGGGAGGTCAGAGGACAGCTCTCTAGAGTCAGTTTTCTGCTCTCACCTTCATGTGGTCCTGGGGATTGAACCTGGGTCAAGTTTGGGTGGCAAGTTCCTTCCCCACTGAGCCCTCTAGCCCACCTGATTTGAAAAGTGCTATAAAGTCACACAGCCAATGGCAGACTAAGTTAAGAGGACATCTGACCAAAACCAATGGAGATTGTGTATTAATACCTCAAGCGAGTTTGCAGTCATCTGTCTAGCTGACTGAAATACCCACGCACTAGAACCGCCGTCTCTCGCTTACTCATTTGTGAGATGACACCCTTGTTGATTCCTGACTCTACATGACATACCTTGAAGTTATTTGAAATTGTCAGGAGATGCTGGAAAGTGAAAAATGTCATCTTCAAGTAAAAATGCCTGTTTTTTTTTTTTAAAAAAACTTCATTATTTTTATTTATTTGTGTGCATATGTGTGCACACTTTGTGGGCACTTGTGTGCCATAACATATGTGTGGAAGTCAGAGGACAATTTACTGGAGTCAGCTCTCTCCATCTACCAAGTGTGTCCCAGGGATTGAACTCGGACCCTCAGGCTTGACGACAAGTGCCTTGACCCACCGAGCCATCTTATCAGCCCCTGTTTTTTAAATAGTTATTTTCAATACATGCCTCACATTCAGTTTTGACACATATTACACCAAATCACCTCTATAGTCAACACATTGTGTACCCAAGAGGATGTCAGGCAAATGTCCCATCAGTACTCAGGTCCCCACACCCTCCCTCCGCATTTTGTTTGTTTGTTTGTTTGTAGACAAAATTTCTCTGTGTAGTTTTGGTGCCTGTGCTGGATTTCACTCTGTAGACCAGACTGGCCTCGAACTCAGAGATCCGCCTGGCTCTGCCTCCGAGTGCTGGGATTAAAGGCGTGCGCCACAGGCACCTGGCCTCCCTCAGCATTTTTAAAGCAGTTTTTATAAACTGTGGCTGTTCTAATCAGTATATGGTATGTTCATGTGGTGGGAGAGTAGCTCACTACAAGCTTTTTAATAAATGTTTGGGAACTGTAAAGATTATGCTCATGTATAATTATGCATGTCACCATCCAGAAATTCTATTCCTAAACCATATACTTGATATAAATTGTATATCAAAGGACATGCAAAAGAATATTCACATCAGTACTATATTAATATAAACAACCCACATATCTATCAATAATAGAATGGATAAATATATGAACACTCAATGCAATACTATATAGTAGTGAATTCAAGTGATATAAATTACAGGCAACATGAAAGCATCTCACAATCATGAAGTGAAGCAAAAGCATCCAGAAACAGAAGAGTGCACACACCATGATCCCATTCACTTTAAGTTCAAGGGCAGTTCAGACTGACACCCTGAACTAGTGCCGGGATGACCCTGAGGAGGCCGTGGAGTGAACGGAGCATGCACAAGGGGGCTTCCAGGATTCTGGTGGGATTTATTTCTTTACATGGGTGATGACCACACAGGCATCTTCCAACGATCAAGCCCACGCTTTTACAGTTGGGTACTGTACTGATGCGTGTTATAGCTCATCAAAAAGCTCAGCAGACACTTTGATTTCCTGACAAAGTCCTAGTTCACTGAGGTTCTGGAGATTCACTGAACTGTGGGCATGGTGGGGAAAGCCTGTGGTCCTGACTTCCACTGACGTGGTGTGCTCACACATGGATGCGGGTCGTGCCTGCTCTGCTGGGTTGTAACCTTCCAAGAGCAGGTACCTTAACGTCCTGAGGATCGCCTGATAGAATCCTCCCTGAATCCTTGGATTGAGAAGGCAATGCTGCCCTTCTCCATAGAGACAGAGTCTTGGGGAATAGACAAAAAGAGGTGACTTTTTCTCCCATGCTCTGTATTTCAAGGTGCCTAGGAAAAAATTGAATGGACTAGAATTCCTTCTTCACTCTTAAGGACAAAAATGAATAAGAAGAGGATATAGGCAAAGAAACTACAGTTAACTTCTCCAGTTAGGACTTCAAGCTCAAGAGTATGTCCACAGTGCCTTAAAACGGAACATTCCCCCTCTATGGAAGGGTGCCCTAACTAAGGCATGCAGCCCCGCGCAGCCCCGCGCAGCCCCGCGCACTTACTGGATCTCCTCGTAGACCCTTTGCTCCACGGTCACCAGAAGCCCCTCTCGTGCCTGGGCTTCCCTGAAATTAATGCAGACCAGAATAAGAACAAGAGGGGAGGTTTTAATAAACTTAATAAGCATAAAGGGCTTAGATTCTCTCTGGTTTGAATAATTAAATATTTTTCCACTGAGATTGTTTTTAATTTGGAAAAAGGAACTACAAAAAAGAAAGTTCTTGGCATCAAATAAGAAACTCAGTGATGACCTCGGTTATTTACTGCACTCGTGAACTCTGTGTTCCAAATACACTTGTCACCTTGTCTGTCACTATTCTACAAAGGATTTAAAAAATATTTTGTTTTAATGAGGCATCAGAGACTCGAAGTTCATGCTACTTGCCCAAAGACATCTCATAACTACTAAAATGTGGCTTCAAAATCAATTGCTCACACCGTGAAGACCAAGCAGAAACCTGAGGGGCGGCTATCATTGTGTCCCAGATAGAAAGGAATGTCATGTACTCTCCCTCCCCAGCTGCCTCATACCAGAGACCCCCGTCAATATCTGCCTCATGTTCTTAATGTGCTGCTTCTGTGGTCCCAATACTTTTTTTTCTCCTTGTATCTGGTCCTTTCTCACATAACTGTGAAGTGATATCCAATCATAGTGATCAAGATTCTCTCCTCTCTCTCTCTCTCTCTCTCTCTCTCTCTCTCTCTCTCTCTCTCTCCACCCCTCCACCGTGTGTGTGTGTGTGTGTGTGTGTGTGTGTGTGTGTGTGTGTGTGTGTGTGTGTGTGTGTTGTTTATATAGGGTTTCACTGTAGCCTTGGCTGTCTTGGAACTCACTATGCAGACCAAGTTGGCCTCAAACAGAGAGCTACCTGTCTCTGCCTCCTGAGGAGTGCTGGGATCAAAGGTAAGTGCCCTTCCCCTTTGCTGAGTACTGTATGACTCCACAGGGATCAAGAGAAAGGGAAAGGAGTGTTGCTGCGAGAGGCCTTATCATTTGTGGTTGCCCTCCACAGAAAAGGCATGGCCCATGTGCTAAGAAACACATGTATATTATATAGACCCAAGTCAAGCTTAGCCATGCTCAGCCTTGAACAGCAGAACCCATCAGACACAGGAGAAATTATTATTTACTGTCATATGTGGACCAGGTTTCATGAATACTTGTCCCTAAACAAGTCTGTAGCCATAGCTGGTAGACACATCTGGGGCAGTTGTTTTACTTCATAAACCATTCCTTTACCTCAAGTGAGGTTTACAGTTTCTGAGTCTTGGATCCCTACCTGAGACCCCTCATCCCCTTTTTCTCCTCTTCTTCCAGGAATCCCGTTGTCACCCTAAAAAAATGGAGGAGGAAAGGCTCAAATTCTCATTTTCTCCAAGAGAACCAGCTGAGAAAGGTATCTGGGACACAAGGCAAACATTGTACCTGTTCTCCATTTAATCCATCAATCCCATGTTCCCCAACTTCTCCCTGCAAAGACAGATGCAATTAGAACATAGAGCACATCTGTTAGACACCAAACAGAAACAGTCTCAAGGGTTTTGTGCTGAGCAACAGCCTCTTCATTAGCTGACACCTGGGTAATGTCAAAGATCACTTTCAGTAATAGAAACTGTCATAATAAACAGAGCCTGCAACGAGAAGCCGAAATAAAATGCAACTCAGGACAACTGTGGATTTCATCTTAGCCCAGTCAGAAGGCAAATGCCAACAAAACGATGGATGGCAAATGCTAGAAGGGATGCAAGGAAAACAGAACCCTCAATTCACTGTTGGGGGGATTCCAAACTGATGCAGCCACTATGGAAATCCATGTGGAGAATTATCAAAAGGCTAAAAGTAAATCTACCACATGACCCAGCTATACCACTCTCTAGTGTATTCCCAAAGGACTCAACATCGTACTCCACAGGTACTTGCTCAGCCATGTTCATGCCTGCTCTTTTCACAATAGCTAGGAAATGGAAACAACCTAAATGTCCTTCAGCCAATGAATTGGTAATGAAACTGTGGTATCTACACACTATGGAATACTATTCATCTAAAGGAAAATGAAATCAGGAACTGCGCAGGTAAGTGGATGGGGCTAGAGAAGATCATATTGAGTGAGGTAACCCAGATCCAGAAAAGCAAATGTTGCATGTTCACTCTCATTGGGGGCTCTTGATCCAAATCTTCACGTTAGGACATAGCCCGGAGCAACTGCAGAAACCAGGAAAGTAAAACGGGACCATTGCCAGGATAGGGAGGCTAGGGAGCGATAGAGAGGGGAATAGCTGAGTACAGCAATCTGATTTGGGAAAAGGGAAAGTGCTCCTTAGGGAGGGGGAGAGAGGAAATACAGAAGGCAGGAAGAGGGTAAAGAGGAATAGGACCTAATAGGGGAAATGGGAAAAGGAGAGGCTCTTTAGGAAGGGGGAGGGGAGGAAATACAGAAGGAGGAGGAAGTAGGTAACATAACAATGATGTCTGACAACTCTGTGATGAATCATTATTAACTACTTTCAAAAAACCTATAATACAAGTAATTCAGCATATAAACATACATATATAGTTTTAATGAACTTTTCTCACCTGGGCTGACAATGCTTCTTCTAAGAGCCAAAGATTGCCTAAAAATAGCCTCAGTATCAGACATGAGAAGCCCTTCTTTGAAGTGTTGACCAGGGCTGTCTAAGAGACTCTCAAAACATACAGCCTATTGTTACTGCCCTTGTTCACTTACTTGCCCTACAGAGGTGGAAGCTAAGTCCCCACTGCTGAAGACATCTTGCACTTCAGACCCAGATCCCAGACCTGGAACTGACCTGAATGCCTCCTCCCTTAGGATTAACTTTCTTGGTACCAGAAGGCACCATGCAAGCTTCCAAAGGAGGGAGGCAACCAACAGTCCTTCCCAGCTGTGACACCTGTCAACCACAATGACCAGTACGGCACGATAACCATGAGCATGCATCGTGTCATGAACACCTTGGCGATAACCAACCACTCTCTAATTGGACTTGAGACCCACTCAACAAGAGTGAAAACATAGTACTTGAAAACCTAGCTGGAAGATCAGGGAGTTTGCTGTGAGACAGTGTCTCCTAGTAATGTCAGAATCTACACTCAGAAAAATCTCACCAGTATGACTGCCTAAACATGAGAGGAACAAGGACAACAACAATAAAAATGTCAAGGTGGATGGGAAAAGCCCACAATCCTACACAAAGAGCTACAGTCAACTAAGGAATGCTGAGCAGGAGAAATAGTCTTCCCCAGGGCAAAGCACAGCAATTGGCAATCCAACACCAAATGCTCAGCCCCGAAAACATGTATACAAGTAACCTTATATAGATCGAGCAGGTTACATTTATATACATGTACATATGTGCATGCAATAACAGTTAGTGAAAAAAGAGGGCATGGATTTGAAAGAGAAAAAGGAGGAGAATATGAGAGGGTTTGGAAGGAGGAGAGGGAAAAGAGAAATATTATAATTAAATAAAATGGCTGGTACAAAAAAAAAAGGAAGTAAGGAAGGAAGGCCAACAGTGACTTGACTTGTAGCAACTACTGATAACTAATGATTTCAAAAGTAACATTTTTTTCAGTGGATAACTGAAGGATAAATAAAATACATGGGCCTGGCACCATACCTCTTCTCCACTGAGTCCTCTGGTTCCCTGGTAACAGAAAGGAAGCAGCATGAGTATGGGAAGTGCAATGAACTGCTAAGATGACATCAGGAGGTCTTGTATAATCCTTACCTTAGGCCCTTTGGTGCCGAAGCATCCCTTACTACCTTGCTCTCCCATTGGTCCAGAGGCTCCTCTTTCTCCCTGAGGAAAAGAGGAAAGGCACAAACCCAGATGAGTGTGTGCTATTATGATCTGGGATCTGTCCTGGATACTTGACAAGTTTATTTTATTTTTAAGGAAACATCTGGCTAGTCATGACTTACATTCCAGGACTCAAGCCTATGAAAATAGAGAATGGAAGTAAATCAGAGCTACAATGATGACAGCCCTTTGCTTTGGATGCCACCTGCATATTGCCTGGGTGGAGCTTCCCTCTCCCCACATGGCCACCACATTGCTCCCTTTTAACCTCCTTCGCATGTGTGTCCATTCTGCCCTAAGCTGAGATTCAGGACTCTTTGCCCGGTCCCTACGACTTTAAGACTTTGACCCATGACCTCGGTCTGAGCATCACCCATGATGCTGCCTGAGCAGACCATCCCCATCCTTCCCACTCCTACGCTTACCATCACTCACTGTCCGTTATCTCAACACAAGCCAGTCTTCTCCAGGGGACTTCTGCAGTGTCCCGGGTTCCAGCCATGCTGACCACGTGCCATTTTGCTAACTCCCAATCCTGTGACTTCATTACTGTCCTTGAGCTCATGGCTCCCCTTTGCAGTAATGCAATTTCCCAAATGCTTTACCCGGAGAAACTCACTGTCATCCTTCAAGTGTCTGCCCAACTGTTACCCCCTTTTTTGCAGCCTTTTCCTCCCAGGCCCAACTCTCACTTTGGTGGTCTTTAAGCCATTAAGCTCCCATTCTTGCTCAATACTGTCGCGTCGCCGCCCCCCCCCCCCCCCCCCCCCCACCCCAACCCCCTGGCCTCTACACAGCCATGTGCAGAGCAGCTGGACACAGTTATCTTGTTTGTCTTCTCACTAGTGTGGAAGGGCCTTTAGGAACTACATGTGCTTGTTTTGTGTTTCTCTCATTTCCGGGGTGCTCATATGGAGTGTGTGTGTGTGTGTGTGTGTGTGTGTGTGTGTATGTGTGTGTGTGTATGTGTATATATATATGTGTGTGTATGTGTATATATATATGTGTGTGTATATATGTGCATATATATATATATAATGGATATGTGTATCAACATCTTTGGTAAATAATGAAGTGAATAGTAAGGAGCTTCAATATGTATTGTCAAACGAATGTATGACTGGATGCATGGAAGGAAAAAAGAAAGACAGAGAAGGAAGGAAAATGGGGAGAGGAGAAGGGAGGGAGAAACGAGGAAGGAGGGAGGGAGGAGGGAAGGGTTCCTGCTAAATGATGTGGTGAATTGGTTAAGTTCTTACCAAATGGCCTGGGCACATGGCAGGGATGTGGCGCCTATGGTGAAGACGTTACCTTTCACACCCAGTTCATCGTGCCATGTAGGTGAGGAAGGTGGTGGAGTAATAACCCTAAAGGAGAAGTGTTACCCAAGCACAAGGAGGCTCGGGAAAGACCCCGGATGCCGCCTCGGAACCCTCAGACTCTGGCCTTTGTTTCTCTTCTCGTGTTTGTAGGAATAAGTGAGCTGTAACAGGTCTTTACTTACAGCAATGCCCTCTTCTCCCAGGTAGCCGTCACTGCCTTTAAAACCCGGGGGTCCCTGGAAAAAAGGAAAGAGGAGAAAACATGAGCACTTTACAGACTGCACAATGAGAGACGTCAAGGCAGATCCACCACTTTGAAGTTAGACTTCAAGAGTTTGAAAATGCCCCTGGTTTTCCACCTCAAGCCAGTGGTGTTTAGACAAACAAGAAGAATGAGAACTTTCATACAAGTATCCAGTTATTCAAGGGTGTGTGTACATATTTGTGCATGTGTATATACATGGGGGAGGGAATTGTGGATGTAGGTGTGAGTGCATGAATACATCCATGTATATGAATCTGTGCATGTATGTATGTGGGATGGTAGCTGTGTATGTGTATGCATGAGTGTGTGCACATGCATGTGCACATGTGTACACCTGTGCCAGCACACTGTTTCCAGGAATACCAACAGAACTGGCATTCTTCTCTAGACAAATATATTTGTTCTTGACAGCCCAGAATTATTCTCTGTTTATTAAAATGACTTTCCCTCCTTTTTAGGACTTGCTGCTACACATAGAACACCAGACCACACACATTTCCTTCTATTCTGGTTTCTGATATATTTTTAAATTCTACCATTTTCCTTCCATGAAGTTCAAGCATTCTAGAAATAATTAATTCAAAGTTTTCTTCAGTGACATGATTCTGGTGATGGGGGAGCCATACTGCTATGCATGGTGGCCAAACATCCAAACCATATGTCAAGTAGCAGTATTGAAATCATTAAATGTTTCCCATAGTGTGTGTGTACATATTTGAACATGTCCTAATGTCTAAAATAGTATTTTTATGCAAGGATGCATAAGTATTTCTTGTTTAGGAAGTCCATGAATTAGTGGTGCTGGTTATGAAAAAAAAAAAACCTATCTGGCCCATTTCTGTATATACAGCTAGGGCCATCAATGCTGTCCCATCCTTTGCTATGGCAGAGTGACCTGAGTCAGTTTGATTTTCAGCAGACTATACACAATATTGACTTGATTTTCATATCACTGCCAAGGTTCAAAAGAGAAAGTGAAATGAGTTAGTGGTGTGGACGAAGCCTCATCATTCAGCATGAGGATCTCTCGATTTTTCTGCATTATCATTGCTGCTTGAACACTGGGTCCATCAAAGATCCCGATGACTGTGTCTCCTGAAACCCCCTCTCAAAGAACTTCCAACCAATGCTAATTTAGAAGACCAAGGAAAATGGTAACTATCTAATCTGACACAGGCAAAGAGTAGCATAATTGTCCGCATCCTCCAGAGGCTCAGGCTGGCAGATAAAGCCTCTCTATTTCTACCCCAACTCACATCTGAAAGGCATGCTACAGGTCAAATGATGGGAACCATAAGTCTGAGGTAAAGTCACCTTTTTCCCTGCTGAGCCTGGATCCCCCATGGCGCCGTCCCCTCCTGTGCACCTGCACAGCAAACAGCAGCAGGTTCTTTCTGCAACGTTGATCTGGGGGAACATGAGGATAATTGTATTTAGTGACATTGATTCCCCAGTCCCACACACGCACTCCACTGTGGAGTCCATGGTGGCAGGAGCCTCCTACCGCTCCTTTGAGTCCTGACATCTTTACCATATGAGGAATTCCTGACCAACAGAACGTGTTTGACTTGGCCATGGCCCGTTTACTGCATACTAAGTGGTCAGTGGGGCTGCCTCTTGTCAACACACCTTACCCGAGCTTTGCCAATTGCTGACTGCTCTGTATATTCTGCCCCACATGCTTTGCTCAGCAAAATGAATGCACGCTCTTTTCTCCTGGCTCCATTTGTGAAATCTCAGCTTGTTAAGAGAGTTGACAGTGTACTCTGAAACACTGCTTGGAACAGAGTTCCCTGGAAATATATCCAGGAGAGCTTTGATGTGACTTTGGAAGTATCAGCTTCATGCCATTTTAGAAGCATTTGCTCCAGAGTGTGTGAGTATGAGAATATTCCCTTTATGTGACAGCCAAAACAAAATTATTATATATTTAAAATGTGAGTGAATTTCACCCTGGACTTATTTTGACATCTCCTGAATAGCTAACACTGTGTTAGTTTATTTATTTATTTTGCAATTGGTCCAGCAGATTCATTTTTAGGAAAATTCAGTTTGCAGTAAATGCTGTACTTCATTTTCATGGGTAAAAAAAAAAAAAAAAAAAAAAAAAAAAAAAAAAACAACCAACCTATCCCTTCATTGGAAAGTATTCTGATATAATTTGTAAAGATTCTATAAATTATAAACAAATTAATTCCAAATAATTAATCACTCATTAAAGATCAGTAATGCGCTACAGACTTGGGAACACTCACACTCAAGTTTGATTTTCTATATATTTCTGACATAGCATGGTAAAGATGCATCATATCTAGGTGTAAGATTGTAAAAACAGAACAGAGCGCAAGGGTCTGGCAGTGTGGAGACAACCCAACAAAGTCCCTCCCTCCGAAAGTCCACCAGGGAGGCCTAGTACCTCTAACCCCTCCCCCACACTCAGAGCAGGCTGCTGTTTCTCTGCTTGAACTTCACATGCCATGGGCTGTCACTTACAGGGTATGCTGCAGAGAAAGTACACCTTGAACACTAGTGTCACCATATACTGTCATGCTCAGAGCAGCACAGGACCTGAGAAGCTGCTGGTTGAGGGAACAGCCCGGGCCTCTTCACAACTCAGGCTCATCTTAGTGCCCCAGCACTCACGGGTTATGATCCAGCCAGCACAGTCAGTGCTGTTTACATATCTCATTTTTCTCGTTGCTCTTCCTCTCACTACTTCTTTTGTTCCAAGTGTGTCTACTGAACATGCTTTGACCTACTCTACTATGTGACACTTCAAACATGTTCTTACTTAGGCTGGCTCATAAAGGCCCATCTCGTCTTTACTTAAAAGGTCAGTATTAGTTCACACCCATACTCATCAATATTACACCTATATATGAGATAAGTGAAGGCTGAAACTATTAGGGTAAGGCTATAGCCTTATGTGGTGGTTGGACATTTGCTTAAACCCTCCAACCTTTTCTGATTCAACTTACTAGTTGCTTTGACAGCTGACTCCCAAGGTTCCTCATACCAATTGTGAACTGTGTTCTGTACTCAAATCCTTTCCCAAATTCAATGTAGAGAAGGTCAGCCAGGTTGCTGGTGTCGGCAGCTCCATCCACAGCAATAGTTATGAGGGCATTCAGGCCTGTTCAACATATTCTCCAGGTGAGGTGGGCTGGGGTCACTTAAATCATTCAGCATATTTGAATCGCTAGCCTCAGCCAACAGCTGCGTTCAATGGTCTACATCCTTGAACCCCATGATATGATGCTAGTAAACAACAGCACAGTAGTTAAGTGAAGCGAACTGGCGATGATGTGGCAGGTTGTAACAGGACTTATTGAAGTAAGCCAGTGAGTTAACCAAAGGTCCACACAGCTTGCTAAAATACAGAGGGGTTCATGCATCAGGAGAGCAAATGCGCTACATTTTTTATCCTACGTGGAAGATTCTCAGCGCCACAATGTCAGAATCACCCAGGAGCATCTCAGAAATACAGACTTTCCTGAGATATATACCCACATTGGCTAGTATCTTTCAATCAAATACAGAATTGCATGTGAAAATGATCTATTAAAAAAAAAAATACAGGCTCTTAGGTCTTAATCTGTATCTACTGAACTCAAATCTGCATTTAAGCAAAACCCCCAGGGAGAGCAGTTGCTTAGCATGTGTGGTGCCCCAGGGTCAAGCCCCAGGTCTGTTCAAAAAAGCAAAGCAAAACAAACCAACCAATAAACAGAAATGGCTGTTGAAGGGCAAGAGAGACGACTCAGCAGTCAAGAGCACTGGCTGCTCTTGCAGAGGACCTGGGTCTGCTTCCTAGAACCCACATAGTGCCTTCAAAGCACCTGTAACTCCAGTTCCCCTCCGGTCTTGAAGGACCCTGCACACATGTGGTACACATGAACTAAAGCAGGCACACACGTATGCAGATAATAAAATGGATGCTTTCAATGACCTCATCCGGAACTGATGCTCCAGCTGTAACTTTAAGTGGGAACAGATGACAGCCACTTGGAGCAGTATCTCATAAGCCTTAGAATTATACAGATCAGAATATCTCAAATAAAACTTTAGGGCTAGAGTGTAGGGTTGCCAATGACTGGTTTTCAAAACGAAGAATTAAGTAACCCTGGCAATCATCCTGGCTAACAGTTATGTTAGCTTTCTTAAATAGTTGCTATGTGCCTAGAAGACAGTTAAATAATTTATATGCATTATCTTATTCATACCCTATAGGTACTCAGATATGATTAGAACCATATTTTATGGACAAGAAAACTAAGGCTTAAAGTAGTTCAGTTCCTAACTTACTGGACTGTTTAGGTTTTCATCCAGAGCCTAATTCCAAAGCCTTACACTCAAGGACATTTTAACCAAAATGGACTGAGGAAATAATCATGGCATAAAGCGCAACTCTGCACTTTCTCACTCTCCAGCGGGTGTGTGAGGCACTCTCCAGATGGGATCTGGAGACCAAAATACCAGAGTAGAAAAAGAAATATCCAAGGGCTTCATTGAGTCAAGGTGCCTTCTTCGAAAAGCCCATACTATGTGGTTTGAATGAAGAGGAGGGAGGGAGTACTCCCAGGGCCATGGGCGTGGCCCGGATTTGAGGCCAGGCTGCTACAGTGGTTAATGGCAGGAAGAAAGGACGGAAGGCTGAAGACGTGGATGGCCAGCTTGTTCCCGTTTGCCTGGGACTTTTCTGGTTAGTTAGTCCTGTAAATTCCTGGCCTGGCCCAAAAAAACTAGGGTAACCGGTCACCCTTCTAGACTAAGAATGAGCAAAAAGGAGAGAGTCTGTAGGGTGAACTGGGATAATGCTGTGCAGCTGAATTGGGTGTTAGTGGTGAGGGAAGGCATGCTTATGGAACTAGTTAAAAGAAAGTGTATTCACATCTGTTTTTCCTTACAAGTTCAGGAAATGTAAAAGTGTGAGTGTTATGAGATCCATGGGATACTGACATGTAGGAAATATGCACAGAACTATTATTTGTGAATATTCTCAGAATTGGAGTATTCAATCCTGCTCCCTTCAGACTCATTCAATAAATGAATCACACAACTTTCAAAACAATGTCTCAGTTGCTAAAAATGAATCAAGAAAGAAAACGCTTTAAATGTTGTGAGAATAAGGAATCACAGAGGAAATTCTAGGGCATTTGACTTTTAAATCTTAAACTAATTCAAACCCCAATCTTGTGGTGGTATTGTGTTCCCCAAAATATTGTGCACCCTAATAAATTTATCTGGGGTGAGAGAACAGAACAGCCACTAGATATAGAGGCCAGAAAATGGTGGCACACACACCTTTAATCCTAGCATTTCAGAGGCAGAGATCCATCTGGATTTCTGTGAGTTCAAGGCCAAACTGGAAACAGCCAGGCGTGGTGACTCACGCCTTTAATCCCAGGAAGTGATGACAGAAAGCAGAAAGGTATATAAGGCGTGAGGACCAGGAACTAGAGCTGGTTAAGCTTTTAGGCTTTTGAGAAACTGAGACCCATTCGGACGAGGACTCAGAGGCTCCCAGTCTGAGGAAACAGGATCAGCTGAGGAATTGGCAAGGTGAGGTGGCTGTGGCTTGTTCTGCTTCTCTGATCTTCTAGCATTCACCCCAATAACTGGCATTGGGTTTGATTTTATTAATAAGACCATTTAAGATTACTGCTACACAATCTACATGCATAAATTGTAGAGCCACGCCCACTGTCATTAATTCTTTTCTCCTCTCTTGTTGCATGGTGACTGCCTAGTCTACATGCCAATATGTGATCTTGAACTAAAGCAGTCTCCTAGGTCAACAGATCATCAATAGAAGCTGTGTGTGTGTGTGTGTGTGTGTGTGTGTGTGTGTGTGTGTGTGTGTGTGTGTGTGTGTGTACGGGAAGCCAGGGACAGGTATTCTTTATCCATTTGAGAGCCATGTGATGCTCTTAAGAGAATACTACCACTACCATTCCTTTGTTACTTTCTCAAAGAGTCTAAATTTCTTAAGATATAATATATATATATATATATATATATATATATATATATATATATGTATCATCTGAAGTTGATACATGTAACAGGCTTTCTTTTGGGCTACCAACCAGCTCCCAAATCATACACAAAGACTTATTATTAGTTATGAATGCTCAGCTTTACCTTATGCTTGTTTCTAGTTAGCTCTTATAACTCAATTTAACCTGTTTCTCTTAATCTATGTTTTGTCTTGGGGTTTTTTTTTACCTTTTATTCTGTACATTCTGTATGCCTGTCTGGTGTCTGGCTGGCTGGTCCTGGGCATCTCCCTTTCTTTCTTCCTTGTTCTCCTCATTCTTCCGAGCATAGATCTCTCCTATTTATTCTCTCTGCCCGCCAGCCCCACCTATCCCTCTCTTGCCTAGCTATTGGTCATTTGACTTTTTATTAAAATTAATCAGGTGCCTTAGGCAGGCAAGGATGAAACAGCAACACATCTCTACATAATTAAATAAATGCAGCATAAACAAATATAACACATTTTACATTGTTAAACAAATGAAACATAAATAAATGTAGCACATCTTTGCCTAGTTAAAGCAATATTCCACAACAGATACAAATTTCCTAGGTTTTCTCTGGGAGATGGAGACAGAACGGTCGTAGAGTTCTGGACATTCCTAAGTGCTTCCTAGAGGACACTTTAACACTACAGGCAAGAGACATATCCCCGCTCCACATACACCACACAAAAGGAGGGCCAAGATATTTAAAATCACAAAATTACAACACTGTCACCTCAAACTAGGTGCCCCAAAGTCTTGTCCTTAATCTTAACTAAAACCTGTTTAGAGATCACAAACAAAGACCAAGATTGGGTAGAATAAAGAGAAGACAGCTTTATAAATATAAATAAATATATAAGATAAATAAATAAATATAAATAAAGGGTAAAATAAAAGCCCTTACTGTATGGCTGTAAATCCATACTCTGCAATGTAAGGTTAAGGAGAGAACTTAGCAGAAAAGAGATTCTGACCAACTAACCTTAGTGAACCTGAGAGGCCGGCCCTGTACTAGACCAGGCTCCCTGGAAGCAGAACCTGAGGTAACAGTTCAGACACATACACACAATGTGTTGAAAAGTCCTCAGAAGAAAGGGGGTGAAGAAAGAAGGGTAGGCAGGACCTAAGCAATACCCTGGCTTTGACTTGACCTCAGAGAGTTCTAGAGCCCTGATGTCACTTGAGGCCAAGGTCCAACTTTTTTTACTGCCCAGGGGCAAAGTGGGTAGCAACATTCTGGGTGATGGGACTCCTACAGGCCAATGGCAATTCTTCAGAGAATGCACAGCTCTGACCGGGTGATCCTGCCAGCAAAGGAGATGTGGGTGGTAGAGCAGCAGTGCCCACTTACAGGAGACTGGTCCTGCTTCAGAATACGTGGTTACTTTTTCCCTCTACTGACCCACATTTTAAATGGGCCAAAGAACAAGTCCAGCAGGCCATTGGTTCTAACAAGCCAGATGCCTGACTCCAGAGCCTTGAGGCTGCATAAGCATCATGGCTGGCCCTTCTGCGGGCTGAAGGAAAGAATTATAAAACCCCAGCACATGAGGAAACTTGTCCAAAAAAGCTTGCAAGTCTGGAAATGGTTAGTGTCAGAAGGAAGTCATCCAACACTCATGTTACTTGGTCACCGGTTCCTGTTCACTTCCATGTAACAGAGTAGCAGTATTAAACACTGTGGGGCATGATGGAAAGGAACAGACTCCAGGAAAGGCTTGGAAGATCAAACACAGTAAGAGGAGATGAAGCATGGGGCCCTGGTCAGTGTGCTGTTTTATATACATGGAGCATGACAGGCAGTGAGAAATCAAAATGTTCTGAGAGGACGTTTGCCCTACCGTGCCCATACGGAAGAGAAAGAGTGCAAAGTCAGGGTCAGTAAGGTACCTGGAAACAAAAGAGCCAGCGTCGAGTTCTGAGATTACAAAATGAACAAACAGCCAGGCAGAGTGGTCCACACCTATAATCCCAATACTCAAGGGGCCGAGGACTACCCCAAGTTTGAGACCAACTTGGGTTCCGTAAGATGCTCCAGACTAGCCTGGGCTACAAAATAAAAGCCTGCCTACATAAGTGAAAATAGTCAACCCCATTCCTACCTTCCTTTCTGAGTTCATCAGATTTCTGTTCAAGTTTTTCAATGTCATCATCCAATCCATCTGAAAATAGAAGGACTACCTAGGGTGGTTTTTAGAAAAAAGAAGTTAGCAAAAAGTTCACTGAAAACAACAGACCAGCACACAAACTAAAGCCATTTACCTTCCCTCGCGCAGCGGACTTATTCTGAAATGTATCCCACAGTGAATTCAGCAGATTTGCGTTGAGACGAGATGGGCCATTCACTGTCACACCTTGTAGGCTGCTCAGTATGTTCTCACTGTAGATCTCAAACTTCGAAGGGTATCTTTCCATAGCATTTGTCACTTGAAAAGCTATGCTCACCTGGGTCTCCGTGCCCACCTCACAGCTTACCCCATTGAGCGAGCTGATGGCACGTAAGATGCCTTGGAGGTAGGTTTCTATCCAAGGCTGACCTTCGAGCAAAGTCTGCCCCCTCTGTTGACTTGAGGTATCAAATCCAACCACAACATCCACAAAACAATCTAGGATTCAAGGGGAAGAGCATCTTGTTAGATTAACACCACACTAATGTTATTCTGACACACGTCCAACTCTAGGGACCAAGAAGTCTTATTTACATTCTAGCTATAAAGCAGGAAAGCAGCTGGGCGGTGGTGGCGCACGACTTTAATCCCAGCACTCGGGAGGCAGAGCCAGGCAGATCTCTGTGAGTTCGAGGCCAGCCTGGACTACCAAGTGAGTTCCAGGAAAGGCGCAAAGCTACACAGAGAAACCCTGTCTCGAAAAACCAAAAAAAAAAAAAAAAAAAAAAAAAGCAGGAAAGCAAGGAAAAGCACGGATCAGGGAAGAGCCACAGACTCATTCTTCTGTGACCTGTAGAAGTATAAATGTATTTTTTTTCCAGTTGGAATTGAATCTAGATGATTCTCTGACAACTAAATTGCTAAATGATTTTATTCTAGCCATTAAAAATACATTGTAATACGCTCAGTCTCTTAAGTAACTCTAAGGCATCATGTGGAAATGGCAATTATTTAAAACACATTCCTATAGCACTACTTAACAACTGAGATCATTGACAACTATTAAATTATAAGAGGAGTGAGAGAAAAGTAAAAACATTTGAGCAGAGAAAGTCACTAAGATCAACAACAAAAAGTCACAGAAAAGTTTTGATCATTTATTTTTCTAGAAGCATTGGGTCAATTTTGACCATCTTTAATATCCACCCAGAGAGAAAGTCAATATGAAAAAAAGAGAGAAAGAAAGAAAGAGAGAGAGAAAGAAAGAAAGAGAGAGAAAGAGAGAGAGAAAGAGAGAGAGAAAGAAAGAAAGAAAGAAAGAAAGAAAGAAAGAAAGAAAGAAAGAAAGAAAGAGAGAAAGAGAGAAAGAGAGAAAGAGAAAAAAAGGAAAGAATCCATGAGATTTTGCTTCAGACCTACAGGTAAAAAGACCAGGAATCACATTATCCAACTTGTCCATGTCTAAGATGGCTCCGTCTTCAGGAGTCAGCCATTTGGGGAGCTAAGACACTGCCATTCGGGGTTCTAGAGACTTGGAGAGGTATTGCATTTAAAGGTCTTTGCTGTTATTAACTCCAGGGAAGTTTCAGCATTGAAAACATTGGATGGACTTGGTATTTTAAGCTGGGCTCCCTAAAGGTGGATAGTTTGAGAAGGATAAAAATCTAACTGCACATACACGTTTCTTTCAAGAATGTTTAAGCTGCTAAACTCACCCCTACCTTTGACTGCCTCCTCAACACATGAAATTTGGTAAAATAAAATGTTTGTATGCTTTGCTTAAATCAGCAGTTTTCAGACGGTGTGTGTGTGTGTGTGTGTGTGTGTGTGGTGTCTGTGTATCAGTGGGGGGTGTCTGTAGAGGGGGGAGGGTGTGTGTGTGTGTGTGTATGTGTGTCCATATATCTGGCATCTACTATGACCAAAACAGTTGAAATCCCTCATGTCTAATTAAAAATTGGCAAATGATTCCATAATAACATGATCAAAGGAACAGAACTCGGTGAACAAGTCCAGGCCGAGCAGCCACATGCCTAAGTGCAGAGTGGGGAATGAGGAGAAATTGGAGAAGAGAATTCTCATGTGTTGGCCCAGAAAGCTCTATGGACAGACATGCCTGAGAAATTTGGGAAACTAGAATCTTCTATGAAGAGGCTGCGCTTCACAGGGAATAAGCCGGTGGTGACTCAAATTCACGGGAGGCAGGGATAGTTTGAGAAGTGAGCTAGGGAGAAGGATAAGGTTGCGTTTCAAACAGAGGTCTTGAAGAATTAAACGAGGGTCACAAGGCTGAGAACAGGAAAGGGACAATGACAGCAGAAGCGGAGGCAACAGTGAGGGTGGGGGTGGCCAAGGAGAGTGCACTTCTCACTCCTTCACTTCATTCTTCACAGCCGTGTGGAGCCAGAGCAGAGCTGGGGTGTGGGAGGCTGAGCTTCAGTTTTCCAGGATTGGGTCAATCTCTTACCCTCTTGGAAAATTACTTTTCTTAACCACAAAAATCAAGAGATTGTATGTCTCAAAATAAGAACACAAAAGAGCAGATTAGATGATAGTCTCGCTGCGCCTGCCCTGCCCGTCCCAAAAGCTGATTCTAATTATCTGATTCCTTTATTTGTCAAGGTCTTTATTTAGCGTATTCTTAGTATTAAGAAATACTGTTGCAGGCCAGTGAGACGGTGGGAAAGGGAAAGGTCCTGCCAAGCCTGACAATCCAAGTTCAATTCCCACAACCCACACATCAGAAGAAGAGAACTGAGCCCTGCAAGTCGTCCTCTGGCCTCCACATGCGTGGTGTGGTACATGTGCCCCACCCCCACCCCCACACAATAAATAAATAAATGGGGAAAAATCAAGAGGCAGTGTTGACAGGCTGAGGTACATAAATAAGATTAGGCAGCTGTGGTCGTAAAGAAAGTATCTCGGTGGGAAAAACGGGCTGGTTGATGGGCTGGTTGGCAGTTGTGTGTGTGTGGGGGGGGGGGAGAAAGACATTTGTGTGGGGCGTTTCCACACAGCTGCTCCTCCTCTGCATTCTGAATCACTGTGCATGGTGAGAGAGACTCTTTAGGCATGCCCAGGCTTTATGAATGGGGAAATAAGACTCAAATGGTAATTGTGCTCCAGTGCTCAGCATGTGTTACTGAGACAAAGCTGGGGTGTAGCTCAGGGGTACTTGCCTGCCATGCATGAATTCAATCCCCTGCCCCCCAAACCATACTGAAACACTTAAAAAAAAAAAAAAAAAAAAAAAAAAAAAAAAAAAAAAAAAAAAAAAAACAAGCCAAGCAAATGTCCAGATCAAAACCTGCTTAATTTTGAAATACACCAAACGACTGTCTGACCTCTGTGGTTGGAGGATTTTATAATTTCAGAACAGGCATCCCATAATACCCTTGTGCATGCCTTTGAAGCTTTATCAGTCAATGCACATTCTGGCCTCATCGGCCCTCAGCTCACAGCTTGGCTACAAAGCCTTACATTCTTGTTTGCTGGACTAATGACTTCAAGTTTATCATAAGAGCACTTTATCATTTTGTATTCATGATTTTTCCTTAATTTAAAAAAAAGCTTTAAAAATATTTATTCATGGGGGCGCCGCATGGGGCTGAGGTCCGAGGAAACTTGCAGCAGCCATTTTTCTCCTTGAGCCCCGTGGGTTCCAGAATGGAGCTCAGGATGCCAGTGTGGGGGCAAGTGCCTCTCCTGGCAGAGCCATCTCGTTGGCATAGCAACTGCTTCTTTTAAAAATATCACACTACTTGGAGTTAAGATTCCCATTTTTTTAAACTTTCTCATGCACTCAAGTAAAAACTAAAGTGTTTGAAGATAATTTTCTACCTAATAATTCAAAACGAGTATCTCTTGTGAAATAGAAAATTAATGTAGAAGATTTGGCTGGAATAATCAGACACATTCCGAAGTCAGAACAGTGTCTAAAGCAAGATGCAGGAAGACCGTAGTCCCTAACCAACTTCACGACCTTTAACCTTTGACCTACCCATTGAGTTCTCATAAAAGATGTGAGGCTGGAGCTTGCTTGGGAAAGTACTTTTGGAGAGAGCTGTTGATGTACTCTGAGCTTTCTCACACACAAGAAGAGAAGAAATTTCCTCTTGAAAAAGTAGCTTCTAGTTAACCTAGCCTGGAAATTTGAGGAATAAGACCCAGGGTTCCTGCAAAGGAGAAACAGACATTTCCAGGACTGTGAGTTCTGGTGTTTATGGGCATGGCTGACTTGCCATTGAGGCTCATGGAACTGGTATAAGCAAGCAGTAAAAGAAACTGTTTCAGGGTCCCCAGACTCTCCACTCAAGAGGAGGGACAGAAAGAGCTCAGCAGAATAATGCCAGAGGGATCTCCAGATATCAGGGGCTGAGGAAGGAACAGGGACCATCTAGAATCCAGACATACCTATCTCTTCTTGTAGGCGAACTTTTCTGTCTCGCCTGCTAGCTCCCTAATTGTGAAAGCTTGGCCAATAGCTTAGGCTTGTTTCTAACCAGCTCTTATAACTTAAATTGATCCGTTTCTATTCATTTACATGTTGCCACGTGACTCGTGGCATTTACCTCTTTTTCCTGTATGTGTCTGCTGGTGACTGTGCCTTCTTCCTCCCAGGATCCTCTTTGCTCCAAAAATCCTGCTTAGTTATTGACCATTCAGCTTTTTATTAAACCAATCCAACTGAAAAATCTTCACTGTGCACAAAAAGATCATTCTACAACATCTTCTCAAAGGAGCAATAGTAGAGATATTCCCCTAAAATTTGGCTTTTGTAAGGATGCAGGTGATGGGAAATAGGAAGATCTTCAAGGATGCTCTTACCCCAGGACCCAGCTTTAGGAGTGGGCTACTAGGAAACCAGTGCCTGCCAAGTGCCTCTGAGTGAAATGTTTCTGTTCCCACTCTTCTCTCAAGCCCATTCTGGAATTGCCAGAGACCAAAGCTAGCAAGTAGGGAAACAGGCCTGAGAGAAAGGATAATGTGAAAAGAAGGAACAGGAACAAAGGAAGAAATGTCAACTACATGTGGCCTTGTCTCTTATGGCAGGTGAGCAGTCTGTGGCAGGCTGGAAAAGTAAAACCTTGGATAGAGTTTAAGGTTTCTGTAGCTACAGTGGGGTAGGCATATTAATCACTAAAAGGAGGCTCATTCCTTCCAATAAGGTGACTAAGGGGAACAGCCAGCCCTTACGAATGCATTTAATGGGTTAGTGATAGGCAAAAATAGAGGGTGTGATGGCCATTCTTGGCTGTCCACTTGACTACATCAGGAATTCACTAAAACCCAAGCTACTGGGTACACCTGTGAGGAATTTTTTTAATTAAATCATTTGAAGTGGGAAGATCTTCTTTTAATCCAGGTCTTTTGATGTGGGAAGAGCCACCTTTAATCTGGGCCATACCTTCTGGTGGCAGCCTATATACAGGACAGGGAAGAAGGAAGCTCTTTCTTTGCCTGCTAGCTCTCACCCTTGCTAGCAAGTCCATTCCTTCACTGGCCTTACAGCCTACTTCTTCAGGATTCTGTCATGTACTGAAGACCAGCTGAGACATCCACTGTTCAGTCCACAACTCAACAAAGTCCAACTGGATTCTTGGACTTTGTCAGTAGATGGCCATTGTTGAACTAGCTGGACCACAGCCTGTAACCCCTTCAAATATATCCCCTTTTTATATAAAGAGAGATTCATTCCATCAGTTCTGTTCCTCTGGAGAACCCTGACTAATAGAGAGGGACTTCATGGTTCCACGGCAAGTGTTAGACTTATTGAGAGTCAGGTTGAACTAGGCAATTTCTCACATAACCCTCAAAAAGATGAACCTGGTATTGTTCAGTCCCATTCCACAAACGAAAACATTCAACTCCTAAAACAACAACAACAAAAAAAACAAGCAACTTGTACAAGAAAAGATGGCATAGAGCAGGTCTCTGCAGTCACGTCTTCCTCTGAAGGATCCTGTGGCTTTTCTTTCCTTGGTAGAAGTCTGCAGTTGATGTCTACCATGGGTACTGAGATGGAGTGATCACCAATCCATAGGGTGTCTTTGTAAGAAAAAGAAAAGCTATTCTTTCAAGACACTCAGCCTACCAGGAAAATGTTAAAATGTCTCTCTCTCTCTCTCTCTCTCTCTCTCTCTCTCTCTCTCTCTCTCTCTCTCTCTCGTGTGTGTGTGTGTGTGTGTGTGTGTGTGTGTGTGTGTGTGTGTGTGTGTGTGTATGTGTGTGCATGTACATGTGTGCCTGGAGGCCAGAGGTCAACCTCATGTCATTCCCTTGGGGACCACAGACCATATTTTTGGAGACAGAGTCTCACACGACCTGGAACTAATTTACTAGGCTGGGTTGGCTTTCCAGCAAGCCCCAGGGATCTTCCTGCCACTGTCTCTCCAGGCCTGGAATTACGGGCACACATCACCATATCTGGCTGTTTTCTATGGGTCTTGGGGATCAAACTCAAGTCCTCGTGATTGCATAGAAAGCTCTTCACTGACTGACTGAGCTCTTCAGTCCCCAGATATGGCCATTCTTAAGAAGATATTAATAACCTCTGTGGTAAATTTTTATAGTAAAGGTATAGACCTAGAGATGTTCTCTACATGGAAGCATCGCCTGCACTGTAGGCCTATTGCTAGGCAACCAAAATCCATCAGGCAGCTCATTTTCTCTGTGACACATTCTGCAACCTCAGAAAGCAGCTGGATTGTGAACAATGGCCTCCCCCTCACACCTTCTGAAGTCAAGCATCTCTATTCACAGAAGAGTCATGTTTCCCCTGGGAAGCAGTGTGAATAGAAGACACAGGGTCTCAAACACCCTGTTTCTCATTCCATGGCTCACAAAATACATATACTTCATAGCTGTGTAAAAGTTCAACTTGAAATCCAGAGGCACAAATCTAAATTCTCCCCGCAGCCCCAAGGGAGGTAAATAGTTGGAGGAAAATGTCAGCGAAGACGGTGGGGAAAATCGAAATGAAGAACTCACTCAATACTTACTGCTCTCACCGCCTGAGGTACAGATGTTACGAACGATCCTTTTCTTCACCTTTTTCAGCTCGTCAAAGTTATGGACCGTGAGTTTTTTCTCAGCTGTCCCTGTGATCTGGATCAGCTGCTGGTCATCCACGTCCCCAATGCCCACTGAGTAGATGTCCACACCTTTGTGTCTCAGCTCCTCAGCGGCCTGAGCCACCTCGTCTTGGGATTGGCCATCTGTGAGGACCAGCAGCACCTGAGGGGTACCTGCGTTGATCCTGCTGCCCGTGTCTGGCAGGAAGTAGTTCCTCACCTTCCTGAGTGCCTCCCCAATGTGGGTGTACCCAAATATCTGCTGGATGCTCTCAATCTGTGTGGATATCTCCTTCTCCCCTGTGAACGTCCCCAGCAGAAACTCTGATCTGTAGCTGTCGCTGAACTGGGCCACTCCTATGCGCACTCTGTTGAGGCTGACATCAAAGTCTTGAACGACTGATGCCAGAAACTCCTTCATCTTCTGGAAGTCATTCGGATGGATGCTGTTTGAACCATCCATGAGGAAAACAAGGTCAACCTTTTCAATTTCACAATCTACAGAGAGGAAAGGAAATGAGTTAAGACCAGGAGACTATTCTTTCTTTAACCTGCCAGGAATAAATTAAACATCTGCAGCTCTACAGAAAGAGTATTTGAAAAGTGGTCTCTTATCTCACGCTACTCTGTGGTCACACCAATTGGTGAATAAATAAATACAAATGATCCTTTCATAAAGGCAGCAGGAGTCATGCCCCACTAAGCCATCGTTTCCATGTTTCTCTTGGCTCTGTCCATTTGGTCTCGTGCCATTTTCTGTTTGGACATGCCAGAGAAGTGACAGCAGAGCCACATGAAAGTTTCTCTCATCATCTGCGGTCTCAGCCTAACCTTTCCAGAAGGCTGGGGACAGCAGTAGCACAGCAAACAACATTAACACATATTCGCACAGAGATTCAATAGACACAGATGGTCTATATTATTGACTTGGTCTCTCTGGTCCAGTTGGTCCAATAAATTTTTTTCTGGTTTATTAGGGCGAATTGTTAAAAGTATGCTTTCTGCTCTCCATCTGCCTTTCCTCTTCTATCAGCCTCCCCTCTCTGGTGCATGTAGGCAAAAACACTAACTTAAGAAAAAGTGGTTTTGAGCACATAATACAATATAATCAGATTATTCCATTGCATTATTGTAACAAATACAAAACAAACAACAAAAGAGGCCATTGCTAACTGTAGGGCTCAGGGTTTTTATTATTAAGACCAATTAGAATTTGCACTACAGCTAGTAGATATGTAATGCCTAGCACACACTCATCTGTATCTGTCAGTTTTCTGCTAAGTCCTGTCACTTCCTTGAATTCCCAGGGTTCTCAACACTGACCCAACTTAATTTTTTAAATTGTGTGTGTGTGTTTGTGTGTGTGTGTGCATGCGTGCGTGCGTGCGTGTGTGTGTGTGTGTGTAGGGTGTATGTACATTAGTGCATAGGTGTGTAGGTGTGTACACCCATGCATGAAGGCCAGAGGGGATACCAGCTGTTCTGATTTATTCTCTCCACATTCATCTCTTAAGACAGGCTCTCACTGCAACTGGAGCTAGGCTGGCAGCCATCGAAGCCCCAGCAACCCCCATGTCTCAACTCCCCCAGGGAGCTAGGCTTACAGGCACAACCAGCTTTTTACATGGGTGCTGGAGATTTGAACTCAGTTTCTCAGGCTTGCACACCAAGTGTTCTCATTCCCTAAGCCATCTCTCTCCTCAGCGTCAACCTAATTCTCAGTGTAGTCTCAGAAAAGGCTAACGAGGGCAGATTTCCTACAGACTAGAGGGGGAAAAGCAGATATGGCAAATAGACCCTTCAGGAATGGATGAACTCATTACACTCCTCCACTTCAGATTCATATCTAGTGGCCTTTCTGGCTCAGTGGAGAAGTTTCAGTCCAAAAATGCAGTTGTCAACTTTCACAGAGAATAAGAGAAGGACAGATCAAATTTTAAGCATTCGCCAACAAGGAAGCAAAGATTTGTCCTTGTTCCTAATAACAGATAGAAAGATTGTTAGTTTGCCAGAAAAAAAGGCTAGTGGCTACATTCTACAAACCAACAAACAAACCCAGAAAAGTTAAATAATTTTGAAAAAGAACTGCATTCACATATTGGAATTGTGGACCAACAGCAATTCCTCTAATAAAAAAAAATTTTTTTAAGCACGAAATTACTTATGTTTTTCCACCCATTAGCCTTTCTTTTTGAAAAGCAAATTCTGTCTCTTCCTAATAAAGATCTTTTAAAAAAAAGGCTAAGACTTTCTTTCATACTTTTTTTGGGGGAAGGAGGCAAGCAGGGTCACATGATATAGCAGGACTAGCCTGGAACTCAGTGTAGCCTAGGATGGCCTCAAACTGCCTCAGCCTGCCAAGTGCTAGGAGTGTAGGTAAGCAGCACCATGCCTAGCTCAATAAAAAGTGTCAATGACAGCTGAACGAACAAACAATGAGCGTGCACACGCGCACACAGTCACGTCATCTCTAGCTGCCCTATGGAAAGCCGGGCAAAGGAAAGCCAGCTGCTCTGGCATAGAGCCCTCAGAGACTGGACTGAAATGTTGAATACCTAAGTCTGCTTTTTCAGTGAACTTGGACCATAAACAAAAGCAAGGAGAAACCAGGGCTGTTTGGCCTGAAGATGAGAACAACTTCAGGTAATGGATGATGGCCCTTACAAAGAGGCAGAGTTTGACTTCCTAAAAGGACGTCTAAGTAAACCCATGTTCTAATAAATAAAGTCTTTTCAAAAACAGCTGAGTTCTCAGTGTCAGAAGAGTCCAGGTGGGAGAAAGCCAAAGTGTTTCCAAATGTTTTTCTCTTAGGGGAGAGGATAAATGAAATACTTTGAAGGCCTGTCAGACTCTGAGAGTCTATACAGTAGGAAAGCCACTTCATAATTTTGGTTCCTTCTCTTCTCCCAGGAAAACTTGCTCCCAAATGTGACTGGTTGGTGTCTCATTTGGTTCTATTTTTAAAAATTAGGAAAAACTTAATTGATAGCCCTTACCAACTTTTGAAGAGTTACAGACACTGGCTGACACGTCAGAAAATATCCCCTTCAGGCCTCCAAACGTCTCTACGAAGTAATACTTGTCACTTGACCCTGCCATGGCTAACAGCTCCCAGCTGTTGGCACCGGCAATCCCCACAGCCAGGACGAGGATGCCTTTGTCCCTCAGGGCCTTGGCGGTGGCATTGAGCTTCTCTGCATCATGAGACTCTCCATCAGTGATCACAATGAGGACTTGGGGGACTCCCTTGTGCAGACGGCTGCCCCGGGCTTCGGTGAACATGTGATCTGAGAAGGCAAGGGCCTCAGCAGTGTAAGTGTTACCCCCCATGGGCTGGTCATTCTGGAGCACTGAAATCACCTCCCACTTTGTGCCAAGTTCATCCAGATAAAACAGCACTTCCGGGTCATCAGCATATTTCAGAGCTCCGAACCGGACCTGATTCTTGCCCACATCAGCTTTTTTCACCAGGCCGATCATGAAGTCCTTCATGATGTTATATTCTTGATAGTCAATGCTGCCAGAGCTATCGATGACAAACACAACATCCAAAACTTCAATCCGCTTGCATTCTGAAAAGAAAAGAAAACATTTGAGATTCAGGGTGGGAAGTTGGGTCCCCCAACTTCCATTTACATGGCTGGAGTTTTCTCTCTGTAGGAACACACTATGCATCAGATGGTTGACTCTCTGGATAACAGAGATACCTGCATGCTTGTGCTGCCAGTACTTAGCAACACTCAGGTGAGCTCTTAGAGCAAGGCAAGCATGGAGTAAAACCTACTACAGAGAGAGGAGGAGATGGAATGGCCATCCCAGGACCACCAAGACCATCAGGAGTAGAATCTCAACCTTTAGACTAAAAAAATAGAACTCTGTATAAATTTTCTCATATAAATGGTCCCTTCCGCATATGCTTTTACTTATCCAAGTTTATTTTTAAGTTATGGGGATCTTGAGATCTTCTTAGGATCCCTGGGGAAAGGACAAGACAAGAGAAAAAAACAATTTAGTTACTCTACATTTTCATCATGACTCCATGTAGGCTGGTTTCTGAGCCTACGGTTTCTTCCTTTTTGACTTCCTTGAAATATTTAGTTCCATTATTGGGTCTCATCACAAAAAGTAGGCCAGTTCTCGTTTAGCTCAAGTGAGTTGTCTTAATATGACACTCCAGTGAACTTGTGAAGCCTGAGGTCAGCGCTAGGGCAAAGAAGAGCAGGAGAGACCTAATTTCTAATTCATCTAAAGGATCACATCCAACTGTGAGTTCTAGGGCTTAACTCATCCTTTCTGGAGAAGTAGAGTCTTAAGATGGTCATTCGGACTTTATATTGGTAGTACACGCTGTCTCTGGGTCTTAGAAAAAGTACAATCCAAATGTTTGTTAGCTCATCCATTCTTGAGAAACAGAACCGTGAGAAAGTACTCCCCCAATGCCCAGTTGGCTTTCACAGTTCCATCTTTTGTGAGCCACTTGCCAGCCGTGTGGTGGACTGTTGAAAACACAAGAGCCAATGTACTCAACACTGACTGGAGGCCATGTGTACAGAGCCAAAATCAAATTCCCGGGAAAGCTGACTCCACTGAAGAACTGGTTCCCTCCAGCTGCCTGCTGGCTGTGAAGATTACTTAAATTACTCAGGAACTTGGGGGGAAGTTTGCTCAGCATTGGAGCCCTTCAAAGAGCTTATACTTATTATGGATGGCATTGCCAGAGAACAAAAACCAGATGACCAGATGTAGTCCTCCTTCTACCAAATACAGATGACAGCCACCAAACCCCACAAAGGGATTTGAACATAACCACTGCTAGAACAACAAGACAATGTCTCTTCTCCCTTGAAAGTCTGAAAATATCTGTTTTTCAGAGTGAATTTTCAGAATGCTTCTGTCATTAAATCCAGGGGTCACAGAACAATTTAGCTGCTTATATTTGTTGGTCTTCTGTTAGTTTTGGGGGTAGCTGAGATACTGGGGTTCAGTCCATAACCTTGAGAGAGCTCTACCACTAAGCTGCATCTACACCCTGGAGCTTTGGTTTGCCCATTACTCTGCAGTATTATAGGAAGAGTATGCCATTTACTTCTCTGGAAGCATCTATTGCTCAAGTTCACTTAGTACAGTCATGTTTTGTGGGATTTAGTAGACAGTTTTTTATAAACACTTCATTTGATCAATAGATGCTAAGCCAAACATGTCTTTCTGCTCAGGAGGTGATGTTCCTCTCCCAGTTTCGTCAGCAGCCCACATGTGGCCTAATGGCACAGGACATACAAGGCTGGGCCCCTCATTGGAACGCTGGGCCAACAGTGGGAGGACTCATGTTCTGACATTGTGCATGGGGTTGCACTGAAACTAAGCTCACAGCTGAAGTGACTGCCTTGTGTAGCTCCCACCTCTTCTGTTTTTCTTTCCTTCCTCCCTTCCTGGAAGCACTTCCTCAGGAGATCACTTCCACAAGAGCTCTTGACAAGTCCACTCCTTCCAGAGACCCTGACATAAGACCTGGTGATCGCTTCTCTTAAAGGAATAGTTAATCACATTAGGACTATTATTATTCTGCAAATAGGAAAGTTAGGTAGGCCAAAATCATTCCTTTGTGGATTTATTTATTTTCTTTGTGAGGGGTCAGGAAGCACTGAGCCAAGATCTTGCTCTGTACTCCAGACTAGCCTGGAACTCATTATATAGCCCAGGCTGGCTTTGAACTCACAGCCATTTTCCTGTCTTAGCTTGCATACTGGGATTACAGGCATGAACTACCACACCCAGCTTCTACCATTTAACTCAAAAAGTCAAAGACACTAAAACAAACATTTCAATTAAGCAACTTACGGTATTTGAATACAGCTCTATTTAGTTCAAGTACTTGGTTGGCCCTGTTGTGACTGTGCCCATGCTTACCTTCACGGGGACTGCATATTCCCAGAACGAGGGCATCCTCAATATGCTGCAGAATGTCAAAATTCTCAACATAGAAAACCATCTCTCGTTTCCCACTGATCTCCTCGAGCTGGGTGACATTGGAGCCAAATACTCCCACAGAGTAGATGATCACACCTTCTCTCCGAAGTGCGACTGCTGGGTCCCTTACTATGTCCTGAGCCTCACCGTCGGTAATGAGAATGAGGAACTTCCTGACATTGGGCCGGGCCCCCTTGTTGGGACTGAAGTACTGGGACACAAAGGTCAGGGCACTGCCTGTCAAGGTTGTTTCTCCAATGAGAGTCATTCGGTCGATGGCGTCAGAAATGTCACTTTGGGACTTGAATGTGTTGAGCTGAAACTCCTCCTTGTTCTCATGGCTGAACTGGACCACGCCAATTTGGACTCGGTCTGGCCCAATCTGGGATTTGCTCACTAGGTTCTTCATAAACATCTTCATCTTACTGAAGTTTTCAGGTCCTATGCTGCCAGAACTGTCTACCAGAAACATGATGTCCGCTTTCATGTCTCTGCAGGCTGTGTGGGAGGAAATGGGATGTTTATTCGCATTGTTGCATATAAAAAAATTAAGAATTCACAGGAAAACCCAAATCACAAATAATTCTATGTTCAAGCTCAGTGTGTGCATCATAAAGATAGGTAAATAAAGCATTACAAGCAATAAAAGCCAAGACTATTCTGTTCCTTGGTAATTAAGGATCTCAACATCAGCACCATCAGGGGTCAGGTCATTTTTACTGTAGTAGTGCTCTGAATGTCGATCTGTAAGATGGCTAGCAAAGAGCTTGGTTTTCATTCACTCAGTAGATGCCAAGAAAGCTCCCTGCTTGAGACACCAAAAATGTCTCTACAAAGTACCAAATATCCTCAGAGAGTGAAAACCCTGATTAGAAGCTACTGATTTAGTGCTCTAGAGAAACTCGTACAAGTTCATTAATAAAATGAAATGTCAATCAAATGGCCATGCTCCTCTATGTCAGAACACCTTTGCTTATATTATACACACGACACCTAATCATATAACCTAGCAGGGCTTCATTAGAGAGAATCCCTCCAAATACCTCTGTCACTCTTCAGATATTAACTTACACTACCATGGGGTTTTTGCTGTGTTCTGGAGAGAAAATATAATCACACAGGTCAATAATCCCAACTTAGAAATGTGTGTCACCCCCGACTAACAGTGTCCCTCTGCGAGCTGCCGTCTGAAGGTCAAGCCGAATCATCCCTACCTTCTTCAGCACAGATCTCTTGAACCACCTGGTTCCTTATGTCCCTCAAGGCATCGAACTCATGCACGTAGTAAACTCGCCTTTCCTCTCCCGCTATCTCCCGAAGCTGGGTTTGGTTGGCTTCCTTGACTCCGATAGCGTAAACACGGATGTTTTCCTCTCTCAGCCTGTGCGCAGGCTCCAGGACACTGTCCCGGGACATACCGTTGGTCAGAACGACAAGGTGACATGGCACTTTGTTTCCTCGCTGCTTCTTTGCTTTTTGCAACAGCTTCAGGGTGAAGTTCAGGGCTGCACCTGTGTTGGGGTTCCCGCCCAACTGCCTAATGTTCTCGATGGCCTTTCCCAAGTCAGGCTTGCTGGTGTATTTACTGATCTCAAATTCCAAGTCCCAGGTGTCGGCGTACTGCACGGCCCCGACCCGTACTTTGTGAGGAGCAATGTTGAACATGCCCACCACCTCTGACAGGAAGGTCTTCATTTCATGGAAGTCTGTGGGCTGGGTGTTCCCTGAACCATCAATGAGCAGATAGATATCAGCTTCCTCTGTGTCCACACAGGCTAAAACAGAACCAGAAAGTTGAATGTATCATTCAGGGCAAATGTAAAAGAGAAACGAGTGCAGATAGGAAGGAGAAGCTCCTTCAGAAGAAAGATGGGGATGGTTTCTGGGCACCAAAGACTTGCTTTCCTAGCTTGGGATGGGGGCTCAGCATTAGTCAGGGGAAATGAATTGCTTCTGACAGTTTGAGACTGAACCCTAATTCTCTGCCGTGGATAAGGATAAATACTTATGTGTAGGAAAACTAGAAATTGTTCTTTGCAAGCTGCTTTTCTCCATTAGTAATACTCAGAGGAAAGTGATATGCTGTGGAATAGATGGCTTGTAACAAGGTACTGTGAGCATGCGAGTTCTCTTTCCTATCATCTAGAAAAAAACTGTTTACTTCTTGCCCACTCCTAGTCCTGAGATCCAGGAGGGATGTTGTCAATGACCTTGAATGTGAGATACAGTGACACAGTAAATAAACTATAAATAATTGTTGCACAATATATACAAATATGCTTACATATACACAGATATGAAAATATTTATAGAGCATCCATGGGTATATATGTGCACATGTATAAAACAACCATCATGTACATGTAAATATGCAGACCCTTCTCTCTCTAAACTTGAAGGCAATAGATTGTCACTTAATTTGTCTTCCACACAAGTCATGTTTACCATTTATTCTCTAATTTGGCCCTGGGGGTTAAAGGAAGAGCAAAGTAAATAAGAATACAGTACAGGAGAGATCAGGGGACCTGGTGAGGCAGAGTGAAAATCAGCAGAGGAGGAGGAGACAGAAATGATGACTCCAGGACATGTTGAAGTAACCAGCCCAATTAAAGCCATGCTAAAGAGGAAACCCCTCTTTGCGGGCCCATGCTCACACTTCAGTAGATTTTAGTGTCCTCCAAGCTGTACTTCCCAGTACCTACCTAAACTTAAAATTAGGAATTCATTCTGCTCACCTACCTCAGAGCCCCCGAGTCCCTTCTTTATAGACAACACTCAAAAGGCGAGAATAAAGAAGGCTGTAGAGTAGCCTTCTCTGAGTAAGGCTTTACCAGATTTGAGGGTCTCGGTCCGTTCTGAGAAGACAGAGACGGTGTGTGTGATTTGCTTCCGCAGCTTCTTCAGGAATGTCTGATTGTGGGTGGCCAGCTCGGAGAAGTCGCTCAGTTTGGAGGCAAACCGCTCTGCAGGGTAGGATGCAATTTTCTCCAGTTGGTCTGGGTTGGCCCCCTCGATGCCCATGGTAAAGATGGTCACTCCCTCACGCCTGAGGTTGACAGCTGCCTTGGTCACATTGTCCTCTGAAGCTCTGTGGGTCACCAGTACAGCAATCTGAGGCACCCCTTGGTTCTTCCGGCTGCCCCTCTGTGCACTGAAGACTTCCTTCCTGGTCTTTCTGAGGGCAGCCCCGGTGTAGGCCTGCCCTACACGGGGAGACAGGTCCTGTATGTGCTGCAGGACCTCTGTCTTATTGATACCCATGCTCAGGGAACTGATCACTCTCGTCTCGTTGCTGTAGGCCACCAGACCAACCCTCATACAGTTTTCCTTGATGTCGAGGGCAGAGACACTTTCTTCCAGGAATGCTTTGAGATGGTCAAGGTTCTCCTGGCTGCCATTAATGGCCATATCCAACAGGAATACGACATCAGCTACAGAAGGGCCTTGGCAAGCTGTGTAGGGAAAGGAATGAATGAGCATGATTGTAACAGGAGGGTCGGCACTTCGGCTGAGCATCATAAGACATGCAGAACACACACCAGAACTCAGCTGTGTACTTAAAGAAGGTATGGCATGATTGTGAGGCTGAAAGGAAAGGGACCCGGTTCAAAGACTAGATCTCAGCTAAGCTCCTAGCTTCAGTTCCCTCATCTATAACATGAGACATCATGTTTACCTTAGAGTCGGCATAGGTATTAAATGATACAATATACTTAACATGGAGATTAGTACATAAAATTCATCCAATGAAGACCAGCTTTAAATGTGAAAAACATTTAAGTATCATCTCCACTATGTTCAACAGCTCTAAATAATGCAAAGGATGATAATGTGCACACTTGTATTTTCAATTATTTGGGAAACACACTAGTAGTAAAGATTGATATTTTTATAAGTTACCACCAAAAAAACCTATTCTGTATTATCAGTAGGTCATCTCAAACTGATTTAACCAAGAGGACAGACTGAAGAACTCAGAAGCTAGTTCAGAATCAAACAGTAGGATAGGCAATGTGGGGGTGTATGTTACCTGACTGGAAATCAGGAGACTTGACCCCACTCTGGCTACACAAGGCTGCTTGGCACTGGAGCAGCCATATCGTTTTAGTTCTTTGCTTCAGAATAGGATTTGGATTGTCAGAGGCTGGCTTTAGCCTTGCCATTTGTTTCTTTATGTGGTTTCAGAAGCTGAGTTTCTCCAGAAACAAATTTGTTTTTAGTGAGCCAGTAATAAAATGGCAGCAAGAACGCAGGGAGGTGGCTGAGGGGAATCTGGGTGGCAAGGAGAGGGTGCTGTAGGATTTTAAAAGGTCTGGGGCTAAGTATGCCATAGAAAACTAAGCCCTGTGGGATTTATTGTTTGGTTTTTTTAAATTAGCCACAATCACTGGATCTTCTTGAACATACTGAGATATTTAATACCCGAAAATGCCACCCATTGGAGGAAAGGGATATTCACAGGATTTTAACCCTCTTCCCATATTTTTTTTCAAAATCATTTGATATTGGTCCTACGCATGCAGCTTCAGCCTGCTGTCCTGATTAAGATTTGTGATCAATTTGACACACTTCGAAGAACCACCTCTATCAGATTGGCCTGTAGGCTTGTCTATGAAGCGTTTTCTTGATCACTAATTGATGTAGGAGGGTCCAGCCCACTGTGGTAGGTACCACCCCTAGCCAAGTAGGAGTATTAAGAGAGGTAGATGAATAAGCCAGAGAGAGCAAGCCAGCAAGCAGTGTTCATCCATGGTCTCTGCTTCAGTTCTTGACTGAATGCTCATCCTGGCATCTCTCCACAATGGACTGTAAACCTGAAAACTAAAATAAACCCTTTCTCCCCAAGTTACTTTTGGTGTTTTATCACAGCAGCATAAAGCAAGGACACCCACCTTCTACAATAATGTCATCAGCCATTCCTTCCCTGTACTTAGTCACGTCCTTGATGATCTGTGTCATGTTTGGGGCAAACAAACTGAGGTCTCTGACAGTCCTGAGGTTGAAATGGAACTGGGATGTGGCCATGGCCTTCAGGTTTTCCTCAGAAGCCTCCTGCATCCCTACTGAGATGACTTTCACCCCATCTTCCCGCAGGGCCTTCGAAGCCTCTTCCACTTCATCCTCAGACTCGGCTGAAGCCAGCACCACCAGGATTGGGGGGAACTGTTTCCTGTCTCTTCCATTTGTGGATGCAGAGAAATAGGTCCTGTGAGCCTCTCGCAGGGCGTTCCCTATCTTCAGGGACCCACCAATGAACCCGAAGTTCTTCTTCAGGTGGTTCAGCATGGGGTTCCTGTTCTTGAAGGTGCCCAGCTGGAACTCGTTGTGGAGAGCATCGCTGTACTGGGCCAGGGCCACACGGTACTTGTCAGCCTCTATGGGGAGGCTGCTGATCAGCTTGTTGAGGAAAGTTCTCACAAGAGGAAAGGACTTCATCCCTAGGTGATCAGAGCTGTCCACCAGAAACACCACATCTGCATACTTGGGGCCTATAAAGTCATAAACATAGCAAAAAGTTTTAGAAATTGTCTGCCCTGTTTAATGCCAACTGTGTGTGTGTGTGTGTGTGTGTGTGTGTGTGTGTGTGTGTGTGTGTGTGTGTGAGAGAGAGAGAGAGAGAGAGAGAGAGAGAGAGTGTGTGTGTGTGTGTGTGTGTGTGTGTGTGTGTGTGTGTGTGAACAGAAACTTAGTTTTTTCTTTGAATTCTGTTTAAGTGCCTTCCTGAACAGAATAGCTTAACAATACACAATCTCTCAGGAAAAAGAAGTGTTTGCTTCATGGTGTGAGTGCTTTATACAACCTCTCATTGCTAAGTTTTGCAATAAGGAGCATCATTTGGCAAAGAATTAGATAACTGGGGATGTGTGTGTGTGTGTTTAATGCCAACTGTGTATATACACACATACACATATATACACACACAGTTGGCATTAAACATACACACGCATACACTGAAAGTTTTCATTTGAATCAGACTGTTGTAGAATATTAGTTGAAGATGTGTTATATTTGTTTATGCTGTGGAACATTAATGATTCTAAGATGTATTTTGTTCTTTTATGTTGCATTTGTTTAACTCTGTGAAGCTGTGCTACTTTGCCTGTCTGAAACACCTGACTGGTCTAATAAAGAGCTGAATGGCCAATAGCAAGGCAAGACAGAGGATAGGCAGGGCTGGCAGGCAGAGAGGATAAATAGGAGAAAGAGAGAAAAAAGATCAAGGAGCAAGAGGAGGAGGACTCAAGGGGCCAGCCACTGAGCTACACAACCAGCCATAGAGTAAGAAGGAAAGAAAGGTATATAGAAATAGATGGGATAATTTAAGAAAAGCTGGCTAGAAATAAGCCAAGCACAGGCCGGGCATTCTGAAGTAAGAATAAGACTCTATGTATTTATTTGGGAGCTGGGTAGTGTACCCCCAAAGAGTAAAGAGTAAAAACATCAGACTCCTTTAAATTGGTTTGAATGACGAAACCTGAAAGTCTTTCCTTGTGATTCTCACTTAAGCAATGCCTTAGGTTATCTGATCGATTTGTAAACATCGTTTTTGTATTATAAAGTGTTGAATTGATGAAGTTTAAGATATCACAAATACACAGGATTTGCTTAATCTGTGGGAAAGTTATTTATAATATATTCAGCAAGTCATATGAATGAGCATTAAGATTGACAAATTTATTTTCTCATACATGAAATATGATAGCAGCAAAGAATTTGAGGTGAGAAATGGGATTAATCTTGGTTTCAATTAAAAACATATTTTGTGTTGGAATATAAAAACCTTTAACAATTTGTTTGCTAGCTGTATAGGACTTTAGTATTATATATCTATATATATCATGTGCTATCATTATAATATACAATCAACTATATATAAATAGCACATAAATTATATGTCTATAATATATATTATGCACACATACAAACATATATGTGTGTATATGTGTATATACATACATATATATGAATGGCATAGTTTTATGTATCCCAGGTTGGCTTTGAACTCTTGATCTCCTACCAGCACCTCCCAAGTGCTAGAATTACAGGCATGTGCCCATCACTATGCTAGGCTCTGGAATTATATTTTTATTTTCTAGAAAATCAGAGTCCAAACTAGTTTCATTTACTGATAGCTGCTTGTCTGATCTCTGAACTTCCACTACTTTATCATAAAGGCAGATGGAGAAGTTGTGTGTGTGTGTTATCAGAGAAAATGCAGTGCAGTTGAATTAAGTGATAAGCCTGCCAATCATCAGCTAATTCTATGAGCATTATCAAGTCAGTCAATATGCACGAGCCTGTCTCCTCTACTTCAAAATAAAGAGGCTTGATTAGCAAATGCCCAGGCTATCTCCTCAGTTTAAGATTTCATCACAAATGGTTACTAGATAAATTGCTATCAAGTCATAATAACTCCTGGGGTTTTTCTTCCATTGCTAGGAAACTAGCCCTGGCCTCCATCATTCGATCTCTGTGAGCATCTGACTAAAGCTCAGAAGATAAATCAATCGGTCCTTTCTCACCCTTTAAGTGACCTCACTCCCAGCAATCTGAGACTCTACCCTTGATCACACAGCCAGCAACATCCAGGGGGAGAATGAGCAGAGGGCCAGTCAGGATCTGCTTCCAAGGGAAGGCTGGGTAGTTCAGAGAGCCCTGCTCGGGACAGCTTGATGTATGACTATCAGTGACCTTTCTATTCATGCAGAAGCTCCTTTATCTTGTGTCGGAAAGACATGTGGCTGATTAGCAATCGACAGTTCCAGGTCCTTTATTATGTCTAAGCCATGAAATTGTGGGTAGGGGGTGGAGATCGACTCTTCTTTAAAAGCTTAAGGCTCAGAGAGGCATCAAATGATGATATTTTAAGGGGCTAAGTCTAGTTTATATCCACTAAACTTGTTTCAAGGTCAGGATCCTAGTGAAAGCTATGAAAGCCAGTGTAGGTGGGTCCTGGATGTGAGCTGGCCCACATACATCAACTTCTTAAGCAGGGCTGGAGGAGGCGGTAGAGGATGTTTTGAACTTCATTTCACTGGACCTGAGTTACTGACCAAAATTACTGACAGTGACAGCTAGGAGCTCTTTCTCCAGGATAAACACAGGCATGCCTTTATAAGTAACAGTCCAACATGCTGCAACTGCAGCAAAATTTGCACATTTAGCCAAAGCAACATTTCAAGTCAAGATAATTAAAGACATAGTGAATTTTCCAGTGCTTAACCTAACAACAGAATTCCCTAGAGTAGGCGGAATTAAGGACAGAATGATAGCTTTCATAGATTGTATCAGTAGCTCAAGATCTCCAAAGAATACAGGGTAACACAAAAAGACAAAACCTTGGCCCCCATCCTCACTACCACTGAAATCAAGCACTGTGAAGCAAATATCCTCACTTAAACAGCTTACACTCTTTACCAGCTGTTGAGTGCATGCGTGTGTGTGTGTGTGTGTGTGTGTGTGTGTGTGTGTGTGTGTGTGTGTGTATAATGGAAAGGAACTATTTCCATTTTTTCTTACCAGAATCATCTTGGTTCACACAAACACGGAAACAAATCACTGTCAGCAACAAAATCAGCAGCATTTTCAGATTTTCAGGTCCTAGGCTGAAAAATCCCCAACATTAAAGCTAAAAAAGGAAAACATGGAAAATCATTTGAACGTTATTTGTGAATCAGGACTCACAGAGATGACCACAGACAAAATTATATAATAAACTCGGTGTGAAAAGGGTGTGAGGGATAAGTAAGGTTCACTGGCCGTCTAGTCTGTGAGGTGCCTTGGAGGAAAATGAAGCTTGCTTAGAGATGTGCTATCCTGGCCCTCAGACCTTGCGGAAACGAGACATTGAACAGTCAGCGGATACATTGTTGCCCATGTCCCAGTGGACCCTGTCTGCTCCTGCCATGACAGGGCACTGTTCATTGTGATACGGTCTAAAACTGCTAAACCTCCCAACATGAATGTACAGGTGTGTTTCATAGTAAACCCTTTGTATTCTGGGTATGGGTTAAAAATCCTGATTTCCCCTCTCCCTCCCTAAATAATGATTGCCATTTATTTATTTATATTTTTATTTTTTATAGTATTTTTATAATTAACTTAATTTCACATATCGGCCACGGATTCCCCCGTTCTCCCTCCTCCCACCACCCAGCCCTCCCCCCCAACCCAATCCTACCTCCTCCAAGGCAAGGTCTCCCCTGGGGAGTCAGTCCAGCCTGGCAGACTCAGCCAAGGCAGGTCCAGTCCCCTCCTCCCTACACCAAGGCTGAGCAAAGTGTCTCAGCATAGGCCCCAGGCTCCAAAAAGCCAGCCCATGCACCAAGGACAGGTCCTGGCTCCACAGCCTGGCGGCCTCCCAAACAGTTCAAGCTAATCAACTGTCCCACTTATCCAGAGAGCCCTGTCCAGTTCCATGGAGGCTCCTCCGCCATTGGTTCACAGTTCATGGGCTTCCACTAGTTTGGCTACTTGTCCCTGTGCTTCCTCCAACCACGGTCTCAACATCTCTTGCTCATACAATCCCTCCTCTCTCTTGCCGATTGGACTCCCAGAGCTCCACCTGGGGCTTGGCCGTGGATCTCTGCATCTGCTTCCATCAGACACTGGATGAGAGTTCTATCATGACAGTTAGGGTGTTCGGCCATCTGATCACCAGAGCAGGTCAGCTCAGGCACTCTCTCGACCATTGCCAGTAGTCTACAGTGGAGGTATCTTTGTGGATTTCTGGGGAGCTCTCTAGCACTCTGCTTCTTCCTATTCCCCTGGGGTCTTCATTCATCATGGTGTCTCCCTCTCCGTTCTCCCACACTGCTCCTGATCCAGCTGGGACCTCCCTCTCCCCTAAGCTCTCTTTTCCCCTGACCCTTGCCCTCCATTACCCCACCCCCAGTTTGCTCATGTAGATCTCATCATCTATTTCTCTGTCATTGGGCGATCCCTGTGTCTTTCTTAGGGTCCTCTTTACTAGGCAGCCTCCTTGGAGTTGCAGGTTGTAGTCTGATTGTCCTTTGCTTTATATCTAGTATCCACTTATGAGTGAGTACATACCATGTTTGTCTTTCTGAGTCTGGGTTACCTCACTCAGGATGATTTTTTCTAGTTCTATCCATTTTCCCGCAAACCTCATGATGTCATTATTTTTCTCTGCTGAGCAATACCTCATTGTGTATACGTACCACATTTTGTTTATCCATTCTTCAGTTGAAGGGCATCTAGGTTGTTTCCAAGTTCTGGCTATCACAAATAATGCTGCTATGAACATAAATGAGCATGTGCCCTTGTGGTATGACTGAGCCTTCCTCCCTCCCTAGTTAGATAGATAACGATTGCCATTTATTTATTTATTTTTATTTTTATTTTTATTTTTGAAACAGGGTTTCACTATGTAAACCAGACAGACCTTGAACTCAGAGATCTCCCTGCCTCTGCCTCCAGAGATTATATGTACTGCCATGTGCAGCTATTTTTTCTCTATATATTCTTTTTTTAATTTTTAATTTTAGATTATATATTTAAAAATTTGCAAATAAAATCACGCACTGCAATTAACCAGACCCAAAGACTATACAACTCAATACAGTTAGACATTTGGAACAGAAGCTTTGCAACTTCATACTGGAGTCTGTACTTTCACTATTGAATGTATTTTGTACACTTACCTACAACCAAAAACAAAAACTCATGACAAAATTAGAACTAGGAAAACAATTATATCCTTTCATAACGTGTCCATAACCTGCATTCAGTCCTTCAACCCCTTATTATCTGTCTTTCTTGTTTTCTTTTCTTCATGTTAAACTGTACCCATAAGTACATTTGTTTATACATATACATACATTATTGGCTAGATTCTGCATACAAAGAGAGCATGAAGTTATTTTTCTAAGAATGTGTGACCTTGCTTAATATTATACATTTTAAGTCCATCCATTTTCCTGTGAATTTTGTGATTTCATTTTTCTATAGACCTGAATAGTATTTCTATATATAATATATCTTATAAATTTAATTTTCATTATCCACTCATCTGTTGATGGACAGTTAAGTGGATTCCAATGATTTGTGCTTTATTCTTAAATCTGAGAGAAGAAGAAACATGAGCTATGTTTTGATGGAAGATGGAAGTCTCACTCCTTAGAATGAGGAACTTAATTTGTGTCCATCTACCTAGATCCACACAGAGCAAGGGTCTCAATCCCAGCTTGGCCTAAAGCCACCCTAGAACACCGATCATGGAGTTAAACCGAATTAAATACATTACAAATATGAGCACATGGAGGGCCTTTTCATCATTTTCCCACTTAAAAAATTGAGCTGATGCATTTTTAGCTGCGAATAATATTTCTGTGTCCAGCTTAAATTGCTACCCAAATGTGTATTCACAATACCAGCTATGGCCACTTCACTTCACTCCACTCCACTTCAGGGTTTCCCTCAAGCTTAACATCTCACGTGTTCAGAAAAAGGACTCTTGACTGAGGAATTCTATCCTTGTTTCCCCGCCTGCTCCATTCTCCCTTGACATTCTCCACTATGGGACTCTGTTTCAATCCTTCACAAGAGTCTAGACAATTCACACTTTGGAAGCTCTGTCAATCATCAGCCCTAGCCAAGTGGAAATGAGTGGGCTGGAATTGGGCTCCTAAGAGGTGATTTTAAGCCAACCTTTTCATTTTAAAGGAGCTATACCTTAAAATAGAATGCCCACAGTAAGTATCATCTGCATATGAATTACTAGTGTATGTAAGAAGCAAGTGTGTGTGTGTGTGTGTGTGTGTGTGTGTGTAGGACTATGATAAAACAAGCAATGGAAAGGATCTTCAAGTCCAAGCTTGGGCTCACCTCTGCCTTCAGTCCCAAGTAAAAAAGGCAAAGATAATGGGTTTATTTTTATTGTAGCCCATGATTAATATGTTGGTGTGCCACCAAAGATGACCAGATTCTCTCATGGGTTTTTTGAAAATATCTGATTGCTTAAGTATATATGAAGAAAGAATGAGAAAGACAGAGTAATTAGCATAAAATTTGAATTTCCAGCACGGTTCACCATACTGCTATAGCGCTGATTGCCTCACAAAAAATGTGGGTCTCTTTAATCCGTATTCTGCTCTGTTACATCCATTCAGAATCAAGCAAGCCAAGGTTAATGTGGCTCTTTTGGAAGTTATGTGATATGAAATAGTTTTTTAAAAATTCTAGTCTTTGTAAAATTTCTACAGTGATGGTATGAGTGTGTCTTACTTATGCTATAGCTGCGAAGCTAGCTCGGTCACCCAAGCGTTGGCTCCAAGCCCAGAGTATTCAGAACCTGACCAAGCCTTCTCTTGAGGTTTTGGGAATCAGAGGTCGAAGAGAGACTTCTGCCAAACATGAGCCAATTCATAATCCAGGCCACATCTACAAAATAAGATAATTTAGAGCCCAGGGGAATGGAGAAGCAACACTGGCAACATTAAGACAACCGTCATTTCTGGGTTGTTTTTGTTTTTTTTTTTTTTAACTGAGGCATGCAGGACATCTCAGTTCTAAGCACTGGTTTTCTTTTTCTTCAGAAGTGCATCATCAGCGCCTTCACTGGAAGAAACCTTGGCTCTTTGCCAGGGTGTTAAAGATAAGTGGCTGTTTCCTCCTTAACCCCCAGCAGCGCTGCCATTTCCCTTCTTCAAGTGGTTCTACTCCTACCCCACTCAAAGGGAAAGTTCTAAGGGGCCTTGGGTCTATGTTAAGATGCTTCAGGATAAATCCTTGGCACATGACGAGATAAATGAATATGGCCTCAGGGATGCTAAAGAAAATGCTCGAGCAAGTTAATTGTTAACGTCACACTTTTCAGAATCTCATAAAGTTTCCTAAGCTGATCATACTCAAGCAAAGTCATCAGGTGACCTTGTCACTTTGTAAAATCCATACTTTTCTGTGTTAAGGTGTTTGGCCGAGAGGAAAGAATGTGAACTCCAAAGCTTTGTGATTGAGGCTCTGCTCATATCTAAATGGCTACGCGATGCTAGACAATGCTGCCCACTTCCCTAGGTGTCCAATACGAAGCAGGGATTCTAGCCTCGCGTCCAGAAGGCCCACAGTTTAGTGTTCTTTCATCTAACCTCTATAATCCAATAAAGAAAACAAAGAAAAGCCAAAAACAGTGGCAGACCTGGTAGTGTAGGTCAATAATCTCAACTCTCCGGGACACTGAGGCAAGTTCAAGGCCTGCCTAGACTACAGAGTAAGTTTAAGGCCAGCCTAGGCAATTTAACAAGAAACCTGTCTCAAAAACAAAAGGTAAATTAAAGAGCAGGGAGGTTGGGGATATAGCTCAGTGGTAGAATATTTGCAGGACTACAGCAGACAGACGGACTCACAGGCAGGCAGACGTCAGCAGCAATAACAAAGACTTTGGGAATCCTTTAGGGCTTGACTACGTGAAGCACCAGGGACTGAATTATCAAAACACAAATCCATTAGATAGTAACTGTCCACTGCGAAACTGGAAACACAGAAGCAGTCCGAGAGGAACACAGGCACAAAATGTTCAGATCAGAATCAGTCAACTAAAAAAGTATTGAAAAATTTAGTTGGGCT